AAAATCAAAAGAAATCAGCCAAGACCTCAGAAAGAAATTGTAGACCTCCACAAGTCTGGTTCATCCTTGGGAGCAATTTCAAAATGCCTGAAGGTACCACGTTCATCTCTACAAACAATAGTACGCCAGTATAAACACCATGGGACCACGCAGCCGTCATACCGCTCAGGAAGGAGACGCGTTCTGTCTCCTAGAGATGAACATACTTTGGTGCGAAAAGTGCAAATTAATCCCAGAACAACAGCAAAGGACCTTGTGAAGATGCTGGAGGAAACAGGAACAAAAGTATCTATATCCACAGTAAAACGAGTCCTATATCGACATAACCTGAAAGGCCGCTCAGCAAGGAAGAAGCCACTGCTCCAAAAACGCCATAAAAAAGCCAGACTACGGTTTGCAACTGCACATGGGGAAATGTCCTCTGGTCTGATGACACAAAAATAGAACTGTTTGGCCATAATGACCATCGTTATGTTTGGAGGAAAAAGGGGGAGCTTGCAAGCCGAAGAACACCATCCCAACCGTGAAGCACGGGGGTGGCAGCATCATGCTGTGGGGATGCTTTACTGCAGGAGGGACTGGTGCACTTCACAAAATAGATGGCATCATGAGGAAGGAAAATTATGTGGATATATTGAAGCAACATCTCAAGACATCAGTCAGGAAATTAAAGCTTGGTCGCAAATGGGTCTTCCAAATGGACAATGACCCCAAGCATACTTCCAAAGTTGTGGCAAAATGGCTTAAGGACAACAAAGTCAAGGTATTGGAGTGGCCATCACAAAGCCCTGACCTCAATCCTATAGAAAATGTGTGGGCAGAACTGAAAAAGCGTGTGCGAGCAAGGAGGCCTACAAACCTGACTCAGTTACACCAGCTCTGTCAGGAGGAATGGGCCAAAATTCACCCAACTTATTGTGGGAAGGTGGTGGAAGGCTACCCGAAATGTTTGACCCAAGTTAAACAATTTAAAGGCAATGCTACCAAATACTAATTGAGTATATGTCAATTTCTGACCCACTGGGAATATGATGAAATAAACAAAAGCTGAAAGAAATCATTCTCTCTACTATTATTCTGACATTTCACATTCTTAAAATAAAGTGGTGATCCTAACTGACCTAAGACAGGGAATTGTTACTAGGATTAAATGTCAGGAATTGTGAAAAACTGAGTTTGAATGTATTTGGCTAAGGTGTATGTAAACTTCCGACTTCAACTGTATGTGTGTGTGTCCATGTATGTGCATTTGAATGAGAGTGTGTGTATATGAATGTGTACAAACACCTGCACTGCATCAGCCTCAGGCAAACAGGCATTCGCTGTAACAATACTGCCCCTCAGGGTCATTCAAACATACTTTTTGTTTTGTTTTATTTTAACTTATTTTTTTAACTTTTAAGCTTGTGACTTTTCAAACTTGTTGGATGCATTTGCAGTTTGTTTTGGTTGTGTTTCGGATTATGTTGTGCCCAATAGAAATGAATGGTAAATAATGTATTTTGGAGTCACTTCTATTGTAAATAAGAATAGAATATGTTTCTGAACACTTCTACATTAGTGTGGATGCTACCATGATTACGGATAATCATGAATGATCGTGAATTATGATGAGTGAGAAAGTTAGAGGCATAAAGAGCATACCATACCCCCTAACCTCCCCTGTTATTGGTAACGGTGAGAGGTTAGCATGTTTTGGGGGTATGTTATTTGTGTCTATAACTTTCTCACTCATCATTATTCACAATTCATTCAAATCAGTGCTTGATTTGGGCAGGAAGTACCGGCACCTCAAATGTTCTACTGCTTGAGCTCCTGTTCCTCTTATAGAATATTAGCTCAAAAGTATTGTGGAGGTCCTGCACCTAAATACACCTTCAAATTCAGGGGACTAGATCCATAAAGTGCTTTGATTTCTAAACGGTAAAACAGATGTGTATGAAAATACCCTCAAATAAAAGGTGACATTCTGTCCTTATATGAAAGATTTGATCTCAAATCCAAAAATGCTGGAGTATAGAGCCAAATTAAACATTTTAGCTTCACTGTCCAAATAAATACAGAGGGGACTGTATAGAGAGAGATACTTTCAAACTCATTAGGCTATTTCAGCTATGAATCCTAAGAGTTTTGTTATTCAATAGTATTTGTATAGCCTACTCACCTTATCTTTTTTCCCTTTATTGGGCATTTTTCGGCGAGGAGTCGGAACCCCCACATCCTCCTGAATACTTTGTTCGCTCATTCCCTCAATGCCTCTTTGCTCACCCTGTGACAAAAGCAGCCCATACAGTGGTATTGTATTGTCTTGTGCACTGTACACATCTCTGTGGACTGTTTTTGGTCCATAGAGGTTTGATTCATTGACATCGGTCATGTGACTTTTAAGTCCCTCCACAGTCTCCACCTCATTGACAGTTACTGCACTGTCATAATCCTCACCTTGTCAGCTCAATAGGGGTGTCAGACAGACAGAGAGTATGGGAGCGTTTGAGTGGTAAGGCTAAAGCAAACGACTCTAGGCGAAAGTTGAGGAGTGAAGTCAGGGGAGGTGTATCTGCGACAGCCGAAAGTCGGAAACTAATGTGGTTTTCCAATAGTAAGGCTCAGATCAACATGGCAGTGTTGCCATTATTTACAAAGGTTTGTATTGTCTCCAACCCCCATATCACACACTCACAAACTGAAATAATATGTGTGTACATTGTACAATCAATTAGTGAGAGTGCCTCAAACATCACAATGGACACGTTCGAGTAGATCACTTTTGTCAAGTCGGTGGCCATTGTTGGTCACTGCCTTCCAAAGTGTGTTGCATTATGGGAACATATGCTGCATTCAAAACAACTGGGATCTCAGAAATCTCTGACTTCCGACTTCAGTGCATTCATGACAACTGGAAACTAAAAAAAAATTAATAATTCTGACTGGGAAAGTTTTTGGGAACGGTCATCCAACTCGGAATTCCAAGTCGGAAACTCAGGCATCTTTCTAGAGCTCTGACTTTCCGACCTGAAGATCACTGAAGTCATGATTTGACCTCGTTTTTCTTCTGAGTTCTGTTGTCTTTGTAGTGTATGGAAATTATGACTGTTTTAAATGTTTTTCATGAAGAAATGGAATGTTGGTTATGTTAGTATCAAAAGGCAATGTTTAGTATAATGTAACATATAATAGACAGGAAGTGTATTGTAAACTGGCCAGAAGAGGGAGCCCATCTTGTTGCATTGGTTATAAATAGGGGTACACGAAGAAGATAGGACAGAGCAGCCCCTAGAATGGGAGGACACTGCTCTCCAGACCTCGCGAGTCTGTCATCAATGCTGAAGCTTGTGATCTGAATAAACTTTATGATCAAAGTTCAGTATGAGCGGACTCTTTTTGTTGACAGCAATAATTGCCACCATTCATCATATACGACATCTTGAAAGCACCAAAATATTGTCCAACTTGCGCCTACATGACGACTGCATGAACTTTACAAAAACCATGTGATCAAAGGTCATGAAGTTTTGACTGCAGTCGACTGCAAGTTTTTGCTCTTCACCAACTTCCACCTGCCATCGGCTGCATTGTGGGAGGCTGAAATGTCAACCAATCATTAGGGTGTTTGTTTGACTCAAGCGAGTGACGAAAGACGTGACAGAAACACGAACCAACTTCTGCGTGATTCATGGACAAATGAATGTAATATTTGAGGCTCTCTCTAACAAATTGATAGTACAATGTATTTTAAAAAATAGAACAATATATTTACAGTTTGTGAGTGTGCGTTATGGGGGTTGGAAACATGTTAATTTTGCAGATGCACCTCCCCTGATTGCTTCAGCCTTACCACTCAAACTAGCCCATAATTTGCATATCTCCAACAGAGAAGGACGGGTTCATTGTATTGGCTGTAATGGAATTAATGGAACGGTATCAAACATGTTTGACTCCATTCCATTTATGCCATTCCAAAATTGTTTGACTTGCGCCTCCCACCAGCCTCCTCTGATACCCACCAGCCTCCTCTGATATCCACCAGCCTCCTCTGATATCCACGGTATACATTAATCACAGCGAAGTTGGTTCCTGTTTCAGTAATGTCTTTGGTCATGTTCGCATGAGTCAAACAAAAATTAAATAAATGATTGGTTGACAATAGAGCCTCCCACAATGCAGGTGATGGCTGCAGGATGAAGTTGGTGAAGAGCAACTACAGAAACTTGCTGTTGACTGCAGTCAAAACTTCATCACATTTGATCACATTATTTTTCATGCAGACGACATTTAGGCGCAAGTCGGACAATTATTTTCCCCATAATGCAACACACTTTGAAAGGTTGGTCACCGACTTGACAAACGTGATCCACTCAAACGCGCCCTGTGTGATAGACAGGCTATATCAAGTCAGTCTGTTCTATGTTGTAATATGTCATAAAACGACAGTAAATGACAAATATTTATGTTAGGGAACGCGTACTCTGAAGTGCGCATGTGCAATAACTCAATTCGCCGTTGCAGTCCTTATAAACAACGCAATTTTTAGAAACTTTGGCAAAATGTAAAGTCTACTAAACTTAGTCCACTCTGTTCGTAACATATTCTAGTTTTGGGAACAGAACTGTAGTGAGATCAAATGTTTCGTCGATGATTACATTTGCAGAATGTCGGCCAAAATCCATCTCGTTCCATCTTCTCCCACTGCCGGCCACTGGGCTTCCTCTCACTACCATATTTGGTAGTGAGTGGAAACGCCAAGCGGATGCTTCACATTTATACATCCGGTGAAATATCTGTCTCATTGTTCTATCTGTGGTTTAACCTTTCCCATCAGCCAACTCCCATTTCCCCTTTGACCGTCTAAATTGCATTGTGGGTAGCGAAGTACTCTTATCGGACATAGCCGTCGATTTATCTCTTCAATATTCGTCCTCCGGTACTACAAGTACCAGCATGCACTGTATTAATACCTTTGAAGGAGTAGCTGCCATCGATTACAGTCCCACTGACATAGCACCTGTGGATGTGCTTTGACATCTATTTTGTCCACTGTTGAGTCTACACGACCGATCGTTGTTCCGGAAAATGTCCGACGGCGGCGTGGGCGACGATACCTCCGGCACCATTGAGGTGTCAGCTGCCGTCCAAACGGTTGCTGATGCCGCGGTGCTGCAGAAGCATATTCGTAAACTTGTCCCCCTGCTCCTGGAAGATGGCGGCGAGGCTCCGACCTCCTTGGAAACCGCTCTAGAAGAGAAGAGCTCCATAGAGCAGATGAGAAAGTTTCTCTCAGACCCCCAAATTCACACCATTTTGGTCGAGAGACGCACTCTCAAAGGTTAGTCTGATTCAAGTAGCTAGCTAACTAGTTGGCAATAAATAGCTTCTTCGCGGGCTAGCTAGCTAATAGCTAACGTGCCTGTCAAATGAAATGCTGTTTACTGACAGTTTTACCAAAGACGGAACAGCAGGGTACCCCAACTGGCCAGCGGGTGGTTTTATTTATTAGCGTTCCTTTGATATAAAGTTGTTTTTGACAAATGTCAGTTTGTTACTTTTTGAATTAATAACATGTTAAGCTACTAAAGACATTGGTTCGAATCTAGGTTGTGCCTTTAGAGCTTGAGAAAATTAACTAAGGAATACTTTTTCACTTCTTTCATTGACTTCTCAAACCCCGGCCTGGTCTGCTTCGCAAGCGTTCTTGGACACACAAGCTACATTCCGTGCCAAATTATGAGTTTTATCACATTCAAATTAGACTGGTTGACTGAAGTAGGGAAATATGTGTTCCAACAACGAGCTGCAGTTTCGGAATAATAAAAAAAATAAAATAAAAAATTGGTCATTTAGCAGACGCTCTTATCCAGAGCGACTTACAGGAGCAATTAGGGTTAAGTGCCTTGCTCAAGGGCACATCGACAGATTTTTCACCTAGTCGGCTTGGGGATTAGAACCAGCGACCTTTCGGTTACTGGTCCAACGCTCTTAACCACTAAGCTACCTGCCGCCCTATTAGTCCCTGTCTAATTTCCGTTTAGGCTACTTTGCGTTTGTCACTAGTTAGCACAAACACAAAGTCAAAATTGGCTATATCGTAAAAATATTGAAAGTTTTAGAGTTAATTTCTGACATGGGCTAATTGTGACTATCAGTGACTGACATAAGAGAAACTGCTGATGCACAACCACATTTCGAAATTGCACCTTGTATATTCTACTATTCTAAATTGCAACAGTAAATTGAGACCCCAACTGAGTAAAAAAAAATATATATTTCCTAGGCTATAACCCCCCCTAAACATAGACAGGTTCCACACTGAAAATATGCAAAAACATTTGTTTGATAAAGACAGAGTATTTATCAGAATAATTAAGCTTAGGCCTACTCATCAAATGGATATCATGGCCGTCATCCTCATGCAGTGTTCAATGTGGAATTGTTAATCCATTTAGACAATTCCAAAGAACAGGCAGAATATACTAAAGCTGACATTTCAAAAAGACAGATTTAGTTTTGTAACCCTGAGAAATGTAAACTTGCCAAATTGAGCCCCATTTTCAAATGATCACTCTGTGAGAATAACTGTCCCAGACGTGAGATGCACATCACTTCGCACTATTCTGTTATATTTTATTCTGTTATATTACATCATGTTTTTTTACAATAAAATAATGTCTTGACTGATAAGGGATCGGGAAATAAGAGTGTCTTAGTCTGCTAAATTAACAAAACAAGGCTATTCCATTGCACAGTCATAGGCTTCTACAAGCAAGCGCCACTGCTGAGGTTACTACCTTTTTGAATATTGTCTTCCATGATATAATATAACCACTCAATATTACGGTTTCAATAAATTAATCTTAAATGGCACTTGTTTTGTTATTGTCTGTGTGTGTACAGTGCATTCGGAAAGTATTCAGACTCCTTGACTTTTTCCACATTTTGTTACGTTACAGCCTTATTCTAAAATGGATTAAATAGTTTTTTTCCCCCTCAATCTACACACTACCCCATAATAACAAAGCAAAAACAGGTTTTTAGAAGTGTTTGCAAATTTATGAGAAAGATCAAATGGAAATATCACATTTACATAAGTATTCAGACCCTTTACTCAGTACTTGGTTGAAGCACATTTGGCAGTGATTACAGCCTGGAGTCTTCTTGGGTATGACGCTACAAGCTTGGCACACCTGTATTTGTGGAGTTTCTCCCATTTCTTCTCTGCAGATCCTCTCAAGCTCTGTCAGGTTGGATGGGGAGCATCGCTGCACAGCTATTTTCAGGTCTCTCCAGAGATGTTCGATCAGGTTCAAGTCCGGGCTCTGGCTGGGCCACTCAAGGACATTCAGAGACTTCTCCCGAAGCCACTCCTGCGTTGTTTTGGCTGTGTGCTTAGGGTCGTTGTCCTGTTGGAAGGTGAACCTTTGCCCCCAGTCTGAGGTCTAGAGCGCTCTGGAGCAGGTTTTCATCAAGGATCTCTCTGTACTTAGCTCCGTTCATTTTCCCCTTGATCCTGACTAGTCTCCCATTCCCTGCAGCTGAAAAACATCCCCACAGCATGATGCTGCCACCACCATGCTTCACCATAGGGATGGTGCCAGGTTTCCTCCAGATGTGACGCTTGGCATTCAGGCCAAAGAGTTCAATCTTGGTTTCATCCAACCATAGAATCTTGTTTCTCATGGTCTGAGAGTCCTTTAAGTGTCTTTTGGCAAACTCCAAGCGGGCTGTCGTGCCTTTTACAGAGGAGTGGCTTCCATCTGGCCAATCTACCATAAAGGCCTGATTTGATGGAGTGCTGCAGAGATTGTTTTCCTTCTGGAAGGTTCTCCCATCTTCACAGAGGAACTGGTCACCTCCCTGACCAAGGCCCTTCTCCCCGGATTGCTCAGTTTGGCCGGGCGGCCAGCGATAGGAAGAGTCTTGGTGGTTTCAAACTTCTTCCATTTAAGAGTGATGAAGGCCACTGTGTTCTTGGGGACCTTCAATGCTGCAGACATTTTTTGGTACCCTTGCCCAGATATGTGCCTCGACACAGTCCTGTCTCGGAGCTCTACGGACAATTCCTTCGACCTCATGGCATGGTTTTTGCTCTGACATGCACTGTCAACTGTGGGACCTTTATATAGACAGGTGTGTGCCTTTTCAAAATCATGTCCAACCAAGTTGTAGAAACATCTCAAGGATGATCAATGGAAACAGGATGCACCTGACCTCAATTTCGAGTCTCGTAGCAAAGGGTCTGAATACTTCTGTAAAGAAGGTATTTAAGTTTTTTTTGTTTTTTTTATACATTTGCAAAAATTGTCAACCTGTTTTCGCTTTGTCATTATGGGGTGTTGTGTGTAGATTGAGGGGGAAAAAAATGCAATCCCATTTAAGAATAAGGCTGTAAAGTAACAATGTGTAAAAAGTCAAGGTGTCTGAATACTTTCCGAATGCACTCTATGGAGTCCAGAACACTTACTTCGGAAGCGTTGTTGAAGTCATCGCCGGTGGAGTTGTTAAATCTTTTGGCGGGCTGTTTGGCAGAGACCCCAGTGTCTTGGTTCTTGTGGCCAGCCTGAGTTGAGGAATCCCCGCAATCCATGTCGCGGTTAGAATAGTAGTGTTTGTCATAATGGGGTATTGTGTGTAGATTGAGAGAATTAAAAGATAAATCCATTTTAGAATAAGGCTGTAACGTAACAAAATGTGGAAACCGTGAAGGGGTCTGAATACTCTCCTAATGTGCACTGTATATGACAAACATTACCCGTTGTCATTTGAATACATTTAGAATTGTATTATTGGAATATCTACATCTTTGTGTCGCTAAATCTTTTGCTTAAGGTAATGTAGGTTCAATGCATACACCATTTTTTTTGCTAATGTGCTTTCACTGACTGGCATTCTGTTTTAAAATCATCAGAGGATGTTGGGGATGAAGGAGAGGAAGAGAAGGAGTGCATCTCTTACAACATCAACATTGACATCCACTATGGGCTCAAGTCTAACAGGTAAGAACTTTCGACTCCGTGATATAGGAAGTAAACGGCAGTATCAGGCCGACTTCTGCAACAACAAGGAGCGAGAAGCTTATCTTCTCCCCAGTTGTTGGAACGCTATCATGTTGTAGGAGAGACGCGTACCCGTGCACACGCGCAGATACTGAGTGTCGTCATGCGCTCTGCAATATCCTTGGTTCACCCTGCTGCTCGTCTTATCGGAGTCTGTTTAAAGCCCTGAGTCATCCTCGACTACAAAATCACCATGTGATTTCCATTTCAAGATTGTGATGGCATATGATATCCATTTTGAGATAGACCAGTGATAGACTGTGTCTTTTCCCAGTTAGATAGGTCTGCCCTGCTTGTTACCTTTTTCTGTGTATCAAACTGTGATGGAACATAGTTCCCAACATTTAATAATACTCCATCAACTAGCCTAAATCCCTGTTTATTCATACAAGGATTATTACATTTTCCAACTTTGTTTTTCAGTCTGGCTTTCATCAAGAGGACTGGAGTGATTGACGCTGACAAGCCCATATCGACCCAGGTGCGCGTGTTGACTCTGAGCGAGGATTCTCCCTACGAGACCCTGCACTCTTTTATCAGCAATGCCGTTGCTCCCTTCTTCAAGTCCTATATCCGGGAGTCTGGAAAGGCAGACAGGTAATCCTGGAACTAAGTAGACTAACATGATAGTTTTGTAAAACTGTTCTATGTTTTCATATTTTGTGCATCTTGTTTATATCCAGAGGGTAAATAACGCCTCCATTTTGTTCTGGTCCAGGGATGGTGACAAGATGGCTCCCTCTGTGGAGAAGAAGATTGCCGAGCTGGAGATGGGTCTGCTCCACCTGCAGCAGAACATCGAGATCCCAGAGATCAGCCTCATCATCCACCCCATCATCCTCAACATCGCCAAGGCAAGCTACGGGCGCGGCGAGAAGCCCAAGGTCACCGACTTCGGCGACAAGGTGGAGGACCCCACCTTCCTCAACCAGCTGCAGTCGGGGGTCAACCGTTGGATCCGGGAAATCCAGAAGGTGAGGGTCAAAACGATTACTTGTCTGAGAAATTGGGTGCCAGGTAGTGTTTGGTAGTAGGCCATACCCAAGCAAAACGTTTGCAACGAAAAACACAATCAGTTAGTATCTCCCCCGTCTCACTCCATTTCTAAGCGTTTTCCATCGACTGAACACAACTTTGGCTTTTTGGTTGCATTTGGCATCTCTTACTGTGGTTTTCGTGTCCACTCTGGCTAGTTTGAATGGTTGGTTTGAATACGTTCCTCTTCCTATCAGGTGACCAAGCTGGACCGAGATCCGGCCTCTGGGACGGCCCTGCAGGAGATCAGCTTCTGGCTGAACCTGGAGCGCGCCCTGAACCGCATCCAGGAGAAGAGGGAAAGCCCCGAGGTGCTGCTGACCCTGGACGTCCTAAAGCACGGCAAGCGGTTCCACGCCACCGTCAGTTTCGACACTGACACCGGTGAGTTCTGTTCCATGGAACAATCGCCAAACGTTTGTACCAGATTTAATTCCTCTTTATGAATCGGAACCCTTTTCTATTTAAAATAAATAAATAAAAGACCTGTAACTCAATCCTTCAGTCAATATACATTATCTACTTTATGAATGTCATCACTACTTTAGAACTTGCAATTATTTTATTAGGCTTAATGACTTTAATATGTTTCCCCCCCATCTATTTCCCAGGTCTGAAGCAGGCAGTGGAGACCGTGAATGACTACAACCCCCTGATGAAGGACTTCCCCCTGAACGATCTGCTGTCGGCCACCGAGCTGGACAAGATACGCCAGGCGCTGGTGGCCATCTTCACCCATCTGAGGAAGATCCGTAACACCAAGTACCCCATCCAGCGGGCCCTGCGGTTGGTGGAGGCCATCTCCCGAGACCTCAGCTCCCAGGTCCTCAAAGTGCTGGGCACCAGGAAGCTCATGCACGTAGCCTATGAGGAGTTTGAGAAGGTGAGTCTACAATGGTGGCTGCTACAAATACTCCATACATTCCTGTACTCTCCTATATAAACTCAGCAAAAAAAGAAACGTCCCTTTTTCAGGACCCTGTCTTTCAAAGATCATTCATAAAAATCAAAATAACTTCACAGATCTTCATTGTAAAGGGTTTAAACACTGTTTCCCATGCTTGTTCAATGAACATGCACCTGTGGAACGGTCGGTAAGACACTAACAGCTTACAGACGGTAGGCAATTAAGCTCACAGTTATGAAAACTTAGGACACTAAAGAGGCCTTTCTACGGACTCTGAAAAACACCAAAAGAAAGATGCCCAGGGTCCCTGCTCATCTGCGTGAACGTGCCTTAGGCATGCTGCAAGGAGGCATGAGGACTGCAGATGTGGCCAGGGCAATAGATTGCAACGTCCGTACTGTGAGACGCCTAAGACAGCGCTACAGGGAGACAGGACGGACAGCTGATCGTCCTCGCAGTGGCAGACCACGTGTAACAACACCTGCACAGGATTGGTACATCCGAACATCACACCTGCGGGACAGGTACAGGATGGCAACAACAACTGGCCGAGTTACACCAGGAATGCACAATCCCTCCATCAGTGCTCAGACTGTCCGCAATAGGCTGAGAGAGGCTGGACTGAGGGCTTGTAGGCCTGTTGTAAGGCAGGTCCTCACCAGACATCACTGGCAACAACGTCGCCTATGGGCACAAACCCACCGTCGCTGGACCAGACAGGACTGGCAAAAAGTGCTCTTCACTGACGAGTCACGGCTTTGTCTCACCGGTGATGGTCGGATTCGCGTTTATCATCGAAGGAATGAGCGTTACACCGAGGCCTGTACTCTGGAGCGGGATCGATTTGGAGGTGGAGGGTCTGTCATGGTCTTGGGTGGTGTGTCACAGCATCATCGGACTGAGCTTGTTGTCATTGCAGGCAATCTCAACGCTGTGCGTTACAGGGAAGACATCCTCCTCCCTCATGTGGTACCCTTCCTGCAGGCTCATCCTGACATGAACCTCCAGCATGACAATGCCACCAGCCATACTGCTCATTCTGTGCATGATTTCCTGCAAGACAGAAATGTCAGTGTTCTGCCATGGCCAGCGGAGAGCTCGGATCTCAGTCCCATTTAGCACGTCTGGGACCTGTTGGATTGGAGGGTGAGAGCTAGGTCCATTCCCCCCAGAAATGTTTGGGAACTTGCAGGTGCCTTGGTGGAAGAGTTGGGTAACATCTCACAGCAAGAACTGGAAAATCTGGTGCAGTCCATGAGGAGGAGATGCACTGCAGTACTTAATGCAGCTGGTGGCCACACCAGAAACTGTTACTTTTGATTTTGACCCCCCTTTTGTTTAGGGACACATTATTCAATTTCTGTTAGTCACATGTCTGTGGAACTTGTTCAGTTTATGTCTGTTGTTGAATCTTATGTTCATACAAATATTTACACGTTAAGTTGGTTGAAAATAAACGCAGTTGACAGTGAGAGGACGTTTCATTTTGATGAGTTTAGTTATACTGTTAATGACTTGACTTAATGATATCAGGTGACATGATTTAATAACATTTAGTTGACATGACATGAGTTAAAAAGTTGATACTCATTTTTATCTCATTGCAGGTGATGGTGGCTTGCTTCGAGGTCTTTCAGACCTGGGAGGACGAGTATGAGAAGCTGCAGGTCCTGCTGAGAGACATTGTGAAGAGGAAGAGGGAGGAAAACCTGAAGATGGTGTGGCGCCTGAGCCCAGCCCACCGCAAGCTCCAGGCCCGCCTGGACCACATGAGGCGCTTCCGCCGGCAGCACGAGCAACTGAGGGCTGTCATCGTTCGTGTACTCAGGCCTCAAGTAAGACACAGACAGAGAGATTGGCCAATGGCTAGAGCCCTCAAGCCTATATCTAGACTAAAAACCTCATAGGTCATTGCTGAAGGTTTTCTTTCTCTTCTTGCCTTGTTAAGGTGTCTGCTGTGCCCCAGCACGCCCCAGGCGAGGTGGTGGAGCCCACCGAGATGAAGGTGGCGGAGGTGCTGTTCGACGCAGCAGACGCCAATGCCATCGAGGAGGTGAACTTGGCCTACGAGAACGTGAAGGAAGTGGACGGCCTGGATGTGTCCAAGGAGGGCATGGAGGCCTGGGAGGCAGCCATGAAGCGCTATGATGAGCGCATCGACCGCGTGGAGACTCGCATCACCGCCCGCCTCCGCGACCAACTGGGCACGGCCAAGAACGCCAACGAGATGTTCCGAATCTTCTCGCGCTTCAATGCCCTGTTCGTGCGCCCCCACATCCGTGGCGCCATCCGCGAGTACCAGACGCAGCTCATCCAGCGCGTCAAGGACGACATCGAATCGCTGCACGACAAGTTCAAGGTGCAGTACCCGCAGAGCCAGTCGTGCAAGATGAGCCACGTGCGCGACCTGCCTCCGGTGTCGGGCTCCATCATCTGGGCCAAGCAGATCGACCGGCAGCTGACCGCCTACATGAAGCGCGTGGAAGACGTGCTGGGCAAAGGCTGGGAGAACCACGTGGAGGGCCTCAAGCTGAAGCAGGACGGCGACAGCTTCCGCGCCAAGCTCAACACCCAGGAGATCTTCGACGATTGGGCGCGTAAGGTGCAGCAGCGCAACCTGGGCGTGTCGGGCCGCATCTTCACCATCGAGACCAGCCGGGCCCGCGGTCGCACAGGAAACATGCTGAAGCTCAAGGTCAACTTCTTGCCCGAGATCATCACACTCTCTAAGGAGGTGCGCAACCTCAAGTGGCTGAGCTTCCGCGTGCCGCTGGCCATTGTCAACAAGGCGCACCAGGCCAACCAGCTCTACCCGTTCGCCATCTCCCTGATCGAGAGCGTGCGCACGTACGAGCGCACCTGCGAGAAGGTGGAAGAGCGCATCTCCATCTCCCTGCTGGTGGCCGGCCTGAAGAAGGAGGTGCAGGCCCAGGTCACCGAGGGCATCGCCCTGGTCTGGGAGTCCTACAAACTGGACCCCTACGTCCAGCGCCTGGCCGAGACGGTCTTCAATTTCCAGGAAAAGGTCAGTGTTTTAGAACCATAAGGTGGGATCTCACCTCACCTTAAAATTTGAATTGTATGCCTGCAGTTGACATCAATGCAAGACCTCTGCGAAAGTCTGAGTTGCGCGAGCAGATCTAATGTTCGCATTCCCCCCTAAATGTATATGATTCGTGTCTGAGTGTCGTGACCCCTTTATTTTCAAGGTGGACGACCTTCTGCTCATCGAGGAGAAGATCGACCTGGAAGTGCGCTCTCTCGAGACCTGCATGTACGAACAAAAGACCTTCACAGAGATCCTCAACCGTGTGCAGAAGGCCGTGGACGACCTCAACCTGCACTCCTACTCCAACCTGCCCATCTGGGTCAACAAGCTGGACATTGAGGTCTGTACAAAACCCTTACAACCCTCAGCACCCTAATATGTACCTCCAGTTTTGTGTGTGTTGTTTTCTGAAGGTACTGTTACCCAGTGTCTTGCTGGTCAATGTCCCTCTAACTGGGGACCCGAGATGATTTTGTTCCTATGTAAACCGGCACAGTCCACTATTTACAAGTTGGAACTATTTTTCATGGTCCTTCGAGCAGGATAGTTGGATAATCTGGAATATGACCAGTAGGGGCCAGAAATACCAGCACCTTTAACATTCCTGCTGGTCCCTTCTCTGGTGAATAAGGTGGTTTATTGAATACGTTTTGTATTAATTAAAATGTTTGCCTTTCCTTGTTTGTAGATTGAGAGGATCCTCGGGGTGCGTCTGCAGGCCGGGCTAAGGGCCTGGACCCAGGTTCTCCGGGGCCAGATGGAGGACAAGGCTGACGTGGACATGGACACCGAGGCCCCACAAGTCAGCCACAAGCCTGGCGGGGAGCCCAAGATCAAGGTTAGGGTCCAAGACTGCAGTAGGAGGATTCATTGATAAGGCACAAATTGCAGTTTAGGAAACTTATTTTGCTTCCTGTACTTCACAGAATGTTGTGCACGAGCTGAGGATCACCAACCAAGTGATCTTCCTGAACCCGCCCATCGAAGACTGCCGCTACAAGCTCTACCAGGAGATGTTTGCCTGGAAGATGGTCATCCTCTCTCTTCCCAGGATCCAGAGCCAGAGATACCAGGTCTGGAGGCCCTGCAGAGCACTTTTATATGTTAAATTCAATGCTACCACCTAGCTAGCGTCTTTAGCAGGCTAGTATTGAATTCAATGCTATCACCAAGCATACTGGATACAAGTACATGGGTGTCTGGTATAGGTTGCGGAGTTGATGTATTGATGTACTTTCCTGGCCCCTAGGTGGGCATCCACTACGAGCTGTCTGAAGAGGAGAAATTCTACAGGAACGCCCTGACTAGAATGCCAGACGGACCGGCTGCCCTGGAGGAGGCCTACAACTCAGTCAAGGACAACGTCAATGAAGTGGAGCGGTACGTCAAGGTACGCATGCCCCAATCAATGATTTGAAGCACCCTACTGGACTCTTTCTCAATTCTTTCCTTGGTTCCTCACCTCGTACTTTGTCCGCCAATGTGTTTTGAACACGAGGAATCAAGGAACGATTATTGAGATTCGTCCCAAGATGGAGTGTACTACAGCAATGGGTTCTATCACTCACCCACGTGTCTCGGATGTCTGTTGTATAGGTGTGGCTGCAGTATCAGTGCCTGTGGGACATGCAGGCGGAGAACATATACAACCGCCTGGGGGAGGACCTGACCAAGTGGCAGGCCCTGCTAGTCCAAATCCGCAAAGCCAGGGGGACCTTCGACAACGCCGAGACCAGGAAGGAATTTGGGCCCGTGGTCATCGACTATGGCAAGGTAAAGAGTCTGACTGTTCAGCAGTAGAGTTGTAGAGCACCTTGTTTATGCCGTTCTTTTCATGTAATAACGCCTAGAAATGTGATGATTGGTTAAACTCCAGGTCCAGTCCAAGGTGAACCTGAAGTATGACTCCTGGCACAAAGAGGTTCTCAGCAGGTTCGGCCAGATGCTGGGCAACAACATGCAGGACTTCCACTCCCAGATCTCCAAGGTAAGCCCTCTCCTGTCTGCCAAGAGAAACAGTTTTCATCGTAGTCTCTCGCTATATTTTCCAATATCCATACTAGCATACCACTTAGAATGCATGCCCATTACATTGCTTCAGTCTAAGTTATGTTAGTGTGGCTGGAACAGACCATTGGACTCTATCTGATTTCAACCTGTTTTCATGTTTCACCCCAGTCCCGCCAAGAGCTGGAGCAGCACTCCGTGGACACGGCCAGCACTTCGGACGCTGTGACTTTCATCACCTACGTCCAGACGCTCAAACGCAAGATCAAGCAGTTTGAGAAGAATGTGGATGTACGTACTGTTAAAACCGCTTTCATAGGACCTCAAATCGTTGTCATGGGTGAAAAGATGGATGGATTTTAAATCTGGACTTTTTTTCTTCACAGCTTTTCCGCAACGGTCAGCGGCTTCTCGAGAAGCAGCGCTTCCAGTTCCCGCCAACGTGGCTATACATTGACAACATCGAGGGCGAGTGGGGTGCCTTCAGCGACATCATGAAGCGCAAGGACACGGCCATACAGCAGCAGGTGGCCAACCTGCAGATGAAGATCGTCCAGGAAGACAAAGCCGTGGAGGGTCGCACCATCGATCTCCTCGCTGACTGGGAGAAGACCAAACCAGTGGCTGTAAGAGACAATTATTTAAGAAAGATACATTTTTGGGAATGATTGTGACGTGTAGGATGGCTTTGTTTCATTTTATCGAAGTGAATGTGATCTTTGCATAAATCGTTCATATGCATTTTCGCACCTTGACACTGATCTTAGGTCAGTTTTCGTTCTCCCTCCCGGTTAGTGTTGGGATTTCGGAGAGGGTATAAGCTGATCATAGATCTGTTATTCCATAGGGTGGCCTGCGTCCAGAGGATGCCCTCCAGTCTCTCACCATCTACGAGGGAAAGTTTGGCCGGCTGAAGGACGACAGGGATAAGTGTTCCCGCGCCAAAGAGGCCCTGGAGCTGACCGACACCGGCCTGTTGAGCGGCAGCGAGGAGAGAGTTCAGGTATGGTTATAACACCTCTCCATTGCCTTTTTAAACTAGAGGTGTTCACTTTCCAGTACTGAATGGTATCTGCAGCCAGCCGCTACTCCGGATGGACTGTTCATTAGTCAGTGCAAGAGCAGATCGGCATATGGTATCGATGGTCTCCTTGCCTCTTTGTGCCTGGGGTCCTGGTATATCTGTCGATACAAACATTTCACTTCCCGACAAGATGTTCACAGATGCTCCTCTGCAGTGTTGTAGCATAGCATTTTATATAAGCGTGATATGTTCTAAGTCTATTTCTATGTGCTGTAGGTGGCTCTGGAGGAGCTGCAGGACCTGAAGGGGGTGTGGTCTGAGCTGTCCAAGGTGTGGGAGCAGATCGACCAGGCAAAGGAGCAGCCCTGGGTCTCTGTTCAACCACGCAAGGTAAGATTCCATTATTTTTCTTCTCATATTAAACTGCTAGACTTGTCACTAAAGACCATTTCTGTTTAGGATCAAGTCTAATGTGCCTCTTTATTTGTGATTGTAGCTGCGTCAGAGTTTGGACGGCCTTCTAAACCAGCTGAAGAACTTCCCAGCTCGACTGAGGCAGTATGCATCCTACGAGCACGTCCAGAGGCTTCTCAAGGGTTACATGAAGGTAAGACCCCATATCTCTCTCAATAATATTTGATCTAAAAATGGCATTATTGCAATAGAAAAGTATTTACTTGCGACAAAGGATTGAACATGCCTGGTTGACTTTCATCTAAGATGGGCAAAGCTTGGGCAAGTACTGTGTACATGTTCATGTTGAAAAACGTCCTGATGACGTTAACAAAATGCTCAAACAAACTGTCCCGTCCTAACACTCAACTGTTCTTATCTCATCTCTCAGATCAACATGCTGGTGATCGAGCTGAAGTCAGAGGCCCTGAAGGACCGCCACTGGAAGCAGCTGATGAAGCGTCTGCACGTGAACTGGGTGCTGTCGGAGCTGACCCTGGGACAGATCTGGGACGTGGACCTGCAGAAGAACGACATGGTGGTGAGGGATGTGCTGCTGGTGGCCCAGGGAGAGATGGCCCTGGAGGAATTCCTCAAACAGGTAACCACAACATTCAACTCCACAAATATGATTTTTCCCTGCAGTGCAATTACAACAACAAAAAAGTAGCTCGTAATTTATGTCCATAGAGAAAATAAAATATCAGTGCACTGCCTTTCAACCATAGTGATCGTCTTTTCAATTGTGTGTGACAGTCACAAGACAAAGTAAGTGGCATGCTGAGGATGTATTCTTTTTTTCATTGATCCACAACAGATCCGTGAGGTCTGGAACGCCTATGAGCTGGACCTGATCAACTACCAGAACAAGTGCCGTCTGATCCGCGGCTGGGACGACCTCTTCAACAAGGTCAAGGAGCACATCAACAGCGTGTCGGCCATGAAGCTGTCGCCTTACTACAAGGTAGGTGGTTGTTTCAATTCAAACGTGTTCTTACCAGAGATGGAGACTTGATCTTGTAGTCTTTACACCACATAAATAAGGTCTCGTGATCTGGTTCTTAAGAGGTTGGGCCTGGATCTCAAGGGTTCTAGACTGGTCTTGGTCTTGACTCCATCTCTGGTTCGTGCAGGATAGTATAAGAATGTACATGGTATATTCCTAGTCTCCATAAGGTGTCAATGGTTCCTGCTGTGATGTGCCATCAGGTGTTTGAGGAGGATGCTCTGAGCTGGGAGGACAAGCTGAACAGGATCATGGCCCTGTTTGACGTGTGGATCGACGTCCAACGCCGCTGGGTCTATCTGGAGGGCATCTTCACCGGCAGCGCTGACATCAAACACCTGCTGCCTGTGGAGACCCAGAGGTTCTCGAGGTAAGATCCGCAGTTCCTCCGTTTTGATCTTCTCCAATGCATTTTGTGAAGGAGGCAAGGAATCAAGGAAAAACTTTTGAGATTTCCCCTTGTCACCTACGATTTGGGAATAGGCCAAATAACCTTGTCTATGGTGAAGAGGACTTTGTAAAGATCGTGATTACCTTTTACCATTGGAGAAAGAACATTACTCACTGCCATTACTCAACTCTCATTTATAGCATCAGCACAGAGTTCCTGGCTCTGATGAAGAAGGTGACCAAGTCTCCTCTGGTGATGGACGTGCTGAACATCCAGGGGGTGCAGAGGTCTCTGGAGAGGCTGGCCGACCTGCTGGGCAAGATCCAGAAGGCCCTGGGAGAGTACCTGGAGAGGGAGAGGTCCTCATTCCCCAGGTAAGACGTTATCCATGTCTCTCTAAAGGGGCATCTGACTGATTCTATTATGTTGTATGGTGATGTAGTCAGTCCTGTAGACACTTTAAAAAGTGACTTATGGTCAGCACAAAATAAAAGCCCAGTGCAGTCAAAAACGTGATTGTCCTGTGTATATGTGTGTGTGTATATATATATATTATATGTTTGGACACACCTACACATTCAAGGATTTTTCTTTATTTTTACTATTTTCTATATTGTAAAATAATAGTGACTACATCAGAACTATGAAATAACACATATGGAATCATGTAGTAACCAAAAAAGTGTTAAACAAATCAAAATATATTTTAGATTCTTCAAAGTAGCCACCCTTTGCCTTGACGACAGCTTTGCACACTCTTGGCATTCTCTCAACCAGCTTCACCTGGAATTCTTTTCCAACTGTCTTGAAGGAGTTCCCACATATGCTGAGCACTTGTTGGCTGCTTTTCCTTCACTCTGCGGTCCAACTCATCCCAAAACCATCTCAATTGGGTTGAGGTCGGGGGATTGTGGAAGCCTGGTCATCTGGTGCAGCACTCCATCACTCTCCTTCTTGGTCAAATAGCCCTTACACAGCCTGGAGGTGTTTTGGGTCATTGTCCTGTTGAAAAACAAATGATAGTCCCACTAAGCGCAAACGAGATGGGACGGCATATCGCTGCAGAATGCTGTGGTAGCCATGCTGGTTAAGTGTGCCTTGAATTCTAAATAAATCACAGACAGTGTCACCAGCAAAGCATCCCCACACCATCACACCACCTCCTCCATGCTTCACGGTGGGAACCACACATGTGGAGATCATCTGTTCACCAACTCTGCGTCTCACAATGACATGGCAGTTGGAACCAAAAATCTCAAATTTGGACTCCAGACCAAAGGACAGATTTCCACCGGTCTAATGTCCATTGCTCGTGTTTCTTGGCCCAAGCAAGTCTCTTCTTCTTATTGATGTCCTTTAGTAGTGGTTTCTTTGCAGCAATTCGACCATGAAGGCCTTATTCACGCAGTCTCCTTTGAACAGTTGATGCTGAGATGTGTCTGTTACTTGAACTCTTTGAAGCATTTATTTGGGCTGCAATCTGAGGCTGGTAACTCTAATGAACGTATCCTCTGCAGCAGAGGTAACTCTGGGTCTTCCTTTCCTGTGGCGGTCCTCATGAGAGACGGTTCTTAATTTTCCGTATTGACTGACCTTCATGTCTTAAAGTAATGATGGACTGTCGTTTCTCTTTGCTTATTTGAGCTGATCTTGCCATAATATGGACTTGGTCTTTTACCAAATAGGGCTATCTTCTGTATACCCACCCCTACCTTGTCAGAACACAACTGATTGGCTCAAACACATTAAGAAGGAAAGAAATTCCACAAATTAACTTTTAACAAGGCACACCAGTTAATTGAAATGCATTCCAGGTGACTACCTCATGAAGCTGGTTGAGAGAATGCCAAGAGTGTGCAAAGCTGTCATCAAGGCAAAGGGTGGCTTCTTTGAAGAATCTCATCAAAAATATATTTTGATTTGTTTAACACTTTTTTTGGTTACTACATGATTCCATATGTGTTATTTCATAGTTTTGATGTCTTCACTATTATTCTACAATGTAGAAAATAGTAAAATTAAAGAAAAACCCTTGAATGAGTAGGTGTGTCCAAACTTTTGACTGGTACTGTATATATACCCACACTGAGGTTGGAATAATACTGTGAAAATTATAATTGCCTTTTCGTGTAAGAGCTGTTTGAAAAGACTGCCTGAAATATCAGCCTGTTTTGGTCATATGGAGTTTTGGCCTTCCATGGTGACATCACCATGCGGTGAGTTGGTTAATAGACCAATAAGAAAGAGTTCCAAACCTCTCTGCCAATAACAGCTAGTTTTCAGTTTTCCCCTCCCCACTCAGACCATTCCCAGACAGTCTTAGCAAAATTCTTGCATGAGAAATTGCCCTTTGCTAAGAAGCTTTTTTTGTTTATTTTTGACAATTGTTTTATTGAAAACGATCACATTAAGGTACTTAATTGTTACCCAGACATGATTTGATATTGAGATAAAAATGGCTGCATTGGCCCTTGTAAGGATACACAATTTCTCTCTGCCAGGTTCTACTTCGTTGGTGACGAAGACTTACTGGAGATCATCGGAAACAGCAAGAACGTGGCCAAGCTGCAGAAGCACTTCAAGAAGATGTTTGCCGGCGTCTCCAGCATCCTGCTGAATGAGGAAAACACGGTAGTGCTGGGTATCTCGTCCCGCGAGGGCGAGGAGATCTTCTACAAGTCCCCCGTGGACCTCATAGAGCACCCCAAGATCAACGACTGGCTGACCCTGGTGGAGAAGGAGATGCGGGTCACTCTAGCCAAGCTGCTGGCCGAGTCCGTCACTGAGGTGGGCGGCTTCAACAAGGGCAACACCATCGAACTCGGCACTTACATCGACTGGATCGACCGATACCAGGTACAGAACGTCACAGTGAGCTGTTGTACATCCTGTGGTTCCCATTTTGTTTGTTTGGTCACTTACCAAATGCAATTTGATTTGTCATGTTATTCACCAAATCATGTTCTTGAGTCAGCAATGACTCAATAGAAATTGACCACGTCTGACTATTTAAGGATATGCTGTACATAGTCTCTCTAGACAGACTGGTTGCCTCCCAATGTTCTGGTTTACACATCTGTACAGATACAACGTCAGTTTGGCATAGAGCTGCCTTATCCACTTGTTTCCCACATCCCCCAGATACAAAATAGTAGCTAGCAAGATGGAGATCACAGATGTTTTTTTTAATGAGCGCATTTCACAAGTAGCTAGTTTGCATCAACTACCTTCACTAAAACCACCTGCAAACTTTGGTTTAGAATTTTGACAATCTGGCATGTCTGCCTCGTGATTTGTTGTGAGTTGTCTGTCTGAAGAGGACCCTCCCCGGAACAATTTATTTTCCCTTTTCGAAGTTACCAAGAGAGTCCGTCCTTAATCCCAGACCCTAGTCACTGCTGTTGCTTAGGGTCTGGGTTTCCGAGACTACGCTGCACAAGACCACCACTCAATCACATTTTATTTATATGGCCCTTTTCACAAATACATAGGTCACAAAGTGGTTATGAGAAAGTAAACCAGCCAGTAGGCCCCAAAGAGGATCCATGAAAAATTGTATTCCAACCAATATCCCCCACAAAGCGCGTCCATGGTTATTCTAGATCTGTGAATCTTGGAACCACTTGAACTCTCTCTTCCTTTTTCTTTCTCTTCTCTTTACTAACTCCAGGCTCAGCTGGTGGTGCTGTCGGCTCAGATCGACTGGTCGGAGAAAGTGGATGCTGCTCTGACCACAATCTCGGGGGGCGGAGACATGTCGCCCATATCAAGCGTGCTGACCAACGTGGAGGCTACCCTGAATGTGCTGGCTGACACCGTACTGATGGAGCAGCCTCCACTCCGCAGGAGGAAGCTGGAACATCTGGTGAGTGCAAAATGCTACATTGTCAAACATTCTGAACAGCTTGGACGAGTTACTTTGGCCCATAGAAATAGAATGAATCGAGCGGAACCGCTTAGAACCTCTAACCCTGGCAATTTGACAAGTAAACTCATGGGTACACTCACAATGGCTGCCTGATATTGTGACGCAATAATTTCCATGGTAATGTAGAATGTTAATTCAAATGATGCTAACTGATGTGACGCTTTTATTTTTTGTAATGTCAGTTGAGTTGATTCAACAAATCACAGCACAGATAGATGGGTACACTTCCTGCTTTTAACTCCTTCTTTTACTTCCTGCTTGGCCGCCAGTCCACCCATTATGCCATCATTGACTTCTATTCGTTCTATTTCTTTGCTTTGGCAAGTTAGTTTGGACCAGTTGGTTTGGACGAGTTTCTTTGTGCTCCTTCCCTATAGATCACTGAGCTGGTCCACCAGAGGGACGTGACCAGGCAACTGATCAAGAACAAGATCGACAACCCCAAGTCATTCGAGTGGCTCAGCCAGATGCGCTTCTACTTCGACCCAAAGCAGACGGACGTTCTGCAGCAGCTGTCCATCCAGATGGCCAATGCCAAGTTCAACTATGGATTTGAGTACCTGGGAGTCCAGGACAAGTTGGTCCAGACCCCCCTTACCGACCGCTGCTATCTGACTATGACCCAGGCCCTGGAGGCCAGGTTCGGTGGAGCCCCCTTCGGTATGCTCCAAGAACTACATGCCACTCTAGACTATACATAGCCAACAAAGTAGTTTAAATTCTAAAAGGCAAACTGAGTTGCAATCATATCCTCTTCCTCTGGTGATTTTTTTTTTCCCGCTGTTATTTCCAGGGCCCGCCGGAACTGGAAAGACTGAGTCGGTGAAGGCTCTGGGTCACCAGCTGGGACGCTTTGTCCTGGTCTTCAACTGTGACGAGACCTTTGACTTCCAGGTACGCTAATACTGACTGATACTTCACACTAAAAAAAGGCTGATCTTGGTTTAATGTTATATTCATGAGTTATTTTCAGAATGTGAGAAACCTCTTTTAAGAGACCTGTTTCTCTGTTGTCTGCAGGCGATGGGTCGTATCTTTGTGGGCTTGTGCCAGGTAGGCGCCTGGGGCTGCTTCGACGAGTTCAATCGTCTGGAGGAAAGGATGCTGTCGGCTGTCTCCCAGCAGGTCCAGTTCATCCAGGTGGCCCTAAGGGAGCACAGCAACCCCAACCGAGACCGCAGTATGTGTCTCCACAGCCTCTCATTGAAAGCTTCTTCGAATGGCCATTGAAAGTGCTTAGTCTTGGTCTGGGAGGCCCTATATGTTATAAAATACATCAGACCAATGTCGAATGACTGCTGACAATATCACATTGTTCATTACAAACCAAACATGTCTTCATATAGCGTTGCACTTAAGAACGTAAGTTCTACAAAGTCACTGTTTTCCCCCTTCCTAAGGCGCTGCCATCTCCTGCGAGCTGCTCAACAAGCAGGTGAAGGTGAGCCCCGACATGGCCATCTTCATCACCATGAACCCCGGCTACGCCGGCCGCTCCAACCTGCCCGACAATCTGAAGAAGCTGTTCCGCTCCCTGGCCATGACTAAGCCCGACCGCCAGCTCATTGCCCAGGTCATGCTCTACTCCCAGGGCTTCCGCACTGCCGAGATCCTGGCCAAGAAGATCGTGCCCTTCTTCAAGTATGTACTGTACACAACCAGGCCAGGTCTTGAGGCTCGGGGGGGGGGAAGAGTTGTTAGAATGGCGGCGATGGGGCATTTGTCATTAGTTGATAGTGACACGTTAATAAATTCATGAGATTACTTTCAAGTCATTTGCAGCTTATTTCTTCTGGCTGGGAGAGTCAGTTGTGGAAGGATATCTATCCCAATGGAATCTCCTTATAAGCTGTGATATCGTTTTTGCTGCAAGTGACTGAATCTGATAAGTAATGTCTTTGGACATTTCCAACAACATTTGAGAACCGTTAGATCAAATCATTGGAAATCTGTCATGCATGCCAACAATACTACCACCCAATGCTCCACTCTATTTCTTTGGTGTTCCTTCTCATTGACTGAAAGAAAATTTTTCTCTGTGCACCTGCAGACTGTGTGATGAGCAGCTGTCCTCCCAGAGTCACTACGACTTTGGCCTGCGAGCCCTTAAGAGCGTGTTGGTCAGCGCCGGCAATGTGAAGCGGGAGCGCATCCAGAGGATCAAGAAGGATAAGCGCGAGCGCGGCGAGAACGTGGACGAGAACGAGATCGCAGAGAACCTCCCGGAACAGGAGGTAAAGGAACTGAAGTATCTGTGGCGGCATTAGTTTTCTCTCTTGGATAATAAATACTGTACTTACAAAACATATAGACACACTAGACTTCTAGTAGTATGTCCACCAACTAATCCCTTAGGAAATATTTTTACACTGGGTCAGGCGAGACCATGCCACCTAATGTAAAGATAAATAGGACTGCCAATAGTGCATGCCTGGCATTGATTTTCTGTTATCTAGAAGGGATGTCTCCTAAGCTCTGTGTGTCCCTGTCTGTGTTCAGATCCTGATCCAGAGTGTGTGTGAGACCATGGTGCCCAAGCTGGTGGCTGAGGACATCCCCCTGCTGTTCAGCCTGCTGTCGGACGTATTCCCCGGCGTGCAGTACATGCGTGGCGAGATGACTGCGCTGCGCGAGGAGCTCCGCAAAGTCTGCGCCGAGATGTTCCTCACCTACGGAGACGGAGACGACGTGGGCAGTATGTGGGTGGAGAAGGTACTTAATGCAGCTCTGGTCAATAAAGTCCCCATTTATTAATTCTGTATGGTTTCACCCAGAGCCATAGATGCGGAGCTTGGCAAAACCATCCTTCATGTTGATGACAAATGTACCTTAGTTGTTCCATCTATGACAAAATCGATACTACTTTCAACTCTGGAATGTCATTCCCTTGGAACTTTTGGTGCAAACTTTAAGTTGATTAAAATATCTGAATTTCAAACGAAGTTTATCTGCACCCCCAAGCTGTGTACTGCTTGATCTAAAGTCTTCATACTAGATATGTTGGCTAAGTGTCAAGTCTGCATGTATATTCAGTAATATATTCAACCATATCATATCATTCCAGGTGCTCCAACTGTACCAGATCACCCAGATCAACCACGGCCTGATGATGGTGGGGCCCTCTGGCAGTGGCAAGACCATGGCCTGGAGGGTGCTGCTCAAGGCCCTGGAGCGCCTGGAGGGAATGGAGGGCGTGGCCCACATCATCGACCCCAAGGCCATCAGTAAGGACCACCTGTACGGAACCCTGGACCCCAACACCCGCGAGTGGACCGATGGGCTCTTCACACATGTTCTCAGGAAGTAGGTGTTAGGAGTTGGCTTGAATATACATTGTCTCGCGACACGACTGGTGTCCCCCAGGGTTTGGTACTAGGTCCTCGCTTGTTCTCTCTGTACACCAAGTCACTTCAGTTCTGTCATATCCTCACATGGGCTCTCTTACCATTGTTAGGCTGATTACACTCAAATCTATTTTTGTATGTATAAATCCAATCAATTAATTAATGGTGTTTTTTTCCATCCCAGGATCATTGACAACGTGAGAGGCGAGTTGCAGAAACGGCCAGTGGATCATCTTCGATGGTGACGTGGACCCCGAGTGGGTAGAGAATCTCAACTCTGTGCTGGACGACAACAAGTTGCTCACCCTGCCCAACGGAGAGCGTCTCAGCCTGCCACCAAACGTATGTTGTGTCCCTCGAAGCCACACATCTTTTTAATGGAAGTCCATTGTCTTTTAATCCAAAGGGGAATACCATTCAAAAGTTGAAATGTTAAGTTTTGTTCTTTTACCTTTTGAATATTTCACCTGGGAATGCAACCCTGTGACATCATTTAGCATTACTCTCCTAACTCCGTAATGTGGTCGTAGGTGCGCATCATGTTCGAGGTACAGGATCTGAAGTATGCCACCCTGGCCACTGTGTCTCGTTGTGGCATGGTCTGGTTCAGCGAAGACGTGCTCAGCACTGACATGATCTTCAACCACTTCCTGGCACGCCTGCGCAGCATCCCATTGGACGAGGGCGAGGACGAGGCTTTCCGCATGCACAAGGGCACGGAGGACGAGGGCGAGGAGACCGCCTCCCCCATGCTACAGGTTAGTAGCTTGGATGCAATGGAAAGCTGTGTTCTTATTGGACAAGTTGAGGTGATACCTTTCTAGAGTCACTCTGTTTCAAAAAGTTTTTAACCTGTTGATGAACGCGACCATGCTCTCGGCCCTTCCTTGCAATTGTGGTTCAAAAACCAACTGTGTTAGACTAGCAGTCTTGTAACACGTCTCCACGTTAACTTTCTCTCTTTCTCTATCCAGATCCAGAGGGACGCAGCGTCCATCTTGCAGCCCTACTTCACCTCCACTGGGCTGGTGATCAAGGCGTTGGAGCACGCCTCCAACATGGAGCACATCATGGACTTCACGCGGCTGCGCTGCATGGGTTCCCTGTTCTCCATGCTGCACCAGGCCTGCCGCAACGTGGCGCTCTACAACAACAACCACTCCGACTTCCCCATGCCCATCGACCAGCTGGAGCGCTACATGCAGGTCAGTCCGTGGCGCCACAGTGCCCCCTGCTCGTGGGGAGTCTAAATGGAGTCCCCCAGGGCTTGGTGTCAATTCCATTTCAATTCCCTTCAGTTTAGGAGATTCATTTAAATGTAATTTTAAGAATGGAAAAGTGTCCTTTTTTCCAATTTAATATTTTTCTATTCACTTCCTGGAAACTCCCCAGACCTTAATCCCATTGAGAACTTGTGGTCGATCCTCAAGAGGCGGGTGGACAAACAAAAACCCACAAATTCTGACAAACTCCAAGCATTGATTATGCAAGAATGAGCTGCCATCAGTCATGATGTGGCCCAGAAGTTAATTGACAGCATGCCAGGGCGGATTGCAGAGGTCTTGAAAAAGAAGGGTCAACACTGCAAATATTGACTCTTTGCATAAACTTAATGTAGTTGTCAATAAAAGCCTTAGACACTTATGGAATGCTTGTAATTATACTTCAGTATACCATAGTAACATCTGACAAAAATATCTCATAACACTGAAGCAGCAAACTTTGTGAAGACCAATACTTGTGTCGTGGTCAAAGTTTTGAGAATGACTGACTGTATACTGAACAAAAATATAAACGCAACATGTAGTGTTGGTCCCATGTTTCATGAGCTGAAATAAAGAATCCCAGAAATGTTCCATATGCACAAAAAGTGTGTTTCTCTTAGTGAGCATTTCTCATTTTCCAAGATATGCCACACCTGTGAGGTGGATGGATTATCAAGAAGCTGATTAAACAGCATGATCATTACACAGGTGCACCTTGTGTTGGGGACAATCAAAGGCCACTCTAAAATGTGCAGTTTTGTCACACAAAACAACACCACAGATGTCTCAAGTTTTGAGGGAGCGTGCAATTGGCATGCTGACTGCAGGAATGTCCACCAGAGCTGTTGCCAGAGAATTGAATGTTCATTTCTCTACCATAAGCTGCCTCCAATGTCGATTGTAGATCATTTGACAGTACGTTCAACCGGCCTCACAACCGCAGACCGTATGAGGTTGTGGGGGCGAGCGGTTTGCTGATGTCAACTTTGTGAACCATGCCCCATGGTGGGGGTGGGGTTATGGTATAGGCAGTCATAAGCTATGGACAACGAACACAATTGCATTTTATCGATGGCTATTTGAATGCACAGAAATACTGTGACAAGATCCTGAGGCCCATTTTTTGTAAGGTATCTTTTACCAACCGATGCATATCTGTATTCCCAGTCGTGAAATCCATAGATTAGAGCCTAATGAACTTGTTTCAATTGACTGATTTCCTCATGAACTGTAACTCAGAAAAAATATTTGAAATTGTTGCATGTTGCGTTGATATTTTTGTTCAGTTATATATTTTAATACATGAGTTTTATAAATGTTAATCACATTTCTGCCTGGTGGCTCCACAGAGGTACCTGATCTACGCCGTGCTGTGGTCCTTCTCGGGCGATGGCCGGCTGAAGATTCGTGGTGAGCTGGGCGATTACATCCGCCGCATCACCACTGTGCCCCTGCCCTCGGCACCCAACGTGCCCATCATTGACTACGAGGTAGGAATGAATGTGCCCTCAAGTCTTGGGCAACATCAAGCTCAATACTTTTCAAGTTAAAATGTATTGTACTCTCCCGAGTCCGTGCAGGAGTTGCAGCGATGGGACAAAAATGTAACTACCAATTGGATATCACGAAATTGGGTAGAAAAAGGGCCCAAAAAATTATAATAATAAAAAAATAAAAATGGTATTGTACATTACAGGCACAGATGGATAGAAAACACAAAACCTTTGTCTAGGAAAACCTCTGGTCACTAGTTACATGAATTATACTCCAACCCTCCTTCCTGCTTTCTTTCTTCCCTTCAGGTGAACATCTCTGGCGAGTGGCAGTCGTGGCAGGGCAAGGTGCCCCAGATCGAGGTGGAGACCCACAGGGTGGCTAGCCCTGACGTGGTGGTGCCCACCCTGGACACGGTGCGCCATGAGGCCCTGCTCTACACCTGGCTGGCCGAGCACAAGCCCCTGGTGCTGTGTGGCCCCCCCGGCTCGGGTAAAACCATGACCCTGTTCAGCGCCCTCCGAGCCCTGCCCGACATGGAGGTAAGTGTGGTGGCATCAGGAACATCGTTCACTAGGGTTAGATGGCACTTGACCAGTGAGTTGCCATTGTAGACTAAACTGACAACCATGGTTTGAATTGGGGAGTTTTAGTGCTGAATTGGAACAAAAGCCTGCACATGTCCTCATAATTGGCCACCCTAGAGCTAAGTCTGAGTAGTATTCTAGAACAGAGCCTATATCTCTAAGTGTGCATTGAGTCATTCGTAGTAGTAGGTTTGCCTGCCAAACCAAGTTAACCCTTCCACTTCTGCTCCCAGGTTGTGGGTCTGAATTTCTCCAGCGCCACCACCCCGGAGCTGCTGCTGAAGACCTTTGACCACTACTGCGAGTACCGCCGCACGCCCAACGGTGTGGTCCTGGCCCCAGTGCAGCTGGGCAAGTGGCTGGTGCTCTTCTGTGATGAGATCAACTTGCCCGACATGGACAAGTATGGCACCCAGAGAGTCATCTCCTTCCTCAGACAGGTGAGGGGATCACACACATACTTGTTGTTAGATCCGTGTGAGGACCATATACACATGCACAAACATGCGCGTGCACACACACTGTCTGTGTCTCAATAGGTTTAAAGGTCCGCCATTTCCTGGTTGATAAAATTCTAATAGTTTGCGTAATTTCAGTTTTTGACAAAACAAGCAATGAAGGTGTAGATAATTATTGTATCATCTAAACCGCAGTGAAATATATATTTTCAATAACCAAAAATATTGTATTTTCAAATGTTTTGAAGCTGGTGTATAAAACCAAAAGTAAAAGACGCAAAAACAAAACTTAAGAACGGGAAGCATAGCAAAAGCGCACAGATCAACTGCTTCTTAGATTTGCTTTAAGTGAGAATGACAGATCTATAACTGTGAATTTGGTGGGGTCGCCCAAAATGTTACATATTGCAGCTTTAACCATGATCACCTATCGGTGGTACTAAAGGAAAGGAGACCAGGGGCCTCATAAATGTTGCATACGTACGAAATATACCCCAAAATATGCATGCAACAGTTTTCCCACAAAAGTTGGCATTTATAAAAACTGAACTTGGCGCACATTTTCTAGTGGTTGAAGTGTGGTCCTCTGTAGCTCAATTGGTAGAGCATGGCGCTTGTAACGCCAGGGTAGTGGGTTCGATCCCCGGGACCACCCATACGTAGAAATGTATGCACACATGACTGTAAGTCGCTTTGGATAAAAGCGTCTGCTAAATGGCATATTATTATATTATTGAATTGCAAGTAGGCAAATAAGTATTTTGTGAAAAAAAAAAAAAGGAAAGCATATAACAAGATGCAGCCATTTGCCGTTAGTAGGCCTAAGAGCGAAAATCTCTTTTGTATTTATTTTTTATCTAAAATAATTAGACATAGGAATTTATTTCATAACCGTTGCAGAAATATTCCACCTTTTCTGGCCGTGATGCATTCCCGAAGTAGCCATACAACAAATGACCATGTGTATCTCGTATTTAGTTGGTCCTAGTAGCCTAGTAAATAGATGTATTTCAAGTTTTGCTGTAGTCTATGCGATCCCATAGGCAGCACAGTTTATTACATAGGCTACAGTCAAATTTAACAGGTGAACAGACGGAACTATGTATGTACCTACTGTAAGTAGCCTACTGTAATGTCAATTTTTTTTGGATAGCCTAGACAATGTTTCAGAACTCACAGGGGCAGTCCAGCATATTTCGGTTGGGGGGAAAGTCGATGCAAAACATTGTTGAATTATGGTCCTCTGTAGCTCAGCTGGTAGAGCACGGCGCTTGTAACGCCAGGGTAGTGGGTTCGATACCCGGGACCACCCATACACAAAAAAAAATGTATGCACGCATGACTGTAAGTCGCTTTGGATAAAAGCGTCTGCTAAATGGCATATTATTATTATTATTATTGAATTCAAACATTCTGATGACAGGTCCACAACAATTAGCCTTTTTTTTTTTCTTTTTTTTTACTGTCATATTCCTTTGCCAAATACAGCATAAGTTACTGCAAAATATTTTAAAATTCTGCCAACGCCTCCAAAAACATTTGATCAAATTTGCCATTGCTCTTTCTTTTAGAAACTGCCCTTGACCTAATTCCAATAGTTCCAAATTATACAGCAAATAAAGGGTGTTATTGTCACCAAAACGGAGGGTGTTTTCCAGGCGGCGTTATAATGCTTGTTTAAGCACGCGCAGTTCTACAACAGGTCTGGTTTTATAACGGGAAACATTAGTATGTATGGCTTGCGCCAAGTTTAGAAATCTCTATTTTTAGACATAAGCATTCTTTGCAGAAATGGCGCACGCAAATATTTTGTGTGAAATTTACACAACGGTTATAAATGAGGCCCGAGGAGACTATGAAGGATGCCATTTGAGAATCAGCCAGTGTGTTCTGAAGGAAAACGCGAAGGCCTATGTTATGCAGAGTTCCTGCTGGAGTATAAGCTCATCCTCTTCTGGTGTTTTCCCCTGCAGATGGTGGAGCATGGTGGCTTCTACCGCACCTCTGACCAGACCTGGGTCAAGCTGGAGAGGATCCAGTTTGTGGGAGCCTGTAACCCTCCCACCGACCCTGGCAGGAAGCCCCTCACCCACAGGTACACTGTAGGGTGTCCAATCAAAAACGCATCCTTTGACCAATGGGTGAAATAATGTTAATTGAAGGTCCTTCTCTAAGAAAACCAATGGCTTGTAGGATGGCCAAGATTAGGGTGACTAAATCAATGGAGGCCAGAATTTTTGGGGTCAAAAATCTAGAAAATAGCTTTGCGTCAGCTAGGCTGGATGCTGTGAGAGAATTAAGGCCAACTGACAGGCTCACCATTGAACTCCTCTTTCTTCTCGAATCCGGAGGACAAAAAACAATATAGAGGTAAGATAGATATCGATTTTGAGACATGACGTAGTATGTTAGTATACGCTTTTCATATTAAGATTTCTCTGATAAACAAGCGCATCTCTGTGAAAAGTCAACGGAGCACTGAGCGTACCGCAATATATATATTTTTAAAGGCTTTTTACATTTAATTCAGCTTGTGTCATGTAAATGTAGCTTTTTGCGACCCCCGGAAACAACTTTGCAGACGACCACCACAACATGTAAAATCCTCAAAAGTCACTGCGAGAAGCGGCATCGCTCTGTCAACAGAGCTCGGTGCTTATTATCAGATGTATTAGGTTACGAAATTCGACTTTTTGGATATAATGTTAATGATATGTTTAGAGAAAGGCCCCACTGAATGATTCAGAACATAAACAATCATATTCGTCTTGGTAAAATGTATTTTATAACATAAGGAAGTGAAGTTTCATCACCAAAGTCCGTTTTCACCCACTCTGGGAAGAGTGGGTGGACACCCTATTCTGTCAACATGACCTGTGACCTTTCTCAGACACTGTAGCTTTATCCTGGGTCTTGTTCAGTAGGGCATACCGTAGCAAAATGCTTTGAAACTGAAAATTGATATGACTTTCTTATTGGAAAAGCCGTTTCAATCAGTTTTCTCACGTTTTGTGCCTAATGAACATGACCCTGGACTAGAGTCACTGGTAGATTTTAAATGATGAGTAACGCTGTGTGATTGAATTGTAGGTTTCTGCGACACGTACCAGTGGTGTACGTGGACTATCCCGGCCCCGCCTCCCTCACTCAGATCTACGGCACCTTCAACCGAGCCATGCTGCGTCTCATCCCTTCGCTGCGTACCTACGCCGAGCCCCTCACCGCCGCCATGGTGGAGTTCTACACCATGTCTCAGGTAAGACCCTCTGTACCAAGAGATAGATACAGTAGTAGTAGTATTTACAGTAGTATTTATAGTAGTAGTATTTACAGAAGTATTTATCTCTATGGTACCACATCCTCACAGACAAGCCTTGAATAGGAGCCACTATAGAAATAATTCTCAATGTGCTGAACACAATGTTAGGATAGGATGTAGCCGTCTATGCTATCTTGACAAATATCATGGTCGTTGTCGGCAAAACGGCACAAACCGATCTCGGGCCAGGCTAGATTGGATGTGCTGACCTCTGTCCTCATTGACCTTCACCCTCTGTCGACTACAGGAACGCTTCACCCAAGACACCCAGCCCCACTACATCTACTCACCCCGTGAGATGTCCCGCTGGGTGAGGGGCATCTTCGAGGCCCTGCGGCCCCTGGAGACGCTCCCTGTGGAGGGCCTCATCCGCATCTGGGCCCATGAGGCCCTTCGCCTCTTCCAGGACAGGTGGGTGTTCAGTCCATAGGGAAGTAGCCAGACTACTCCCTCCAAAGTAGTGTAGTAGAATATATGGGGGAAAGATTGTTTAGCCATATAACTAGGACCTGGAATTTTCCCTTACCAGGAAAAACTCCAGGCGCTTGTTTTAGACTATAACCAAGGCCTTGAGTTTTTCCTGATTGTGTGACCTGATCGAGAAAAACTCAGGGCCCTATATCAGTTAAACGCAAAGAGATCCAAATATTGAAATGTCCTGTTTGACCACCTTGACGCGTCTGTCCCCTACAGGCTAGTGGAGGATGAGGAAAGACGCTGGACTGATGAGAACATCGACATGGTGGCTCTCAAGCACTTCCCCAACATCGACCGTGAAAAGGCCCTCAACAGGCCTATCCTCTACAGCAACTGGCTCTCCAAGGTGAGCTTCCTCCCCTTAGATACAATATAATACTGTTCTGTTTATACAGACGCAATATAAAATGGTGTACTATTTAATTCTGTGTATATCCATATGTTGCATCATCTAATTTCTCATAACTACTGTATAAACATACCCGCCATGAATGTAGAGCCAAGAAATTGACAATTAAGGCTAAGAATGAAATATGTTTTTTAGTTGGTGTCTGTTAACGGTTATCTGTCCCTCTCCTCAGGATTACATCCCAGTGGAGCAAGAGGAGCTGAGAGACTATGTCAAAGCCCGTCTAAGGGTGTTCTACGAGGAGGAGTTGGACGTGCCTCTGGTGCTTTTTAACGAGGTGCTGGACCATGTCCTTCGAATTGATCGGTAAGAAAAAATATATACAGTACCAGTCAAAAGTTTGGACACACCTACTCATTCAAGGGTTTTTCTTTATTTTTACTATTTTCTACATTGTAGAATAATAGTGAAGACATCAAAACTATGAAATAGCACACATGGAATCATGTAGTAACAAAAAAGTGTTAAACAAATCAAAATATATTTGAGATTTGAGATTCTTCAAAGTAGCCACCCTTTGCCTTGATGACAGCTGTGCACACTCTTGGCATTCTCTCAACCAGCTTTATGAGGTAGTCACCTGGAATGCTTTTCCAACAGTCTTGAAGGAGTTCCCACATGCTGAGCACTTGTTGGCTGCTTTTCCTTCACTCTGCAGTCCAACTCATCCCAAACCATCTGAATTGGGTTGAGGTCGGGTGATTGTGGAGGCCAGGTCATCTGGTGCAGCACTCCATCACTCTCCTTCTTGGTAAAATAGACCTTACACAGCCTGGAGGTGTTTTGGGTCATTGTCCTGTTGAAAAACAAATGATAGTCCCACTAAGCGCAAACCAGATGGGATGGCGTATCGGTGCAGAATGCTGTGGTAGCCATGCTGGTTAAGTTTGCCTTGAATTGTAAATAAATCACTGACAGTGTCACCAGCAAAGCACCATCACACCACCTCCTTTATTCTTCACGGTGGGAACCACACGTGGAGATCATCTGTTCACCAACTCTGCGTCTCACAAAGACACAGCGGTTGGAACCAAAAATCTCCAATTTGGACTCATCAGACCAAAGGACAGATTTCCACCGGTCTAATGTCCATTGCTTGTGTTTCTTGGCCCGAGTAAGTCTGTTCTTCTTATTGGTGTCCTTTATTAATGGTTTCTTTGCAGCAATTCGACCATAAAGGCCTTATTCACGCAGTCTCCTCTGAACAGTTGATGTTGAGATGTGTCTGTTACTTGAACTCTGAAGTATTTCTTTGGGCTGCAATCTGAGGTGCAGTTAATTGCAGATTTCTGAGGCTGGTAACTAATGAATTTATCCTCTGCAGCAGAGGTAACTCTGGGTCTTTCCTGTGGCTGTCCTCATGAGAGCCAGTTTCATCATTGCGACTGCACTTGAAGGAACTTTAAAAGTTCTTGACATTTTCCGTATTGACTGACCTTCAAGTCGTAGTGTAATGATGGACTGTCATTTTCTCTTTGCTTATTTGAGCTGTTCTTGCCATAATATGGACTTGGTCTTTTACCAAATAGGGCTATCTTCCGTATACCCAACCCTTCCTTGTCACAACACAACTGATTGGCTCAAACTCATTAAGAAGGAAAGAAATTCCACAAATTACCTTTTAACAAGGCACACCTGTTCATTGAAATGCATTCCAGGTGACTACCTCATGAAGCTGGTTGAGAGAATGCCAAGAATGTGCAAAGCGGTCATCAAGGCAAAGGGTGGCTACTTTGAAGAATCTCAAATCTCTAATATATTTTGATTTGTTTAACACTTTTTCGGTTACAACATGATTTCATATGTGTTATTTCATAGTTTTGATGTCTTCACTATTATTCTACATTGTAGAAAATAGTAAAAATAAAGAAAAACCCTTGAATGAGTAGGTGTGTCCAAACGTTTGACTGGTAGTATATATCTGCTTCACATTTTGCAATTTCCCACGTGGATAGGTTTTTGATTTTACATTGTTAAAATGACCAATTCATGTTCTTTCCAGAATCTTCCGTCAGCCCCAGGGTCATCTCCTGCTGATTGGAGTAAGTGGTGCAGGGAAGACCACCCTGTCGCGCTTTGTGGCTTGGATGAATGGCCTGAGTGTCTATCAGATCAAGGTAAGTAAAGAAAATGTAACCGTTATTGGTTACCTGCAAATTGAACTGTACCATGAATTGCAGTTCAAAGGTATCTGGACAACATTTCAACACATTACAACAGATACTGTGGATGGGAAAAGTAATGGTTCAGTTTGCAGAAGTGTTTGTTAGGTCTGTGTTGAATTCAATTAGTTCTGAGTTCAGTGGTTGAATGAGGTGCTGAGCACATTGCGACGTGTGTGTGTCCAGGTGCACAGGAGGTACACAGGCGATGACTTTGACGAGGACCTGCGGACAGTCCTGCGGCGCTCCGGCTGCAAGAACGAGAAGATCGCCTTCATCATGGACGAGTCCAACGTACTGGACTCTGGCTTCCTGGAGCGCATGAACACCCTGCTGGCCAACGGAGAGGTAAAGACTAGGAACGCCACACTTTACTGCATCTCAATAGTCAAAAGTGGAACCGTGTCTCCTTTCCTTCATCTGTATTTATACTGAAGAGACTGGCTTTCACGCTACCCACTCCAATTCAAGATAGCCATCATCCTCCATATTGCTTTCACTTAGAGCAGATGGAGAAGGAACAAGGAAAAGAAGCCACTTGAAACTATTGAGATGTATCCCCTGTCGCCTCTTCCATAGTCCCCAATGTAACTATACTAGATACTGCTATTGAGAAACTGGTTGGGTGCTGCTATTGAGATGCTTGTTAGATATTGCTATTGAGATACTTGTTGGTAGGAAATGTCACGTCCACCCTCCAGTTCCTATACATCTAATATACGTTTTGTCTTGTCCCTTCCCAGGTGCCAGGTCTGTTTGAGGGTGACGAGTACGCCGCCCTGATGACCCAGTGTAAGGAGGGCGCCCAGAAGGAGGGCATGATGCTGGACACTCACGAGGAGCTCTACAAGTGGTTCACCAGCCAGGTCATCCGGAACCTTCACGTGGTCTTCACCATGAACCCCTCGTCCGAGGGCCTGAAGGACCGCGCTGCCACCTCCCCTGCCCTCTTCAACAGGTGGGGCCTCCTATACATATCTGCAGTAGTCACTGGTGTTGGTCTATCCGTATTAACTGAGTACACAGTGGCACTGGTCTTTCCGTAATAACGGAGTACACAGTGGCACCAGTCACTCAGTTGTAGCTGATAAACCCATAGAAAGTCATTTTTAGGTTGAATTGATTCATTTGGATCCATTTAGATAGATTTGACACACATGGGTCAAAATGCCCTTGGTCCTTTACTCTTTTTCTTCAGATCTGCTGTGATCGTATCCTTCCACTGCAGTACCTGTGTTGGCCACTGCTAACGCTCCTTTCGTCCCTCCCTCAACAGGTGTGTGTTGAATTGGTTTGGAGACTGGTCTACCGAGGCCCTCTACCAAGTGGGCAAAGAGTTCACCATCAAACTGGACCTGGAGAAGCCCAACTACAAGGTGCCCGACTACATGCCCGTGGTGTATGACAAGCTGCCCACGCCACCTTCTCACCGCGAGGCCATCGTCAACGGCTGCGTATTTGTCCACCAGACACTGCACCAGGTAAGATTCACTCTTTGGTAATCAGACCTGGGTACAAAATACTTCAGCTGTGCTTGATTGAGCTTGCCTAGTGCAATGGAACCAATGGAGTAGTCTCAGGTGCAAAGCCTTCCCATCTGGTGCTCCAGGCAGGCTCAATCAAACGCTCTATTTGAAAGAATAGAAATACCATTTAAACCCAGGTCTGTCAGTCATATGACTTGTGTGTAAATTAAATTCATTCGCTTGCAATGGCTTTCTTACTCCTCAGGCTAACAGTCGACTGTCCAAGCGCGGTGGGCGCACCATGGCCATCACTCCTCGCCACTACCTGGACTTCATCAACCACTACGCCGACCTGTTCAACGAGAAGCGCAGCGAGCTAGAGGAGCAACAGATGCATCTCAACGTGGGCCTGAGGAAGATCAAGGAGACTGTGGACCAGGTAACGCATCATTTCATAGCAGACGTTACAATCTCTCGTAAACGTAAGACGTAAATTGATTTAGCTAGCTAGCACACACAATTTGGTTCTGGGTTCCAAGATGATGGTAAATCTGAAGGAGTGTGGTATCCATTCCAGTTGTTTGATACCACAGTCTTTATCTCTACCCATAGGTGGAGGAGCTGCGACGTGATCTGAGGGTCAAGAGCCAGGAGCTGGAGGTGAAGAATTCGGCAGCTAACGACAAGCTGAAGAAGATGGTCAAAGACCAGCAGGAGGCTGAGAAGAAAAAGGTAAGCTAGAGGAACTAGTTGACTGTATACGTGGTCTGAAACTTCCGACCCGCTCGGACACAAATAAGCAGCTCGGGGCCTGATGTGGCCAGGAGTTTCAGATTTCTGCTGTATGCTAAAGCTATTGAAGTGGATGGTGGTTGTGTCCTGTGGTTGTATCAAACCTGTGTGTTGCCATGATGATCCATAGGTGATGAGCCAGGAGATCCAGGAGTCTGTGTACAAGCAACAGGAGAAGATCAAGGACAAACAGTTGAGTGTTAAAGAGGATCTGGACCAGGTGGAGCCGGCTGTTATTGAGGCTCAGAATGGTATGACTTACCCATCTCTAATCACTTTGTTGTTTTTGGTGGTCTATTTCATTGTCGTAGCCTTTTGATGTATCCTACTCTTTAGAAATTGTCACAATCAATTGAGGTACTGTGATTTGAAATACAGTGTTCTGTGTAAACAAACTCATTTGGGATAGTTCATAATTGCAATGTAGCTGAAGCTGTTGAATGACCACATCACCGAGTTTACAGGATGCGATGCTCAACTTATAGAGGCAACAATACCCCATATTTATCTTATTTTCTCCCTCAAGTTTTCATTCTAGGTTCCTTATTGTCCTCTCTCTCGTGGTATCTCGGTACGAGATGGATATCTCTTCTTCTCTTGCTAACGTCTCTGCTCTTCTCACTTTCCCTCCTCCTCCTCCTCCGTTGTTGCCCCTCTTCGTGTGGTCTTGTGCTGGGCTTAGCCGTTAAGTCTATTAAGAAGCAGCACCTGGTGGAGGTGCGCTCCATGGCCAACCCGCCGGGGGCGGTCAAGCTGGCCCTGGAGTCCATCTGCCTGCTCCTGGGAGAGAGCACCACGGACTGGAAGCAGATCCGCTCCATCATTATGAGGGAGAACTTCATCCCCACCATTGTTAACTTTTCTGCTGATGAGATCAGGTGAGATGGGAAGATGGCAGAAGTGTGGGGAAGGGGGAGGGGCGTCTGGGACTGTTCATTGGCAGAGAGGAGTTGCGTGATTGACGTTTGATTTGGAGCAAACGCATTCACTGTTGGTCTGAGTGGTCGACATGTTTTGGCATTCCCGCAGTAAATATCGTTTTAAAATGTAGAGGTACATTCCTGTTTAATGTTTTTTAAATCTCTAAATTGCTACTTTTAACTTCAATGAGTCCAAATGCAAAAAACACCTCTCTGCTCTCAAAAGAACAATCCCCTTGCCCCTCTCTTCCAACCCGGCTGCTGTCAACTAATGACTGGAAAAAGATCAGACAAGTTATTGTCAGGGACAATTTCATCACCAGCATAGTCAACTTTGTCTCAGAGGACATGAGGTACTGTGCATATACATTTACATTACCGTAATATACTGTTTGTCTCCAGAATTTTTCAGATAGCACACATCTGATCTCAAAATAAGAAAATCTTCCTCACGCAGTTGTGATTTACTGCATTATCATTCATTGACAATTGACAATGCTCATTGAATCAAGTTAGCATGTCCAGGAGTTGGATAGATATGTTTTCTGTCCGTAGTCGGTAGCCATACAATTAGTCTGAAATCAGTCACTACTACCTGTATCCATTTAGATTAAATTTTTTAATTGAGTCACCAAATACAAAATATAATTTTTTCCACTTAAAGGGAAATTTCACCTTAGCTCTGCCACTGTATATAATCATGACTATATTAACATTACGTTTTGTCATAAACATCAAAAATCCCATTCCCACAAGCTAGGACAAGCACATTTTCATTTCACTAGTAGAATCGGGAAGTTAAGACTGCATATTCGTTTGCTCATAGTGTACCACAAGGACCGGCATTCATAGCAAATGCACAACGAGGACAGAGCAGGAAGCCCCGCCCCACACAACTGTAGTCTTTCAGAGGCTGGAAAAAATATCTAGCAATAACTCCACCAATGGGAACAGCGCTGAAAGACATCCAAGGGCTCTATCGAACCAGGACAACCATATCTACACACGCACAAACGTATAGTACGATCGATATAACATAGAGGCTTCGCTAAATGCCACAAAGTAGGACTACTTTCATTTTCAGATCTCTTCCACCCCATCAATACACCGGATGTTGTAATTGGGTATATTGTTCGGTGCACGAAACCCAGACCCGCCACCTTTGTGGCCAATTATGTGTGAAACACACCTCAATGACCTAGAAGTGCTTCGGACACGTTCAAAACAAACCCAGAATCATATTTTTATGAAATGTCCCTTTAAAGCTCTAACAACCGGCCTCCTGAGTGGCGCAGCGGTCTAAGGCACATTTTACATTTACATTTTAGTCATTTAGCAGACGCTCTTATCCAGAGCGACTTACAGTTAGTGAATACATATTTTTTTTATACTGGCCCCCCGTGGGAATCGAACCCACAACCCTGGCGTTGCAAACGCCATGCTCTACCAACTGAGCTACATCCCTGCCGGCCATTCCCTCCCCTACCCTGGACGACGCTGGGCCAATTGTGCGCTGCCCATGAGTCTCCCGGTCGCGGCCGGCGGCGACAGAGCCTGGATTTGAACCAGGATCTCTAGTGGCACAGTTAGCACTGCGATGCAGTGCCTTAGACCACTGCGCCACTCAGGAGTAGGCACTGCATCGCAGTGCTAGAGGTGTCACTACAGACCCGGGTTCGATCCCGGGCTGTGTCACAGCCGGCTGCGACCGGGAGACCCATGAGGCAGCGCACAATTGGATCAGCTTCGTCTGGGTTAGGGGAGGGTTTGGCCGGCTGGGATGTCCTTGTCCCATCGCGCTCTAGTGACTCCTTGTGGCGGGCCGGGCGCATGCACGCTGACTTCGGTCTTGTAACTACCAATTGGATATCACGAAATTGGGGAGAAAAGTAAAAAATATTTGTAAAAAAGCTCTAACAACCAATACCTTTTCCATTTTTAAATTATAGATGTATTTATTTTTGCTTCCTTGCAAGCCACCCCTTTCCTACATAATTTCATCATGATCATTTCCGAATACCCTGCTCGCCATTTCATTAATTTGAGATTTCATACAATTGCCTGTGTTGCTCTGTCCTAACCCCGTGACGCTATCGTTATGCAGTGAGTCAATCCGTGAGAAGATGAAGAAGAACTACATGTCCAACCCCAACTTCAACTACGAGATGGTCAACAGGGCCTCCCTGGCCTGTGGCCCCATGGTCAAATGGGCCATCGCTCAGGTAAGGAAACCACCGCCCACTGACTTTTTGTATTGGTAATGTTTGAGGGTGGATCTAAAAAGTATTTCCTCGATTCCTCACCTCCCTCTCAAAACTCATTTGAGGAGAAGATCCTAGAGGAGGAACCTTGGATCTTCTCCTCCGATGCATTTTGAGGAGATGTGGAGAGAAGAAAGTCTTTTGAGATTCACCCAATGTCTAGTGAGTGCCAGGAGTAAATCTGTCCTTACCACGTTTCTCGATCCATCAAAAACCCTGCGACCTACTTATAACCTACAATTATAGCCTGCAATTATTGACACCTCTTTTCCCCCTCTTCTAGCTGAACTATGCTGACATGTTGAAGCGTGTGGAGCCGCTGAGGAACGAGCTTCAGAAGCTGGAGGACGACGCCATGGACAATAAGTCCAAGGCGGAGGAGGTGGAGCAGATGATCCGCGACCTGGAGTCCAGCATCGCCCGCTACAAGGAGGAGTACGCCGTGCTCATCTCTGAGGCCCAGGCCATTAAGGCCGATCTGGCCGCTGTGGAGGCGAAGGTAGGGAAATCAATCCGACCATAAGAACAACGTTCCTAATTAACTCAACTAAACCATTTTACTATCGCCGTAACCTTAGGAATAGGCAAGAGATTTAGGAAAATACTTTCAAGTGCAAATAAAGATTTTTCTATGAAAAAGGCCTTGCATCTCAGCTATTAAAATTCTGAAAGTCAATGCCCTAGACTTGACAGTAATATGTAGCCCTAGGGGATGAGTCTTTTCAGTTTATAGCTCCATTTCAATGTAAAGCAATTGAAGACCAGGTGGAAAAGCACTATCTATCCAATCTATCATTGTTAAACCCGACCTTGACTGTCTTCTTTGACCACAGGTGAACCGCAGCACAGCCCTGCTCAAGAGCCTGTCTGCTGAGAGTGAGCGCTGGGAGAAGTCCAGCGAGACGTTCAAGAACCAGATGGCAACCATCGCCGGGGACTGCCTGCTGTCCGCAGCCTTCATCGCCTATGCTGGCTACTTCGAGCAGCAGATGAGACAGAACCTCTTCACCACCTGGTCGCACCACCTGCAGCAGGCCAACATCCAGGTACTGGGGGGTTGTTCGAGAATTGTTTGCTCACACCGCTATTTCCTAGGCTTTAGCGCAGTCAGCTAACACTTGAGTCGCACGGATAACCCAGTTTCAAAACCCAGTCAGTTGCACTGACTTCGGCAGTCATCATTCAAGGCACTGTACATTATGTTTTTGTATGGCTAACTAGATCTCTCCTCCTCCATAGTTCCGTACGGACATCGCCAGGACTGAGTACTTGTCCAACGCGGACGAAAGGCTGCGCTGGCAGGCCAACTCCCTCCCAGCAGACGACCTATGCACCGAGAACGCCATCATGCTCAAGAGGTTCAACAGGTGAGTGTAATACATCCGAACCAAAATATAATGTATCATCCCGTACTGTAGGACTTGAGGTGGCGTATAGAACCAACACAGAGGGGTAGAGTGTGGTTGTTCTCTCATAAACGTGTAGTGAAGGCTCAGATCATCACTGTGGATCATGTTGGGAGATACAAAACGGTTCCATTTCTCATCTTTAGTCTTAAAGAGCGACTGCCCCTAAAAAGCAACTTCTCATTTTGAAAACGGCCTATGTGGCATCAATATGAGTCAGAAACATGTATTCTAGTGTCAAAATTGAATACAAAGTGTAGATAGGATAAATGGTAAAAGTCAGTCTTGTGCAAAACGGAGATTTGCGAGATGATAGGAAAGAAATGGTATGTCTTGGAATGAACGGTACCATAACTGTTTTCCGTGGGTTGGGTTTATTTTTATCCTGCCCACAGCTGGCAGCACACAAGTAATCATCAACTGCACGCGACCCGTTCGTAATGCCCATGGTCAATTCGGTTTGACATTCGATATCCCTATGGGCGTAGTTAGGGACCATATGTAAATTACACAATGTACATGGGACAATATTTTAAAAGTTCAATATCTCCAAATTTCAATGACTTAAAAACATCAAACCAACTATAAATTGTAGAAATGCATATACAAATATCGAAAGTGTTTTATTTATTTTTAACTAAAAGATGTGCAACATGAAAATATTGTACCATTTACATTGTAATTTACAGAGATAGGCTATCCAATGTCAAACCAATTTAGCCATGGTCACACAACCAGCCAGCTGAAGCTAATTGGCTAAATAAGTTGGCTGGCACTATATTAGCACTAGCTAACCTAGGCGACTTCAAGACACAAGACCTGGTTAGACCGTTTCAAGTTATCTAGAAGGGTGAGGGTACTGTGTACTGTTTTGACAGAGTGAATCTGCAAATGCTTGCCACGTGCGAACACACACAAGAGACACCCACATTAACCCCCCCAATACTGTCATTTGGCTTCAGTCATGGCTGCGGCATTTCTTAATGAACAAGCCGAAAAACGAGGCCAAATCAGGAAGTTCAGCCCCCCTTTAATTGTGGGAATGTTTTATAATGAATGCCTATCCCAGTTCAAAAGTACAGCTTTTATAAACACTCCTGGAAAGTTGGCCTTTTGGACTAAATGAGATCCTAATAAATAAATACACTTTGCCTTTCCCAGGTATCCCCTAATCATCGACCCGTCTGGCCAGGCCACAGAGTTCATCATGAACGAGTACAAGGACCGCAAGATCACCAGAACCAGCTTCCTGGATGACGCCTTCAGGAAGAACCTGGAGAGCGCCCTGCGATTTGGAAACCCTCTGCTTGTGCAGGTCAGAACAGTCTCCTCTTGGTCTATCCAGCATGTTCCATACCATGTATACCTATGCAACTAGTATGTAACGCATGCTTTTAATCTGAATAAATTGGGAAGTAGTGCTCAACTGCTGTTGCTGTAAATATCATCTCTCAGACTGGTAACACAAATTGTATTATATTTAACATAAGCTTTAATGTAAATGTTAGGTCCAGTAGCTAGCGTACGCAACATTTGGTTCTGGGTTCCAAGATAATGGTAGATTGGGTTATCCAACCTTAGTTCAATTGGGGAAACCATTTTGCTGGCATGTAACTGATAATATTTCACTGTCTCTTTCAGGATGTGGAGAGCTACGACCCCATCCTTAACCCGGTGCTCAACAGAGAGGTGCGCAGGACCGGAGGACGCGTGCTTATCACCCTCGGTGACCAGGACATTGACTTGTCCCCATCCTTCGTCATCTTCCTCTCCACCCGTGACCCCACGGTGGAGTTCCCTCCAGACCTGTGTTCTCGTGTGACCTTTGTCAACTTCACGGTGACTCGCAGCAGTCTGCAAAGCCAGTGTCTCAACGAGGTGCTGAAGGCCGAGAGGCCTGACGTGGACGAGAAGCGCTCCGACCTCCTCAAACTGCAGGGTGAGACGTGCGCACACATACAGTATGAAAATGTATGCACTCAATAACTGTAAGTCGCTCTGGATAAGAGTGTCTGCTAAATGACAAAAAAATAAAAAATAAACACGTCCTCTTATCTATCCCGGACCTGATTTCATGTGAATGAAACTCGTATACGGATCTGACTTCTGATGTGCAATGGACACAAATAAAGTATCTTACCCTCTTCTCTTAGTCCTATTTTATCCTTAAAATATCAAAGCACTAACCTTCACTGTCCTCCCCTTCTCCTCTCCATACCTCCACCAGGTGAGTTCCAGGTGCGTCTGCGCCAACTGGAGAAGTCCCTGCTGCAGGCCCTGAACGAGGTCAAGGGTCGTATCCTGGACGACGACACCATCATCACCACCCTGGAGAACCTGAAGAAGGAGGCAGCAGAGGTGACCAGGAAGGTGGAGGAGACAGACATCGTGATGGCCGAGGTGGAGACTGTGTCGCAGCAGTACCTGTCCCTCGCTTCGGCTTGCAGCTCCATCTACTTCACCATGGAGGCCCTCAACCAGGTATGCAGAGAGATGCGCGCACACACTCACTAGGGTTGGGCGGTTTCCAGATTCTCATACAGTCCTTCTCTCATCCTGGGATGTACCGTATTACCGGTTTAGTACACAAGGGGGCGCCGAAAAAAACACACAAAAAAAGACCATTGGGCGTCTGTTACCAGAATGCTAACAAAATTAGCACAAGTAATAGCGAATTTCCATGGAGGCTCCTAACTCAATATGTTAACGAGCGCAAACGAAAATAAACTAATTGCAAAGACGGGCAATCCTACTCATAAAGTTGTACATGTATAAGTAGGAGCTACCGAATGTCATTTCTGGTGAGTTTGGACATTTGCAAGCGAATGTGAACGAGAGATATTGTGCAAATGAACAAGTTTTGATGCATGTTTGTCTGAAGGAAGAACAGTACTGGCTCTGAAGCAGCATGTGTACACGTTCACATTGTGTCTGTGTGGAGTCTGGAGTCGCTAGGGCAGCGATTCCCAAACGAGGGGTCCTGACCCCATGTGGGGTCAACTGATATGAAAATGGGTCGCGGGAGAATTTCCAAAACCCTGAAGGGGGAAAAAAATAAATATACAAAAAATAATTTTGTCAGATAACACTGTTAAACAAATAATGTATGCTATTGCTAGCAATCAAGTGGAAACTCTGACTGAACAACTCAAACTCCCTAGATTATGCTCTCCAAATGGACGTTAGCTGTGAGGGCTGAGATGTCCATGAATTGACTTTTGTTCGCTATACATGTCAGGGGATGCTTTTCACGAGGACATATTGTTCTGTCTCACGATTCCCAACAATTAAATGGCACGGGGGATGTTCAGTATGTTGTATGGCTATATTGACGAAAAACTGATTCCATGGGATCTAATGGTGGACTTTTGCACAGATGGGGCTCCCATCTATGGCGGGACAGTGGGCAGGCCTCTGCACTCTAGTTATGAATGTGTCTGACATATGGACGCATTGTATGATACACCAAGAGCAACTGGTGGCAAAAGAGCTGAGCACAGAACTCTGAGATATACTTCAGCAGGTAACTTCGATTGTAAACCACATCAAACCACATCCACTGCGCGCACACATGTTTGCAAAACTATGTGGAGATATGGGATCAGAGCATGACAATGTTCTATTTCACATTGATGCTTGGTGGTTATCGAGGGGGAGTGTTGTAAAGATTTTTTGCATTGAGAGAGGAACTGTTGTCATTCACAATGGATGTAAAAAAAACAGACTTGGTAGACTTTCTGTGTAATGAAAAGAAAATGTCTCCTTGCCTATGTAACAGACATATTTGGGAAACTGAATGCAAGCACTATACCGAACCATTACAGCTTGTATGACTTCTTGTCCATCTCCAGATCCACTTCCTGTACCAGTACTCACTGCACTTCTTCCTGGACATCTACCACACAGTGCTATATGAGAATGGCAACCTGAAGAGCGTCAGCGACCACACCCAGCGCCTCACCCACATCACCAAGGACCTCTTCCAGGTAACCGCACATCTCAAACCCCTTATAGAACTTAGAACTTAGGACGTCTAGAACACCTTCTCGAACCTAGAACCTCACCTCACTAACACCTCACACCTAGAACACCTTCTAGACAAGAACTTAGAACATCTAGAACATATTTTAGAATCTAGAACATCACATCTAGAACTGGGGTTGTTCTTCATAGATCTCAAATCAATGGGTGTTTGTTAAGAGGTTTCTAGTGCAGAGCAACAATCCGATTCTCCTTGTAGGGGGCATTCAATAGAGTGGCCAGAGGCATGTGCAACCAGGACCACATCACCTTCGCCATGCTCTTAGCCAGGATCAACCTGAAAGGCATGACCAGGTAATGAACTTTGAAGTTTCTACACTTTCTTTGTTTTGTGAAGGATAAGGTCCATAGATCAGTTCCAATATCTACACTACAGCAATCTATTGAGGATGCATTCTAAGTGGTATGCTACTGTGGACAGTGTGATGTAGCCCATGAATCTTATTGATTACCATTTTTTGTTTCCTTCAGCGAGCCATCCTACGACGCCGAGTTCCAGCACTTCCTGCGCGGCGCGGAGATTGTGCTGAAGGGCACAGCGGTACCTAAGGTGAAGGGCCTGACCACGGAGCAGTGCGAGGCCATGATCATCCTCAGCCACCTCCCCGCCTTCAAGGATCTGGTCTCCAAGGTGGAGGCTGATGAGGTGAGAGATTGTTGAAAGAAAAGGTTGCCAGGAGGGAAAGAAGCTGAAGAAAATGACTTTTGCAATGTGAAGTTCTTTATTTAACTGTTCATGCTAAACAGAAGTGCATTAAAATATATATTTTTTAAGAAAGAAAGGAAAATAAAGTTGTCATTGAGGTTGACATTGCTTTTTTCTATCATTGCAGCAATTCTTCATGTGGATCGAGAGCAACTCTCCCGAGCTGTCCGTGCCCTACCTGTGGACAGAGGAGAAGCAGTCAAGTGAGTCTTTCAATCAGTGTTGTAATGTGTTCTACTTTGAAAAACCATTTGAAACCACAAAGCTAAGTTTAGTAGGCTGTTTTGCAATGTCAAGATTCCATTTATGCACTTGATAGAAGCTGCATACAAATATAACATTCAGAAAATGGGTAGTTGGAGTGCATGTTCTTCAAAGTGGTGAGAGGAAAGTGTGCTTCAGTAAAACAGGCATTCTGTGCAGTCCAACTGCAATGTAGTCAATCTCACAAATGTCCTTGGTCGGTCCTCCTCAGCATCCATCGGTCAGGCAGTGCACCAGCTGCTGCTGATCCAAGCCTTCCGTCCGGACCGCATGCTGGCCATCGCCCACATCTTTGTTTCCAAGGTCCTGGGAGACAACTTCATGGCCATTATCGAGCAGCCCCTGGACCTGGGAAACATTGTGGAAAGCGAGGTACGGATGTCAAGACATCCCTAAAGCGTCAATCTCCATTTAGGGCCAGTTTCCGAGATGGATTGAGCCTAGTCTTGGACTAAAAAGCATGTCCAATGGAGGTTCTCCGTTGAAAGTGCTTCTTAGTTCCAAGACTAGGCTTAAATGTGCTGAAAAAGCAATTGCCATTATGAGACTACAATTGCTTTTCTTAATTTATTAGCAGTTGATATGTTTCGAATGTTAAATGGACACTCAAGCACAAAGTGGGAAAAATTTGTACAAGGAACCAATACAGTTCCTTGTACATCACTTATTTAGACTGTAAATCTCCTGCTGAAACATCTGCCTGTTTTCCTACCCACCTAGGTGAAACCCAGTACCCCAGTTCTGATGTGCTCCGTGCCCGGGTACGACGCCAGCGGCCTGGTCCGGGACCTGGCTGCCGAGCAAAACAAACACATCACCTCCATCTCCATCGGTAGGTGTGCTAAAGTAGGGTTGGAGTCGATTGAGTTTTAATTTACATCCCATTTAGGAATTACTGACATATCTACTGGCATTTTAAAAACCTGGTTCCTCCGCTTCTCTCTCCTCAGGTTCTGCTGAGGGCTTCAACAAGGCCGACCGCGACATCAACACCGCCGTCAAGTCCGGCAGGTGGGTGATGCTGGAGAACGTGCACCTGGCTCCTGGTTGGCTGATGCAGCTGGAGAAGAAGCTCCACTCCATGCAGCCCCACGCCAGCTTCCGCCTCTTCCTCACCATGGAAATCAACCCTAAGGTCAGATTGAAGTTCATTAGAATAACATTGCATTATTATTTATTTATAAAGTGTGAGACCTTGTATAATACACTTTTAAATACATCTTTATTATAGCCATTAAACCAGTATGAAACTAGATGTCTTTTCCCATACATTATTAGGACCGCTCCAAAGACTAAACACAAAAAAGCAGACTATGGAAAGGCTACAAATTAGTGATTTTATTTTGAACATTCATTGTAGATTAAAGATATTGAAAATTTCAATTACAAATGTCTACATGAGGTATAATTTAGCATTCTGGTTTGTTTATCTCAAGCTATTCCTCACTGTGGCACAGTTGTGGATGACTTACCTAATGAGACTATCTAAATGGGTTTTCTCTCGCTTATTCCTCTCAGGTGCCAGTGAACCTGCTACGTGCTGGACGTATCTTTGTATTTGAGCCCCCTCCCGGTGTCAAGGCCAACATGCTGAGGACCTTCAGCAGCATCCCTGTGGCTCGCATGTGCAAGGTGACACAACCATATGAATCTCTGGCTTTCCTCTGCCTCGCTCTCGTTCTCTCTCTCTGGCTTTCTCTCTGTTCTCTCCTGTCACTCTAACTCTGTGTTGGCCTCTCACTTACACAAACTCCTTCCTCTGTCAACTTGACTGAATGTTTTCCTTTGACCTTGATTATTAAACCAACCTCTTCCTCTGCAGGCTCCCAACGAGCGCGCCCGCCTCTACTTCCTACTGGCTTGGTTCCATGCAGTCATCCAGGAGCGCCTGCGCTACGCCCCGCTGGGCTGGTCCAAGAAGTACGAGTTCGGAGAGTCGGACCTGCGCTCAGCCTGCGACACCGTGGACACCTGGCTGGACGACACCGCTAAGGTCAGTCACACGTAAAATACACCCACACTGTTGTCTCTTACATAAGGTTCTTTCTGTATGCAGCAAGTCTCTTGTATTAGATGATTAATCCATCCCAAACCTGATTCTATGTGAATGAAACTCTTATACAGATCTGACTTCTGATAATGCAATTCACACACAATATATACATTCTTGCAAATGGGAATGAAGATGTTGGTCACAAAATGAACACAGAAAATGTGAATATACAGTGCGGTCCAAAATGAAATGATACAATGACAATGATGTTAAAGTGCAGACTGTCAGCTTTAATTTGAGGGTATTTTCATCCATATCGTATTAACCATTTAGAAATTACAGCACTTTTTGTACATCGTCCCCCTATTTTAGGGAACCAAAAGTATTTGGGCAAATTAACTTGTGTATTCAGGGTTCTACCCAGGATTTTATAACAGGGACTCAGAGATTTTTACGTTTTTGAACACCTGTAACTGCCATTTCCTGCAATCTAGGGCAAAAAATACTATATTAGGCTGTGGTGCCTGGCCTTAAATGATAACAAATAAAGTAAAACAATTAAATTAATTGTGACTCTACAAACTTGTTGGATGCATTTGCAGTTTTTTGGTTGTGTTTCAGATTATTTTGTGCCCAATAGAAATGCATGATAAATTATGTATTGTCATTTGAGTTCATTTTATTGTAAATAAGAATAGAATGTTTCTAAACATTAATGTGGATGCTACCATGATTACAGATAATCCTAAATTAATCGTGAATAATGATGAGTGAGAAAGCTAGAGGCATAAATATCAACCCCCCCTCAGAAATGCTAACCTCCCCTGTTATTGTAATGGTGAGAGGTTAGCATGTCTTGGATGTATGATCTTTGTGCCTCTTAACTTTCTCACTCATCATTATTCACAACAAACCAAAAAACTATTTGGCCCTCCTGTAGATCAGTTGGTAGAGCATGGCGCTTGCAACGCAAGGGTTGTGGGTTTGTTTCCCACGGGGGCCCAGTATGAAAAATGTATGCATTCACTAATTGTAAGTCACTCTGGATAAGAGCGTCTGCTATATGACTAAAATGTCAATTGGATCACTGTCCAAATACTTTTGGACCTCACTGTATGCAGGGCTCTAAATAAAATATTTTCATTGGTAGCACTGGTGCTCCCAACTTAAAGTTAGGAGCACAACTTGAAATGTAGGAAATAAGATTTTTTTTAAACAATTGATTGAGATACAGCCTATATGAATTCTAGCTACATTTGAAGCACATGTTGTGCCCTATAAACTACACTGAACAAAAATATAAATGCAACATGCAACAATTTCAAAGATTTTACTAAGTTACAGTTCATATAAGGAAATCAGTCAATTGAAATAAATTCATTAGGCCCTAATCTATTGATTTCACATGACTGGCAATACAGATATGCATCTGTTGGGAACAGATACCTTAAAAAGACAGAAAACCAGTCAGTATCTGGTGTGATCACCATTTGCCTCATGTAGCGCGACACATCTTTCACATAGAGTTGATCAGGCTGTTGATTGTGGCCTGTGGAATGTTGTCCCACTCCTCTTCAATGGCTGTATGAAGTTGCTGGATATTGGCTGGGAACTGGAACACGCTGTTGTACACGTAGATCCAGAGCATCCCAAACATGCAGGCCATGGAAGAACTGGGACATTTTCAGTTTCCAGCATTTGTGTACAGATCCTTGCGACATGGGGCCATGCATTATTATGCTGAAACATGAGATGATGGCAGTGGATGAATGGCACGACAATGGGCCTCAGGATCCCGTCACGGTATCTCTGTGCATTCATTTAAAGTGCAATTGTGTTAGTTGTCCGTAGCTTATGATTGCCCATACCATAACCCCACCGCCACCATGGGGCACTCTGTTCACAATGTTGCATCAGCAAACCACTCGCCCACACGACGCCATACATGCAGTCTGCCATCTGCCCGGTAGAGTTGAAACAGGGATTCATCCATGAAGAGCACACATCTCCAGTGTGCCAGTGGCCATCAAAGGTGAGCATTTGCCACTGATGTTGGTTACAACGCCAAACTGCAGTCAGGTTAAGACCCTGGTGAGGACAACGAGCACAAAGATGAGCTTCCTTGGGACGGTTTCTGACAGTTTGTGCAGAAATGTTTAGGTTGTGCAAATCCACAGTTTCATTAGCTGTCTGGGTGGCTGGTCTCAGACGATCCCGCAGGTGAAGAAGCCGGATGTGGAGGTCCTGAGCTGGCGTGGTTACACATGGTCTGCGGTTGTGAGGCCAGTGGGATGTACTCCCAAATTCTCTAAAATGACGTTGGAGGCGGCTCATGGTAGAGAAATTAACATTCAATTCTCTGGCAACAGCTCTGGTGGACATTCCTGCAGTCAGCATGCAAATTGCACGCTCCCTCAACTTGAGACATCTGTGTCATTGTGTTGTGTGACACAACTGCACATTTTAGTGGCCTTTTATTGTCCCCAGCACAAGGTGCACCTGTGTAATGATCATGCCGTTTAATCAGCTTCTTGATATGCCACACCTGGTGGATGGATTATCTTGGCAAAGGAGAAATGCTCACTAACAGGGATGTAAACAAATTTGTGCACAATTTGAGAGAAATAAGCTTTTTGTGCGTATGGGAAGACATGCAAGAAATCTGTCATTCATTCATTGCTATGATCATTAATCTCCTGAAGAAGCTAGCCCTTTTCCTTTTTTCTGTGCCGCCAAATGTTTGGATATACTGGTAAGGTTACCAGGTTGTTAGCTAGCTAGCCAATGAGGTAACATGACTGAACAAAGTGTAGACAACTGGGTAACGACGTGTGAGTCGTTTTTAGAATGGCCCACAACATGGTTTATGTTATGAATGTTAAATGCGTTCCCGGCGATCCGCTATAGGAAGATACAAATATTGTGCCGGTAATATGGGTCAGATCCTATGACCTGGTTGGGCTAGAAGCAAGCCGTTTTCGCTGTAGTAATGGTGCAACCATTATGCTTTTTTTTTTTATCTTGGGCACTCTGAAACAATGGTACAGCGAAGCCTTATCATTACAATAATTATTATCTGGGAGATTTTATTCCTAGTCGCACGGTGCTCCCAAAATAAACATGTGCATATGCGACCAAATTGGTCACACTTTAAAGCCCTGACTGTATGTATTTCTATGGTGGTAACCTTCTATTCTTGTCTTCCTCCATAACCCTAGGGCCGTCAGAACATCTCCCCAGACAAGATCCCCTGGGCGGCCCTGAAGACCCTGATGGCCCAGTCCATCTACGGTGGCCGCATCGACAACGAGTTTGACCAGCGGCTGCTCAACACCTTCCTGGACCGCATCTTCACCACGGCCAGCTTCGACTCAGAGTTCAAACTGGCCTTCAAGGTGGACGGCCACAAGGACATCAAGATGCCCGATGGCATCCGGTCAGTGGCGGGGTTGGGGGTAGTGGTGTTAGTTTGGTTTTATTTCATTACATTGGCAACTAAAATATGCATTTTTTTATACAGTACATGCAAAGAAAACATGAAACATGGTTTCCAATAGATTGTGACCAATCCTTCTCAGCAAAACTTTTGTAAATGTCATAAAGAAATTCATAGGAAACCTTTTACATTCTTTACAAGTGCAACTTCTGAAATACACACATTTAGGAACTGTTGATTTCAGAAGGGGATTTTCTAACTTTCTCCATACTGTCTCAGTAACACTGTGTTGTTCTGTGTCTTTTCTTCCAGACGTGAGGAGTTCATGCACTGGGTGGAGATGCTGCCGGACACCCAGACCCCGTCCTGGCTGGGCCTGCCCAGCAACGCTGAGAAGGTCCTGCTCACCACTCAGGGTATGCTATTGGCTGCTGCTGGTTGTCGCCGGCTGCAGCTGCACTCAAGGGGCGTGTCCGGTTTTGTCTGTGGGATCCTTTGTCTGCTGCGAGGAGAGCTACAGGAGACATCATCTCCGGTTTCTCAATTTCTCTAATATCTCTCTCCATATCTGTTCTAACGCATCTTATTTTAATTTTAAATCTTATAGAGGAATGACTACCATAGATGAAGAGCATATTCTCACATTGCGTCCGTTAACTTGGATGCAATGGCATTGGTGGCTCATTATTAGCCTTTCCTTATCTTTTCCTCCTATCAGTTCCAGTGTTATAACACAAGCCTCGTGTGGTGGTAGCCGTGCCAATGTGAATGAGGGTGTTCTGTCGAGTGGGGGGTGTTCTCACCTTCCAGCAGCTGCATTTCACATTTATCGTGTCTTGCTTAGCTTCCGGTTCGAACTCCCAGCCGTTGATGCATCCATCCCTCCGTTCCCATTTGAATACATTGATTTCTCTCACAAAGCCCTGGAAATCTTCTTCATGCACGACTTCATGCCTCCATCCATCCCTCCATCACTTTGGGTTACTATGATTTTGTCACAGAGCCCACAGGAACCCTCTTCACTTCTATAGGTCCTCGTTTACAAAATACGGCACAGTCTCCTGATTACTCTTGACTTGGTATCCGTGTCCTTGTTTTTGTCAAATGTCTTCTTGACTTATTGTATTGTAATCACTCATTTTGAAGCACAACTACCCCTTTATTAACATGTGTATGAGAATGCAAGGCTTTTTATTTTCTACAATGCAAGGCATTGGTCTTGGTCCACGTTTAATTTCTTCTCCCCTCACTCCTCCTCCTCTTCCTTCCACGGGCTTGTCTCCTCCCCAACTCCCTCCCTCCCTCCTCTCCGGTTCCCCTTGTTGGGCTGCTCAGGCACTGACATGATGGGTAAGATGCTGAAAATGCAGATGCTGGAGGATGAGGATGACCTGGCCTACGAGAAGGAGACGAAGCGCGAGCGCACGGCGTCCACCTCAACCGAGGCCCAGCCCGCCTGGATGCGCACGCTGCGCACCACCGCCACCAACTGGCTGACGCTCATCCCGCAGATGGTCAACCACCTCAAGCGAACGGTGGAGAACATCAAGGTAACGTCCCAGCAACGTCTCATCTGATTTGCGCAGCATCTCTGGAATCTGATGGGTTGAGGTTGGAAGAGTGTTCTTATGGTGTTTTACCACTTCTTCTATTTATAATATTACTTATTATATTATTTCGTACGTACGTACGTACATAACGTAAAACTTCAGGTAAGCGCAGTCTCAAATAGCCGCCTGTCCTTAATGGCCGGGCAACGGCACACATTTCAGCAAATAAACGCCTGTGTCAAATAAACGCTGGGTCTAAATTAATTTACGAGGTTTAATGTTTGATTTTTTTACATAAAATAATTCAGTAATGACTCAAATTATGGAAATCATTCGTTTTGAAACTGCTAGCCAAGTTTTAATTTTTCCGAAATAGAGGCATACTAAGAAAGAAACGTGACACGGTGTGTAAATAACACATTAGTGCAGGAAATGAAGAAATTGATTAAAATGCTGGAAGTGAATGCTGGATATTAAACAATTAACTATGCAAATGAGCAAAAGCTGTCTGCGTTAAATAGATACTTGGCTCAAATAGAAGCCTATCTCTAATAACCACCTGTTGTGTTCAGTGATTTAAGCTATTCATTTTAGTTTTACGGTACGCGCGCGCACGGATGCAAAAACTGCCGTCTCTTAAGGATCTTTGCATTAAATGATAAATCTATCCCGAACCGGATTTCATGTGAATGAAACTCGTATATGGATCTGACTCCTGATAATGCAATTCACACACACTCTGGCTGTAGGTGTCTTTTTCAAGGACTGTACAGGTGAAAAGAATGCCATTACCTTGTTTAACATACATATATTTCCTCCCCCAACCCACCCACCCACCCACACACACAGGACCCCCTGTTCCGTTTCTTTGAGCGCGAGGTGAAGATGGGCGCCCGCATGCTTCAGGAGGTGCGTCAGGACCTGACTGATGTGGTGCAGGTGTGCGAGGGCAAGAAGAAACAAACCAACGACCTGCGCACCCTCATCAACGACCTCGTCAAAGGTTCTCTCATTCTCTACCCAATCCTCAATCATTTTAATTCATTCACTACTACATCTACCACATTGGTCTCAATTTACTGCACTAGCCAAACAATTTAAACTCCTAAACTTCTTCCACTACCATAAAATGCTTTTATACAAGTGAAGCAAGCGCACACATTCTTTTCCGGAAAATTTACATTTTCTAGTTATTACACCCAATCTGGTTGTACAGTCACAATATGTGAAATTGAATATGGTAACATATTGACTATTTCAAGTCAATATGGTTGTATAGAGTCTGTCTAGAAGGATTCCCAATGCTAACATGTAGCATGTCTCCTCCAGGTATCCTGCCCCGTAGCTGGTGCCGCTACACCGTGCCCACCTCTATGACTGTCATCCAGTGGGTGGCCGACTTTAGCGACCGCATCAAGCAGCTGCAGGCCATCTCCCAGGGAGCCGCCAGCGGGGGCGCTAAGGAGCTCAAGGTATCTGTCCTCTATATTAAAGGGATAGTCTCCTGTTTGCCTAATTCGTCAGGTTAGTATATTGCTAATGTTCACATCCCGTTGGATATTATTCATTCAACTCTGAATGACTTGAACTACTCCAAAGAAGTCCATGAACAGTTTGTCACAGTTAAGAACAAAGCCACTCTGGAAGCTATCCCTTGTAATACCACATGGTGGATTTGCCATGGATTGAAACCATAGTTGAGACATTGGACTAGGTATTGGACTCTAACCAGTGTTAACCATAACTCCACCCACTCTGAATTCATGTCTCCTCTTCTCTTCTGTCCAGAACATCCACGTGTGCCTGGGCAGCCTGTTTGTCCCTGAGGCCTACATCACGGCCACCCGTCAATACGTGGCCCAGGCCAACAGCTGGTCCCTGGAGGAGCTGTGTCTGGAGGTCAACGTCACCACCGCCCAGGAGGCCGCGCTCGACGCCTGCAGCTTCGGCATCAAAGGTTCCACTCATCAGTCTCTCTATAGACAGTATACAGTATACAGTACCAGTCAGGGCACTAGGTATTCTCACCAGAGAGGAAGAATTACCACAACACCAGCGGAACACTAAAGCTACTTTTTGATATAGTTGTGCTTTGGCTCAGATTTTTCTAGGGCTGGTTTCTTGGATCCATATTAAGGCTAGTCCTGGATCAAAACAACATTTCATAATGGAAACTCTCCATTGAAAGAGTTTTATTTGGTTGGCTGTGATGACACACTTAGCCTCACTTAGGAGTGCTTTGATAATGAGAACACCTTCATACTCAAATAACTTCTGAGCCAATGTCTACTGACTGGAAGAAAAAATAAAATAAAGTGTTTAAACCGGCGCCTATTGTTTATCCAATGTGCGTGATCAACCTAAGTGACCTTAACATTACCCCTCTTTATTCCCGCCAGGTCTGAAGCTGCAGGGAGCCACCCACGGCAACAACAAGCTCTCCCTCTCCAACGACATCTCCACTGAGCTGCCACTGACTCAGCTGCACTGGGTGAAGCAGTTGAGTGCCGAGAAGAGGCACATGGTACGGCTCATAGCAACAGATACTGCACTCTATATGGGAATGCACAAAATGCTTTCTTTTAGATTCAATTCAATACTAAAACTTTATTTATCCCCTCAGGGGTATTGCCAGATTACAAATATCAACATTTTCCACTTATAATACAGACCACACATTCCCTTAGAATGTATCCAATAAATAGATGGCTCATAGGAAGTCAGTTAAATACCTACAATTAAGTTGGGAGCTATTCATCAAATCAAATTTTATTTGTCACATACACGTGTTTAGCAGATGTTATTGCGGGTGTAGCAAAATTATTGTGCTTTTAGCTCCGACAGTGCAGTAATATCTAACAAGTAACTTATAACAATTTCACAACATACACACAAATCTAGCAAATCCTAGTCTGTTGTCCAAATACCATGAAAATCGTACTGTCTTAATGACATAACACACTTGTATATCTGTCATTCCCACAGGTCACTCTGCCCGTGTATCTGAACTTCACCAGAGCCGATCTCATCTTCACCGTAGACTTTGACATCGCCACCAAGGAAGACCCTCACAACTTCTACGAGCGCGGCGTGGCAGTGCTCTGCACAGAGTAGTGTCACCAAAAGCCTGGAGAACTCCTATTAATCATTTATTCGTAGTGTAGTCCTCTTATGAAACATAGTTTGTAAGGTAATGTCCATATGAAACATAGTTTATTCAAGTAACTGTAGTTGAAGTAAAATCTGCATTTAACATCAATAGTAATTAGGAAGTGGTCAAGAAAGTCTGAGTAATGTAGTCAGTTGTCTTGTGTATGGGAAAATGGTGGCCTATGGAAAATGGGTCAGCTGGTTTGTGTATGGAAAAGGGAAGTTGGGAGAAAGTAAGGAATGTTTTTTTTTATGAAGGATTCTGTATGTTTTTATAATGGATTAAAGATTTTGGTTAATGACGACGTATCAATGATTTAAAATGTGGTTGCTAGTTATTAAATTGCTATTGGGCATAGTAGACTGCATACATTTCAAGATGTCTTTTTTGAATGAAAGACTGTTCCATGATTTGACTCTTAATGTGTGACCTTTTCAAAATGCATGACTAAGAATTGCACACAGAAAGGCCTGTGCACAATTACCATATTACTAGTCTCCTCCTATAAGTGAGGAAACGATATTGCTGCTTACTTATACAGATATGAGGGCCTGTCATGAATGGCCAACCAAACTATGGCTAAACCTGAGCCCTTTACTATGGAACGGGGTGATACATTTGATTAATTTTTTTTAGATTTTAGTCATTTAGCAGACGTTCTTATCCAGAGCGACTTCCAATTAGTGAGTGCATACATTTTTCATACTGGCCCTCTGTTCTTGGGCTGAATTCCAAATTAACCCTAGCCCCTTGATGTAATGTGGAATGTTCACCCTGATACATTTCATACAATTGTCCAATCCTTTCATATGTACAGATGATCCTCTGTAGTCTGTGCCGAGCTTGTGGCTGGAATGCACCCAATTAATACTAAAATCGAGATTCATGGGGGGGGGGGGGGTTGTATGAGGGGAGCCATCTGTCATTGTCAGAACAGATGGAGAGCCACCTTATAACAGAAAGAATGCGCTGTGGTTACAGGAAATTCAGAAAGATTTTGTGGATGCTTTATTCTCAAGGACCTACAGAATACTCAATAAATCAAGTCATTTTATTAGTTGATATTAGTCTAAAGCATATCCTTCTAGCACATATTACAAGATATTTATTCTGTAACTACCATACAATAGGACTTGTAAATGCATTATTTATTCAGCCCCCAAAATATATCACCACACCAAAATATAAACCAGCAATGCAAATGAACATGGAATGTTATTCCTTGTGAGAATGAAGTTCTTCAAATTCTGTGTTGGAAAATAAAGAGTGAAAGTGCATCTTCATTCATTCTGGACTCTGTGAGAAAGAGATGTTCTTGTAAACGTGAATAGCCACAACTTCTACATCAATGTTCTCCAATAGATTGACTTCTATCAACTTGTTCTGCAAGAATGTGGTCCATGATCCTGTCCAGAAACAACTCCTAGCCCCTAAACATCTGTATTGGGTAGGCCGGTATAAGCAATATGGTTCTAACTACAACCACCCCTTTAAAATCCACAGTGTGTCTAGGCTATGGTGCCGTTTCTGGACATAGTCCAACTCCCCTCAGGAGGAGAATCCCCAGTCTCCATTTTGGTGACGCACTGCCAACTGTGCTGTCTGCTCGTGAAAGACCGAACTTCCTTTTGAAGAGACACCTGAGAGGGGCGGGACTTTAGGGAGATTTCTCTGAAGAGCTCTACGTTGGGAATTGGTTAGCAGATCACAACCAACTTTTAGGTGCATACACCGCCACCTACTGTACTGGTGTGTGAGGCCATTCACGGCCTATCTACATTATATTATTTGATACAATAACACAACATTTGAAAATTAAAAGGAAAACTACACTTCCACCTATTAGCCCTCTAAAACAAAAAACACCACCCATTCCACTATTTAACCCTACCTAGTCCTATTCCAGACCAATGGTCTCAGAGGACATACAGTGCATTCGGAAAGTATTCAGACCCCTTGACTTTTTCCACATTTTGTTACGTTACAGCCTTATTCTAAAATGGATTACATAGTTTTTTTCCCCTCATCAATTTACACACAATACCCCATAATGCCAAAGCAAAAACAGTGTTTTAGCAATGTTGGCAAATTGAATACAAATAAGAAAGTGAAATATCACATTTACATAAGTATTCAGACCCTTTACTCAGTACTTTGTTGAAGCACCTTTGGCAGCGATTACAGCCTCAAGTCTTCTTGGGTATGACACTACAAGCTTGGCACACCTGTATTTGAGGAGTTTCTCCCATTCTTCTCTGCAGACCCTCTCAAGTTCTGTCAGGTTGGATGGGTTATTTCAGGTCTCTCCAGAGATTTCCAATCGGGTTCAAGTCCAGACTCTGGCTTCAGAGACTTGTCCCGAAGCCACTCCTGCGTTGTCTTGGCTGTGTGCTTAGGGTCATTGTCCTGTTGGAAGGTGATCCTTCTCCCCAGTCTGAGGTCTTGAGCGCTCTGGAGCAGGTTTTCATCAAGGATCTCTCTGTACTTTGCTCTGTTCATCTTTCCCTCGATCCTGACTAGTCTCCCAGTCCCTGACGCTGAAAAACATCCCCACAGCATGATGCTGCCACCACCATGCTTCACCATAGGGATGGTGCCAGGTTTCCTCCAGACGTGACGCTTGGCATTCAGGCCAAAGAGTTCAATTTTGGTTTCATCAGACCAGAGAATCCTGTTTCTCATGGTCTGAGAGACCTTTAGGTGCCGTTTGGCAATCTCCAAGCGGGATTTCATATGCCTTTTACTGAGGAGTGGCTTCCGTCTGGCCACTCTACCATAAAGGCCTGATTGGTGGAGTGCTGCAGAGATGGTTGTCCTCCTGGAAGGTTCTTCCATCTCCACAGAGGAACTGTATATACAAAAGTATGTGGACACCCCTTCAAATTAGTGGATTTGGCTATTTCAGCCACACCCGTTGCTGACCGGTGTATAAAATCGAGTACACAGCCATGAAATCTCCATAGACAAACATTGGCAGTAGAATGGCCTTACCGAAGAGCTCAGTGACTTTCAACGTGGCACCGTCAGAGGATTCCACCTTTCCAACAAGTTAGTTCATCAAATTTCTGCCCTGCTAGAGCTGCCCCGGTCAACTGTAAGTGCTGCTTTTGTAAAATGGAAATGTGTAGGAGCAACAACGGCTCAGCCACAAAGTGGTAGGCCACACAAGCTCACAAAACGGGACCGCCGAGTTCTGAAGCGCGTAAAAATGTCTGTCCTCGGTTGCAACACTCACTACCGAGTTCCAAACTGCCTCTGGAAGCAACATCAGCACAAGAACTCTTCGTCGGGAGCTTCATGAAATGGGTTTCCATGGCTGAGCAGCCACACACAAGCCTAAGATCACCATACGCAATGCCAAGCGTCAGCTGGAGTGGTGTAAAGCTCGCCGCCATTGGACTCTGGAGCAGTGGAAACGAGTTCTCTGGAGTGATGAATCACACTTCACCATCTGCCAGTCCGACGGACTAATCTGGGTTTGGCGGATGCCAGGAGAATGCTACCTGCCCCAATGCATAACGCCAACTGTAAAGTTTGGTGGAGGAAGAATAATGGTCTGGGGCTGTTTTTCATGGTTCGGGCTAGGCCCCTTAGTTCCAGTGAAGTGAAATCTTAACGCTACAGCATTAAATGACATTCTAGACGATTATGTGCTTCCAACATTGTGGCAACCATTTGGGGAAGGCCATTTCCTGTTTCAGCATGACAATGCCCCCGTGCATAAAGCGAGGTCCCTACAGAAATGGTTTGTCGAGATCGGTGTGGAAGAACTTGACTGGCCTACACAGAGCTCTGACCTCAATCCTATCGAACACCTTTGGGATAAATTGGACTGCGAGCCAGGCCTAACCGCCCAACATCAGTGCCCGACCTCACTAATGCTCTTTTGGCTGAATGGAAGCAAGTCCCTGCAGCAATGTTCCAACAGCTAGTGGAAAGCCTTCCCAGAAGGGTGGAGGCTGTTATTGTAGCAAAGGGGGGACCAACTCCATATTAATGCCCATGATTTTGGAATGAGATGTTCGACGAGCAGGTGTCAACATACCTTTGGTCATGTAGTGTATATGTTTTGGTAAGATTGGTTTCTTAGCGTTCATAGCAATGGTTATCAACTGTACCACAGAGATGGAACGTAAGTCACAGAAAATAGATGTTGTGGTGGCAGCTGCAGAGAAGTATTTGGGGTTACGAGATTTAACTTCAGAAGAGTTACAGGGTGTGTTGAGTGCAGTGGCGATTTTAGCATGTACAGTACCAGTCAAACGTTTGGACACACCTACTCATTCAAGGGTTTTTCTTTATTTTTACTATTTTTTACATTGTAGAATAATAGTGAAGACATCAAAACTATGAAATAACACATAGGGAATCATGTAGTAACCAGAAGTGTTAAATAAATAATTCTTCAGATTCTTCAAATAGCCACCCTTTGCCTTGATGACAGCTTTGCACACTCTTGGCATTCTCTCAACCAGCTTCACCTGGAATGCTTTTCCAACAGTCTTGAAGGAGTTCCCACATGCTGAGCACTTGTTGGCTGCTTTTCCTTCACTCTGCGGTCCAACTCATCCCAAACCATCTCAATTGTGGAGGCCAGGTCATCTGATGCAGCACTCCATCATTCTCTTTCTTGGTAAAATAGCACTTACACTGCCTGGAGGTGTGTTGGGTCATTGTTGGGTCATTGTCCTGTTGAAAAACAAATTATAGTCCCACTAAGCTCAAACCAGATGGGATGGCATATTGCTGCAGAATGCTGTGGTAGCCATGCTGGTTAAGTGTGCCTTGAATTCTAAATAAATCACAGTGTCACCAACAAACTTTTGACTGGTACTGTAAATCTTGGTGGGGCAAAAAAATCAATGTGGGATGCATGCCAGCAAAGCCACTGCACAACACAACACTAAACAATACATTAATTGCACTATAACGGTGACAAACCGTGCCCACAAACTATTAGGGCCTACATAAAGCTGTCCCAACAGCAGAGTCCCAACAGAAGTCCCAACATTTTACCACTGCTACACATGGCTATCAGCGGAGCCTTACCTGGCAGAGAAACAGTTCATTCAGTCTCATTTACCGCTTAAAAAAAAAAAACATAGCTGATATGGCTGACTTGCTTAAACAAATCTGGTTTCTAATGACAATTGAGATGTACAAACTATGGCATAAGGGGCCGACAAGCGGATAAGAGGCAATCCGTAATTCCGATTAAGAGATTAATGAGCGAGCCATGACAAACGTAGTCAATATAACTATTTTTTCAGCACTTTTGAAATGTACAGCGACAGAATTCAAAACATGGGCCGTTCTTACAGTGTTCTCCCTGTACACCAAGTCAGAACCGTAGGATAAATAAAGGGGGCATATAAGCAGACAATGAAAGCTCTTACAATGATTACATTTCTCTAAAACAGGTTATAGGCTACATGTGCACCACCAAGTCAGAACAGTAAACAAAATTAAGAGGGGTAAATAGACCAAATTATTAGGGTGAGGCACATGGGCTACTAACATCTTACTACACAACATACACTTAGTATTACTTTCTTAGCTACAGTATACATATCTCCATGGCATATTACATCATTTATGCAGCAGCATACAATACATTTTTGGACTCACCTTGTTGTGTTGTGCTCACTTCAACAGGAAGGTGGTGCGGCGGTCCTTTGTGGGCAAGTTTTGTCATCAAAGAAAGAGGCCGGATTTACAATTCCGAGTTGGATGACCGTTCAAAACGTATTTTCCCAGTCGGAGCTCATTTATTCCCAACTTCCCAGTTGTCTTGATCTCAAGTTTTCGTAGTTCCGAGTTAACAGTTGTTTTAAGTGCGGCACAAATCATGCTTCATTGACAGCATGGGGCGGCAGGTAGCTTAGTGATTAAGAGCGTTGTGCCAGTAATCGAAAGGTCGCTGGTTCTAATCCCCGAGCCGACTAGGTGAAATATCTGTCGGTGCCCTTGAGCAAGGCACTTAGCCCTAATTGCTCCTGTAAGTTGCTCTGGATAAGAGCGTCTGCTAAATGACGTAAATGTAATGTTGAATGTTTATCATTTTAAACTTGGAAAAGAGCCCCTTAATCCCAGATTTGGGACCACACAGCCACTCCACTGAATAGCAGGCTAGTGATTGCTTTGCAATGCTTGCAGTTAGCCACGGTCACCGATTCCTTCCAAACCACTCATTGTTGAATTTGCGATTTCCAACTTGTTGTGTAATGTTTATGTCCAATGGCCGATGAGCACAGATAGGTTTTATCCATCATTTCTCTTCATTATTTATCTTCATATTACAAGGATTAAAAAGGATTTGCCAGTAGATTGTCGACTTGATTCATGATGATGGCTAAGATTTTGAAAGTATGATGTGACATGATCAGTCCAATCAAAGCTACTGTACATATAATAATAATATGGCATTTAGCAGACGCTTTTATCCAAAGCGACTTACAGTCATGTGTGCATACATTTTTACGTATGGGTGGTCCCGGGATCGAACCCACTACCCTGGCGTTACAAGCGCCATGCTCTACCAATTGAGCTACAGAGGACCACATATAACGTGATTTGACCTCATTTAATCTGTGGCCAATGACCTTGAGCCTTCTTAGAAGGGCACTTCTAATGTAACTATATGGCAGGACCCAAAGGGCTTGAATTTTCGAGGTCTACCCTTAGACTTGGCAGTGACGTAGTGTCCCCATGAGTGACAGAACACTGAGCCAATCACGGAGCCATCACTGGCCTGCCCCACAAGCACCATAGAAAGCGCTGAGCTTGGCTGAAACACCTGCATTTTGGAGCTGCCTTACTCAAGAAAACAAAAAAGAGACCATGTTTGTATGCGGTTTTATTAACTCAATGATATATATATATATATTTACATTGTTTGCAAACTGATATGTGACACGTATTAATGCCAAAATAACATGCAAAACAGGTATGTTAATTTCCCAGTTTCCCATTTTGTATCACAAAGTGTAATGGATTTATACTATAGTACATATTAGGGCGGTAATGCAACATATTGGATGCCAACCGCCGTTAAACTCCACCGAAGAAGAATGCGTATTTTACCAAGGTGAGAAACATGTGGGCTGCCAGTGTTAGAACATATCACGTTTTTGAGATGGTTTCTTCTACTCCTGTCCTACATTCGAATAGGTCCACTGGCGCGAGTCGACTGAATGTTTACAATGAACGGGAATGCGCACGTTTCATGCGTAAGATCCGGGCTCGAGGAAGGATGTATGTAATTCAAAGATGGCGGCGGAGGGAGGAGGGAAGGAGATGAACGAAATTAAAACTCAGTTCACTACTCGGGAAGGCGTCTATAAACTCCTCACTCACTCCGAATATAGCCGCCCCAACAGGGTGCCTTTCAATTCCCAGGGTTCGAACCCCGTCAAAGTTTCCTTCGCCAACGTCAATGACCAGTCTGGTAACGGCGACCGAATCTGTTTCAATGTGGGCCGGGAGCTGTACTTCTACATCTACAAAGGCGTTAGAAAGGTAGCTAAACATTATGCTAACAGTCATATTTATCATTTGTGTGTCTTAACTGATGACAACAGGTCAGTGTTGTCCAGTTTACCTGGTTTATGACTAATGCACAGTAACGTTACTGTGTCCTAGCTAGCACCACCACACCAGTCTAAGTAAGTGTTGTGGTATGCACCGCTAGCTAGCCAGCAGACTGGCTAACTCTAATCTGACAGTCAGTTAGGCTGTAACATCTATCAACGGACCATGCTGGACATTTGACTAGAATCTCAATATTGTCAATGAATGTATGCTCGTGAAATCAGAAGTGTGACCTCCACTGTATTTCCATTTCATTGCTTGGGTGATGACGTAGATATAGTGCACGGATGCACTTCCCCTGTTGTGACCTAGGCAAGCTAACTAGGCTACGCAAAGTATTGAGGTGTGAAGTTATCTACACTAAATCACTCCTTGCACAACAATTGTGGAGTCAACAAGGTATTGTTGTGAAATTAATTTGCACAATAACTTGCAAATTCACTTGTATATAAGGATGTTATATGACCGACCACTTCAATCAAAACTGCATACAGAATTTCCAGTGCATGGTTTTGCATTGCAAAGTACCTCAACTTCTCCACGGAATTAAGCGCAGATTAGTTTTTGAAATGAACCCCCGACTCCTTCGAGTCGCTATGTGTCGATACTTTAAAAACGTTGATTCTTAAACCTTTACGTGTATCTGTGTTTTCCCTCTGTTGTTTCGTGCCTTTATTTGTTTGCTGAAATCTTACTTTTAATAAAACGTGAATCAAATACAACCACCGACTGTTTCCTCTTTGCTGTTGCTCGAAGACGGCAACTCGGCGCGAATGCGCATGTGCCAATTGAATGTCAACAAGGAAACAGGCGGTGGTTGTATTTGATTTAACGTTTTATTAAAAAGTATTGATTTCAGCAAACAAGGCACACAACAACCGAGGACAAACATAGGAACATGGTAAGGGTTTAAGAATTTACATTTTTAAATTATCGACGCATAGCGAGAAGGAGGGTCATTTAAAAACCTCATGTAGGAGTTGAGGTACTTGGCAAGGTTTTGAATTGACTTTGATGTGTTGAAACTGATGGTCAAGTAGGAAGTGCTTCCTAGAGTTCATTCAGAGAGAGAGGCAGCTTAGTGAGTGAGTCGCTCTGTAGTTGTGGACATGACAGGTTGATAATGCAGCACCACAGGTGCTTGATCCTTATTTCCTCAGTGTGGCATAGCAGAACCAATCTATAGTCATCTATTTCTTCCAAGTGTGTAAACAGATCTAAATATCTACATATTCACGCAGGCCCTACAGGTGCATAACTACCAAAGCTTGTACTTTTCTGACATTAACTAGGTAGGATTTACTATATGCCTATGGTTGGAATAGGCCTATGCAAAAACAGTTCAGCAGACTGGAGACATGTTACACAGGAGAAATGGCCTTCTAACCACTACGAATCTTTCCACTCTGCCGATGGCGTAAACCATTAACCAGTGTGACTGTTGTAGTGCTAGTTAACTGTGCCCATGGGGCATTTTGAATAAAACACAAACCTAAGAGGCTAGAGTTGCATGCCCTGGTTTTATTGACAAAAACTGTTTTTTGGTTTGGATGCAGCAAGGTTATCTGTGGCAAGTCTTGTTGCTTTAACCTTGTTTTGAGTTCACTTTTCCTGCAGGGCTTCTGGATAGAACTTCTGTTCATAACAATCAGCAGCAGAAATCCCCCTGAGACACTGTTCATTGTCATGTAGGCCTAATATCAGTCTTTGATGCCCTTTGATTTTAACACTTGATTGTACTGTAATGCTCATAAAAAAACCTATCGACTTCAAAGACTGTGTAATAAACCCAGTCGCCATTTGAAAAAAACGTTTGTTTGGTGTCATGTTCGAAGAATTCGGTGGCTTAATGAGCACACTACTCATGTCTTTCACTGGTTTTGCATGCCACCATTGATGCTTTGATCAAAACATGCATCATTGAAAAGGTTACTGCTCAAATCTGAACTTTTTTTTGTATGTTTATCTTTCAGGCGGCTGACCTGAGCAAACCTATCGACAAGAGGATATACAAAGGAACACAGCCCACATGTCATGACTTCAACCACCTCACGGCCACGGCGGAGAGCGTCTCCCTGCTGGTGGGTTTCTCGGCAGGCCAGGTGCAGCTCATCGACCCAATCAAGAAGGAGACCAGCAAGCTCTTCAATGAGGAAGTAAGTCGGGAAGGAAAGTCTAAAAAAAGAAGACAAATGTAATTTTGTAACTACCCTCAAATGTTATGTTTTTGACATATAACGCAATGAATGCCATTGTTGCTTACAATTGAAATGTAACATTTTGTTTCTTCTCTCCCAAACCGCTTTCCCCAGAGACTAATAGACAAATCCAGAGTGACTTGTGTAAAATGGGTGCCAGGCTCAGAGAGTCTGTTCCTAGTCGCTCATTCCAGTGGAAACATGTACTTGTACAACTTGGAGCACACGTGTGGCACCACGGTTCCTCACTACCAGTTGCTCAAACAGGGCGAGAACTACTCAGTGCACACGTGTAAGAGCAAGTCCACGCGCAACCCCTTGCTCAAATGGACGGTGGGCGAGGGAGCGCTTAACGAGTTTTCCTTCTCACCCGACGGGAAGTTCCTGGCGTGCGTGAGCCAGGACGGCTTCCTTCGGGTCTTCAACTTTGATGCGGTGGAGCTGCACGGGACCATGAAAAGCTACTTTGGGGGTCTGCTGTGCGTGTGCTGGAGTCCAGACGGAAAGTACATTGTTGCGGGGGGCGAGGATGATCTGGTGACCGTGTGGTCGTTTGTGGACTGCCGGGTTATTGCACGCGGTCACGGACACAAGTCGTGGGTGAGCGTGGTGGCGTTTGACCACTACACAACCAGCGTGGAGGATGCAGACCCTATGGAGTTCAGCGGCAGCGACGAGGACTTCCAGGACCAGATCCACTTTGGTCGCGACCGGGCCAACAGCTCGCAGTCCCAACTCTCTAAGCGCAACTCCACGGACAGTCGGCCGGTACAGGTCACATACAGGTTTGGCTCAGTGGGCCAGGACACTCAACTCTGCTTGTGGGACCTCACAGAAGATATCCTTTTCCCCCACCTCCCGCTTTCCCGGACAAGAACGCACACCAATGTGATGAATGCTACCAGCCCCCCGGTGGGAGGGGACGTGTCTGTGGGAGGTGGGGTAGGTGGTGGCATAGTGAATAATGTGAGTAATAACCCTAGCACCAACGGCACCAACACCCCTGATAACCCCCTCCCTACTCCCCTGCCACGCTCCAACAGCTTACCACATTCTGCAGCTACGACCGCCAACAGCAAGAGCAGCGTCATGGACAACGCCATCGCCACAGGCGCAAGCAAATTCGCCACGCTCTCCGTTCACGATCGCAAAGAGCGGCACCACGAGAAGGACCACAAACGGAACCACAGCATGGGCCACATTAGCAGCAAGAGCAGTGACAAGCTCAACATACTCACCAAAACCAAAACAGACCCTGCAAAGACACTGGGGACGCTGCTCTGTCCCCGCATGGAAGACATACCCTTACTAGAGCCCCTTATCTGCAAAAAAATAGCACATGAGAGACTGACTGTCTTAATATTTCTTGAAGACTGTATAGTGACAGCTTGTCAGGAGGGATTTATTTGCACATGGGCAAGGCCTGGCAAAGTGGTAAGTTCTTTTTGAATAGAAATGGAGTTCTGCTAAATTCCTGTGTATTTCTCTTTGTAGTCTCAAAAAATAGTTGTTTGGGCAATGCAAGGATCCATTTAGAAACTTTAGTATTATTGTGGACATTTTAGACAGCATTGTGAGGTGTACAACATTACCTACTGTAGATGAGTATGGGAGTCTCTTACACTTGCAGTATGTCACATCTCAAACTGTCTGTATGTACACTCCCCTACGTATTTATTTGGACAGTGAAGCTAAAACGTTTAATTTGGCTCTATACTCAACATTTTGGATTTGAGATTACATTTTTTATGAGGCGACAGTACAGAATTGCACTTTTTATTTGAGGGTATTTTCATACTTATCTATTTTACCGTTTAGAAATTAAAGCATTTATGTATCTAGTTCCCCGAATTTTAAGGTGTCATAAGTATTTGGACAAATTCACTGATCATGTATTGAAATTAGTCAAAAGTGTTAGTAGTTGGTCCCATATTCCTAGCATGCAATGACTCCATCAAGGTTGTGACTCTACAAAATGGTTGGATGCATTTGTAGTTTGTTTTGGATTTTGTTTGCCTAATAGAAATTAATGGTAAAAAAATTGTCATTTTTGAGTCCGTTTTATTGTAAATAAGAATATCATGTTTCTGAACACTTCTACATTAATATTGATGATACCATGATTATGGATAATCATGAATAAATTGTGAATAATGATGAGTGAGAAAGTTGGAGGCATAAATGTCATACCCCCAAAAAATGCTAACCTCCCTTGTAATTGGCAATGGTGAGAGGTGAGCATGTTTTGGGGGCATGATCTTTGTGCATCTAACTTAATCACTTGTCATTATTCACGATTCATTCATGATTATCTGTAATCATTGTAGCATCCATATTAATGTAGAAGTGTTCAGAACATATTCAATTCTTATTTACAGTAAGTGACTCCAAAATGACACAAATTATTTACCATTCATTTCTATTGGGCACAACATAATCTGAAACACAACCAAAACAAACTGCAAATGCATCCAACAAGTTTTTTAAATTCATGCTTGATGTAGTCACTGCGTTCTAGGAATATGGCACCAAATACTAAACACGACTAAATTTAAGTGAATTTGTCTAAATACTTATGACACCTTAAAATGGGTGGACTGGATACATGAAGTGCATTCATTTCTAAATTGTAAAACTAATATGAAAATACCCTCAAATAAAAGGTGACAATCTGTACTGTAGCCTCATATAAAACTTTTGATCTCAAATCCAAAATGCTGTATAGAGCCAAATGAAACGTTTTAGCTTCACTGTCCAAATAAATCAACAGGGGAGTGGTTTGTGTTCATCTGCCACCCCATGCAAAGCCCATACAGTTTCAAAGATATCAATAATGGTCAAGAATCTCGTATGTCATGTACAATCAAGTCACCTGGTGGATAAGTAAGTACACTTAGGTAGCCCTCCGTATCAGTGGAAAGAAGACATTGATCCCAATTGAGTATGTTTGTGTGCATCGGCTCCATATTAAAATACCCATATTGGAGCATTACCATCCCACAAGGCACCGCAGCATAAACAAGCAAGTCATCTGTACACTCACCCACAACACTCTCAGATTCTTTATGAGAGGACCTCTGTATTTGCCAAACAGCTTTATACGTTAATGCATTACATTCACTTCGTCATCCACTAGCTAACTGCTGTGCACGGGCCATTTGAAGGCAGGAAGATGGGTGTGCTGAATTTGATGCTTTGTGAACTTTCCCCAATGCAAATCTCCTTTTTCTTTCCAGGGTTTATTGTCATCCCAAAACCAAGCCAGCTCTCCCAGTGGAACTGTAGTATAGCCCACACTATTTCTGCTGCTAAGAAACCTGCATCACAGAGATGTATTGTCACCAGAGCCTGGTGCTGCTTTTCACCCCGCAAAGCACTGCAAGTTTTTTATTTATTTTATTTTTTCCTTTTGGTTATCATACACATGGCCTAGATGGTGGAAGTATTCAAATACAGAAATGGAAAGGGTGTGGTGCAATTTTGGACAGTGGCACTAATGTCCTTTCTGGAATTTCTTTTAATGTTTTTAATTATTTGTCTTCTCTCGCTCTCATATACGCTAGACTGTTTTTCTGGACTTGGAGCTTGGCATAGTTGGATGAAACCATTCATATTATGCTTGTTTAAAAGGATAGTTCACCCAACAACTTTTATCATTCCTATTTCTTACCTTGCAAGTGGTCCATGGGCCAGGAGTCACTGCCACCAGCTGTCACAGGCTGAAGACAATATGAATTACACAAAAACAGTGGTGTTCCATAGTGCCCACCATCCATTGTCTACAAATTGCACACCAAAATCATGTCCTTCAGCTACATTAGCCTTTATGATTTGGAATATGTGCGGTGTCAAAGGGTACTACAGTTGCTAAGGACAATGTTCTTGACCTACCTACGCACTATTACATATTTTGGTGTGGCTAGTCTTCCGTTCAGAAGGCGGTCTCGGTCATCGTAGGTGTGGTTTTTGCAGTCAGTCCAGGCTCAGACTGCATTCAAGGTAAGAAAAAGATTAACGGAAATGAAATTAGGGTGAACTATCCCTTTAAGACCAAGAATGTGGGCATCTAAGGATTTGCTTTCATCCAAATTCATCACAAGTCTTTTTATTATACTGAACAAAAATATAAACGCAACATGTAAAGTGTTGGTCCCATGTTTCATGAGCTGAAATAAAAGATCCCAGAAATTTTCCGTATGCACAAAAAGCTTCTTTCTCTCAAATGTTGTGCACAAATTTGTTTACATCCCTGTTGGTGAGCATTTCTCTTTGCTGAGATAATCCATCCACCTGACAGGTGTGGCATATCAAGAAGCTGATTAAACAGCATTATCTTTACACAGGTGCACCTTGTGCTTGGGACAATAAAAGGCCACTTTAAAATGTGCAGTTTTGTCACACAATGCCACAGATATCTCGAGGGAGCGTGCAATTTGCATGTTGACTGCAGGAATGTCCACCAGAGCTGTTGCAAGACAATTGAATGTTAATTTCTCTTCCATAAGCCGCCTCCAATGTCGTTTTAGAGAATTTGGCAGTACATCCAACCGGCCTCAGAACCGCAGACCATGTGTAACCACACCAGCCCAGGACCTCTACATCCGGCTTCTTCACCTGCAGGATCGTCTGAGACGCCACCCGGATAGCTGATTGATTGAACTGTGGATTTGCACAACCGAAGGATTTCGCAAACCGTCTCAGGGAAGCACATTTGCGTGCTCGTTGTCCTCACCAGGGTCTTGACTGCAGTTTGGCGTCATAACCAACTTCAGTGGGCAAATGCTCACTTTCGATGGCTATTGGCATGCTGGAGAAGTGTGCTCTTCACAGATTAATCCCGGTTTCAACTGTACCGGGCAGATGGCAGACAGCGTGTATGGTGTCGTGTGGGCAAGCGGTTTGCTGATGTCAATGTTGTGAAAAGCGTGCCCCATGGTGAGGTTATGGTATGGGCAGGCATAAGCTACAGTCAACGAACACAATTGCATTATATCTATGGCAATCTGAATGCACAGAGATACCGTGACGATGCCATTTATATGCCGCCATCACATGTTTCAGCAAGATAATGCACGGCCCCATGTCGCAAGGATCTGTACACAATTACTGGAAGCTGAAATTGTCCCAGTTCTTCCATGGCCTGCATACTCACCAGACATGTCACCCATTGAGTATATTTTCGTATGCTCTGGATCGTCGTGTCCGACAGCGTGTTCCAGTTCCCGCCAATATCCAGCAACTTCCCACAGCCATTGAAGTGGAGTGGGACAACTTTCCACAGGCCACAATCAACAAGCCTGATCAACTCTATGTGAAGGTGATCTCGCGCTGCATGAAGCAAATGGTAGTCACACCAGATACTGACTGGTTTTCTGATCCATGCCCCTACCTAAAAAAATATATCTGTGACCAACAGATACATATCTGTATTGCCAGTCGTGAAATCCATAGATTAGGGCCTAATGAATTTATTTAAATTGAGTGATTTCCTTAAATCTTTTTTTAAATATCTATATATCTCTTTTATATCTATTTTTGTTCAGTGTAGAATCTCCTCTTTTGAGAACTATGCACTGATTTAGTTAGTTTTGTTTGTTTTGTAACTACTAGAAAGGAACAAAATATGGAGAGGTTCGAAGACATCCTCTGTCTTAACCTTAACCAGTAAAGCTGGATGCTGCAATCATAATATTTTAAGGAAAACTGTTTGCACTTACATTTGTTTATTAGAGGAAGATGGCTTTACATTTTGGGTGTGCAAGAAGAACTCTGACAGCTATCAGGTGGAGAAGTTATTAACCTTTATCTATTGAGCATTTACTGCTCTGTATCATATGTATAATATTGTAATTAAGTGATTTGATTGGGGCAAAAGCAAATTATCATTACTCTAGTGGAAGTTTGATCATTTAAGGAATTAGGGATATTTCTAAAGCAGAAAAAATATTCATAATAATATTAAAATAATCTTGAATATGCAGGTTTGTTTTCTCTTGTACAAAATTCATCCAGTTGTACACTATATATACAAAAGTATGTGGACACCCCTTCAAATTACTGGATCACGCTATTTCAGCCACACCCGTTGCTGACAGGTGTATCAAATTGAGCACACAGCCATGCAATCTCCATAGACAAACATTGGCAGTAGAATGGCCTTACTGAAGAGCTCCGTGACTTTCAACGTTGGACCGTCATAGGATGCCACTTTCCAATTAGTCAGTTAGTCAAATTTCTGCCCTGCTAGAGCTGCCCCGGTCAACTATAAGCGCTGTTATTGTGAAGTGGAAACGTCTAGGAGCAACAACGGCCCAGCCGCGAAGTGGTAGGCCACACAAGCTCACAGAACGGGACCGCTGAAGCGCGTAGCGTGTAAAAATCGTCTGTCCGAGTGCCAACTGTAAAGTTTGGTGGAGGAGGAATAATGGTCTGGGGCTGTTTTTCATGGTCCGGGCTAGGCCCTTAGTTCCAGTGAAAGGAAATCTTAACGGTACAGCATGCAATGAAATTCTAGACGATTCTGTGCTTCCAACTTTGTGGCAACAGTTTGGGGAAGGCCCTTTCCTGTTTCAGCATGACAATGCCCCCGTGCACAAAGCGAGGTCCATACAGATGGCTTGAAGAGATCGGTGGGGAAGAACTTAACGGGCCTGCACAGAGCCCTGACCTCAACCCTAACGAACACCTTTGGGATTAATTGGAACGCCGACTGCGAGCCAGACCTAATCGCCCAACATCAGTGCCCAACCTATTGTGGCTGTGGAAGCAAGTCCCCGCAGCAATGTTCCAACATCTAGTGGAAAGCCTTCCCAGAAGAGTGGAGGCTGTTATAGCAGCAAAGGGGGGACCAACTCCATATTAATGCCCGTGATTTTGGAATTAGATGTTTGACGAGCAGGTGTCCACATACTTTTGGTCATGTAGTGTATTTTGATGTAGCATATTAAATGCTCTAATCTCCAGGAAGAAACACCAAAAGGAATCACAAAATGTGCAAAAGTCAGACAAAGGAGCTGTCAACTGCAAATATTATGAAGCTCTTACCGACAGCAACTCTATTCTATGTGCCACTGGGAACAAGTAGGTTTGAAGATAAAACACCTATTAAAAGTTGTGTTATTTATTTTATGACTACCAATCATTGTTAATGCCATGAAGTGTTAAGTGGCACTCCATGCTAACCAGAGAAGGAACGGATGGTGAAGTGAATGTATTTTTTGATTGTGGTTAACATTTTACATTTCACCCTTTATTCTTCATTAAAAAATTGAATATGATTCTATTACACTTGTGTTGTTGTTACTGATATTTGTTTGTGCAGATTGATTTTTATAAGTGCTTGGTGAAAGATTTTAACATTTGTGTCGTAAAGGTAAGATAAACATGAAACATGCACTTTCCCTTTGCTTGTTCCCATACAATAATGTTAGTGCTGGGATACGTATGTATATATAGTGCCTTCAGAAAGTATTGATACCCCTTGACTTATTCCACATTTTGTTGTGTTACAGCCTGAATTCATAATCGGTTAAACTGATTTTGTTTCTCACCCATCTACACACAATACCCCATAATGACAAAGTGAAAATGTTTTCAGAAATGTTTGCAAATTAAATACAGAAATATCTCATTTACATAAGTATTCACACCCGTGAGTCAATACTTTGTAGAAGCACCTTTGGCAGCGATTACAGCTGTGAGTCTTTCTGGGTAAGTGTCTAAGAGCTTTCCACACCTGGATTGTGCAACATTTGCCCATTTATTATTTTCAAAATTCTTCAAACTCTGTCAAATTGGTTGTTGATCATTGCTAAACAACCATTTTCAGGTCTTGCCATAGATTCTTTTGTACATTTAAGTCAAAACTGTAACTTGGCCTCAGGAACATTCACTGTCTTGGTAAGCAGCTCCAGTGTAGATTTGGCCTTGTGTTTTAGGTTATTGTCCTGCTGAAAGGTGAATTAATCTCCCAGTGTCTGGTGGAAAGCACACTGAACCAGGTTTTCCTCTATTATTTTGCCTGTGCTTAGCTTCATTCCGGGGTTTTTTTATCCAGAAAAATGTCCCAGTCCTTAACGAGTACAAGCATACCCATAACATGATGCAGCCACCACTATGCTTGAAAATATGGAGAGTGGTACTCAGTTACGTGTTGGATTGGATTTGCTCCAAACATAACACTTTGATTTCTTGACAAAATGTTAATTGCTTTGCCACATTTTTTGCAGTATTACTTTAGTGCCTTGTTGCAAGCAGGTTTTCTTTTTTTCTCAATATTTGTATTCTGTACAGGCGTCCTTCTTTTCACAGTCAATTAGGTTAGTATTCTGGAGTAACTACAATGTTGTTGATCCATCCTCAGTTTTCTATCACAGCCATTTAAACTCTAACTGTTTTAAAGTTACCATTGGGCTCAGCATGAAATCCCTGAGCAGTTTCCTTCCTCTCCGGCAACTGAGTTAGGAAGGACGCCTGTGTCTTTGTAGTGACTGGGTGTATTGATACACCATTCAAAGTGTAATGAATAACTTCACCATGCTCAAAGGGATATTCAATGTCTATTTAATTTTTTTTTACCCATCTACCAATAGGTGCCCTTCTTTGCGAGGCATTGGCAAACCTCCCTGGTCTTTGTGGTTGAATCTGAGGTTGAACCTGTGGATAAAATTCAGTGATCGACTGAGGGAACTTACAGATAATTATACGTGTGGGATACAGAGATGAGGTAGTCATAAAAAAATTTAAAAAAATAAACACTTATTGCACACAGAGTGAGTCCATGCAACTTATGTGACTTGTTAAGCAAATGTTTACTCCTGAACTTCTTTAGGCTTGCCACAACAAAGAGGTGGAATACTTATTGACTCAAGACATTTCAGCTTAATTTTTTATTAATTTGTTAAAATTCCCAAAAACAGTATTCCACTTGGACATTATGGAGTATCGTGTGTAGGCCAGTGAAAAAAAAAATCAAAATTGTATAATTTTTGTATTTAGGCTGTAAATGTGGAAAATAAAGGGGTGTGAATACTTTCTGAAGGCAATGTATGTACACTATATTTACAAAAGTATGTGGACACCCCTTCTAACTGTGAATTTCAGCTATTTCAGCCACACCCGTTGCTGACAAAAATCGAGCACACCGCCATGCAATCTCCATAGACAAACATTGGCAGTAGAATGGCCTTACTGAAGAGCTCAGTGACTTTCAACGTGGCACCGTCATAGGATGGCACCTTTCCAACAAGTCAGTATGTCAAAAATCTGCGCTGTTAGTGCTGCCCCGGTCAACTGTAAGTGCTGTTATTTTGAAGTAGAAACGTCTAGGAGTAACAACGGCTCAGCCACACAAGCTCACAGAACGGGACCACCGAGTGCTGAAGCACGTAGCGTGTAAAAATCACTTGTCCTCGGTTGCAACACTCACTAGAGTTCCAAACTGCCTCTGGAAGCAACGTTAGCACAAGAACTGTTCGTCGGGAGCTTCATGAAATGGCTTTCCTTGGCCGAGCAGCCGCACACAAGCCTAAGATCACCATGTGCAATGCCAGCAATGTTCCAACATCTAGTGGAAAGCCTTCCCAGAAGAGTGGAGCCTGTTATAGCAGCAAAGGGGGGACCAACTCCATATTAATGCCCATGATTTTGGAATGAGATGCTCGACGAGCAGGTGTCCACATACTTTTGGTCATGTAGTGTGCCTCTGTCTAAAATGACTTAGACTGTCTGTCACAGCTTTGCAAAATCTTATGTAATATGACATCATTGAAAAAGGGAAAAACATTCACAGAACTTGTTACAAAATGTTGCGTTTTCAAAATACAGTATATACATTTTATACTCCTTTGGCAATGCAGTAGTATATTCTACAGATCTTTTGTAAAAAGGGTGATACTAAAGCACATTCTGAGAGTTTAAGGAGTTTGTTTCTTTTGTAATTATTGTCATGCACGTGACTATTGCTTTGGAAGTCACAGTGGTCTAGGAAATCTGCAACTTTGATTTTATTATAAAGATGATATGCTCTGTGAGCAAAAAAGTGAATTTCCCAAAATCTAATTCGATCAAGCACTAGCATACACTATACTGTGCTGAATTAATTAACTAAAACCTACTCTTTCATCACTTGATTAAATATATCAGAGCTCGTCCTTGAATATCTGCGTTGCATGCGATTATAGTCAATAGCAACATTTTGAGCTAACTTATCAACAGCCGTTAACATGACACACCTAATTTAGTTAGGAAATGGCTGGGTTATTAATGGTTAATAGGCAATATCCTCTCATTAGGCGAACACTGATGACAGAGTCAAATATACTTTGGGGATCATGTTGTATTTCATCTGCAGGAATTATGACTTGTACAAATTAACCCTGGTAATTATTGCTATGTGATATTCACCCTGTTTGCATTGCTCACCAGAAAGTAGCAGGCTTTGCAGAAGCTGAATAGCTTTGTTCAAACAATATTGTCTTAACATTTCAAACAAAGCAGATTAGAGTATGTACAGTAGCTACAGGTATGTTCTGTTAAACAGCAACAGTTCTTAAGAATTGGGGCTCTCAGTAGCCACCACGTTTCCTGTCCAAAGGAGGCATGTAATAGGTCTTGAAAGCAGAGCGGTAGGACTCATCCCTTGGCTATTGGGAAAAGAGGAGGCAAACAAAAAAAGGTTATTAACAGAAATATGAACAACACATGAGCGAGTCATGAGGCTGTATGTATCAAGGGTCTCAGAGTAGGAGTGCTGATCTAGGATAAGTGTTGCCTTTTAGATCATAATGCAGAAGATTACATGGACAGGGGGGACCTGATCCTAGATCAGCACTTATTTTCTAAGACGCTTGATACTTACAGCCTCAGATGTTCTGACATTAGGGTGGTCTTCCTTTATATCAGTGGTCAGCAACCTTTTTTGAGTCGAGATCACTTTCTGTGTCAAAATGCAAGCTGATATCTACTGTTCCAGGGTTTTTTAACATGACGTAAGCCTATGCAACATTATCCTATTAAAAACAGTACTGTAGTAATGAGGTTTGTGCAGTAGACTATAGGCCCAAAACATTATCACCGCATATTGGCTTTGCTTGACTTGCCAACGCATTGCTGTTCTTCTCAGACCATAAAGAAAAAATATATACATATTTCATCATTTGAGGTAGGCTATATGATCACACCAGTAATTGATCAGTTGTTGTATTACTTGTGAGGCACAGCTGAGTGAGCATACATTTAAATACTTTGCTTTTTAAAATTTTACTGGGCTGATGGAGCCTGCATCTGATGGTCAGTCTCAGCGGAGGGAGAGGGCAGAAGACGGAGGGTCCGCCTCTCAACGTCCCTCCGCTCTCTCTTCCTCCGCTGACACTGACCAAAAAGGGACACTGTCTTCCAGCTGATGGTGAAACTCGAGTCGTACAGCATTATTTCTGCCTCATGCACAAATTCATGTTGTTACTCCTATGACCAGAGAAAGTGAAATATTCCTTGATATTAAAAAAACGACCCAAGCCTATCGATACACTTTCCTACTCATTAATTGCAGCTGGAGTGCTGGTTGTAGCGTGAGTGGAAGTAGGGAGAACGCACATTTTATGGCTTATAAAAGTGTTGAACAAAGTGTTGACAGTGCGGAGTAAAAACTTAAACATGAACTCACTCAGAAAAACAGCAGCTCTGCTGTATTCGTTGACAGTCTCTCTCTAGTCATGGTTTTAAAAGTTTAGAAATCTCACAGTATCAATTTTGCTGTAGCTTTCATTTTTTACATTGACATGTTAGTCATTTCACAGACGCTCTTATCCAGAGCGACTTACAGTAGTGAGTGCATACATGTTCATACTTTTTTCACATAATGGTCCCCCATGGGAATCGAACCTACAACCCTGGCGTTGCAAGCGCCATGCTCTACCAACTGAGCCACATGGGACTTTCTTTTATGCCTGCAACGTTACTGCAGACACGGTAATCTGAGCCATCCGATTGGCCAGCGGTAGGCCTATAGTGCACTTGATTTGCTACCCCCGGGATGGCAGAATTTGTACCTTCAGACAAATGAAATGGTTCAAAATTGAGTTTTTTACAGAAATGTTTGGTGATCGACTTAGAATGCCTTGGAGATCGACCAGTCGATAGCGATCGACCGGTTGGTGACCACTGCTTTATATGATGTGCAATAAAGTAATGTTTGTACAGGACTTTTGTCGTAGGGAGTAAGTAGCCTTAGAGATGTCCTAAAATAGGGAGTAGCCGTAGGGATGTCCTAAAATGTACACCGTAATGGAGTGTGTTTACCTTAGCCAACCGCGAGTGGCACTTTTTTGACGTGATGGCTGGTAGGGGGGACCCACAGTGAGTGATAGTAAGAGCTGGCACTGTGGTAACAGGGTAGGTGATCTGGGGTGCAGGCACTACCACATTGAGCTTTGGTAATTCCACTAGATAATGTGGGGCGTTGCGTCTGATCCGAGGCTCTGCAACATGTTTTATGTTGTGCTGCAAAACAAAATAATATTAGGCCTTCATGAGACACTATCCACATAGTAGTAGGGCAAAGTGCATCGCAATTATGGCATATTTTGTCATTTTTCCAGTATGTAGCCTATTATTACATGTTATCCATAAAATGTGATGTAGAGTCAACCTTTTGGAGCTATTTTTTTTACCTGCCTCCTGCCCTGTCTGGCCATGCGCCACAGGTGATCCACAGAGTTGGGGGTCCCACTGCTCTCTCCTCCCTCCACAGTCCCAATGGCCCTGTGCAGACTATCAGTTCTCCTCTCTGCCAGCCTGAGACAAGGACCCAAGAGGACAGGAGGAGGGAAGATAGCATTTACCATATGAAAAATGAAATACTGTATCTTTCACTACAATTTTAAGGCACAGTACAGTATGTCTGTATTTTCTATACAGTACAGTGTGTGCTTACCGTAGCTCTCTAAAATAGACGTGCTGTAGTGCCGCTCGTGAGCCAATGCGCTCCTCTGGGTCGTAGGCCAGCATCTGGTAGAGCAATGACAGACTGGGCGCAGAACAGTTTGGGATGAGCCGAGAGAGCCCACTGCCCTTCCGTGGAGGGAAGTCAAAACGCATCGCCCTAGACCTGTCAACAATAATGTACAACACTGTCACTAAGGACAATGGTTTCCATTGAACATACTGTAAAGGCATTGGTCTCCATTACATGAGAAACGTATATAACGCAACCAAAGAAGGCAACGTACTGCCTGAATTTTTGAAGAAGACCGCTGTCAGGTGTACCCAAAACATCATGGATCTTGGTCACCTGATCCAACTCGTTGGTACCCGGAAACAGAGGGCTGAGACTGAAATATAAAAACATGATAATCTGTGATGCCATCAAGGCTACTTACACGACAGTATGTGTTCATGAATGTCTGGCTTTGACCGTAGAGGAATACATACATCACTGAGGCTATAACCAAATTATATAATACTACATCCTATTTAGTTGGCTTTTTGGGTATGCAAGGATGGGAAGTACATAAGCAGTATGTAGTTTGAGAATACGGTCACAGCCAATGACGAGAGAGGTACCTGATGATTTCGTAGAAAACACATCCTACACTCCACATGTCCATCTTGTGTGAGTAATAGCCGTCTGTGAGGAGGCACTCTGGGGCTCTGTACCAGCGGGTGGAGATGTACTCTGTATAGGGGGGCTTGGAGTGCAAACTCCTGCACGAGCCAAAGTCTCCTAGTTTGAGCACATCGTGCTATGGAAGCAACCAACCAAGTCATTGGTAACATATGGGAAATAATGAAACAGTAACAGTTCTTATTTACAAATCAGCAGGCAAGGTTTTCAGCATCATCAGGTTTTTTTTACTTACTTTGATTAGAATGTTCTCTGGCTTAACATCACGGTGGAAGATCCCATTGCTGTACGAAAATAACAAAAGAGTAAAACTGTAACTTTTAGGGGAAGCAAAACAATTACCCTTAACCCCCCTGTAGCCTATGCCACGCAACAGTGAAATGTCTGTAAGAAATGTAAACTGAAACTCTTGAGCGTGCCGTATTTAGCCTACTCTCTTGCTATCTCTCTCAGAATGACCTTCTTGATCCAAACCAGTCAGGTTTCAAGACTGGTCATTCAACTGAGACTGCTCTTCTCTGTGTCACGGAGGCTCTCCGTACTGCTAAAGCTAACTCTCTCTCCTCTGCTCTTGTCCTTCTAGACCTGTCTGCTGCCTTTGATTATGTACTATGAACCATCAGATCCCCCTCACCACCCTCTCCGAGTTGGGCATCTCCGGCGCGGCTCACTCTTGGATTGCGTCCTACCTGACCGGTCGCTCCTACCAAGTGGCGTGGCGAGAATCTGTCTCCGCACCACGTGCTCTCACCACTGGTGTCCCCCAAGGCTCAGTTCTAGGCCCTCTCCTATTCTCGCTATACACCAAGTCACTTGGCTCTGTCATATCCTCACATGGCCTCTCCTATCATTGCTACGCAGACGACACACAACTAATCTTCTCCTTTCCCCCTTCTGATAACCAGGTGGCGAATCGCATCTCTGCATGTCTGGCAGACATATCAGTGTGGATGACGGATCACCACCTCAAGCTGAACCTCGGCAAGACGGAGCTGCTCTTCCTCCCGGGGAAGGACTGCCCGTTCCATGATCTCGCCATCACCGTTGACAACTCCGTTGTGTCCTCCTCCCAGAGTGCGAAGAGCCTTGGCGTGACTCTGGACAACACCCTGTCGTTCTCCGCTAACATCAAGGCGGTGACCCGATCCTGTAGGTTCCTGCTCTACAACATTCGGAGAGTACGACCCTGCCTTACACAGGAAGCGGCACAGGTCCTAATCCAGGCACTTGTCATCTCCCGTCTGGATTACTGCAACTCGCTGTTGGCTGGGCTGCCTGCCTGTGCCACTAAACCCCTACAACTCATCCAGAATGCCGCAGCCCATCTGGTGTTCAACCTTCCCAAGTTCTCTCACGTCAACCCGCTCCTCCGCACACTCCACTGGCTTCCAGTTGAAGCTCGCATCTGCTACAAGACCATGGTGCTTGCCTACGGAGCTGTGAGGGGAACGGCACCTCCGTACCTTCAGGCTCTGATCAGTCCCTACACCCAAACGAGGGCATTGCGTTCATCCACCTCTGGCCTGCTGGCCCCCCTACCTCTGCGGAAGCACAGTTCCCGCTCAGCCCAGTCAAAACTGTTCGCTGCTCTGGCACCTCAATGGTGCAACAAGCTCCCTCACGACGCCAGGACAGCGGAGTCACTCACCACCTTCCGGAGACACTTGAAACCCCACCTCTTTAAGGAATACCTGGGATAGGATAAAGTAATCCTTCTACCCCCCCTTACCCCACCCCAAAGAAAGAAAAAAAACATATTGTAAAATGGTTATCCCACTGGCTATAAGGTGAATGCACCAATTTGTAAGTCGCTCTGGATAAGAGCGTCTGCTAAATGACGTAAATGTAAATGCAAAAGTATTCTTTCATGGACAAGCTCCCATCCATATTTTCATTCTTACCTATGCATGTGATCGAGTGACTTGCAAAGTTGATACATGTAGAGTCTGATTTTACTTTCTGGCAAAGGTTGTTGCCTCCCTGCAAGTGAGACAAGTTAGCAATACACAAGATAACGGAATGTGAAATAGTCTTTGATGTACTGTAGTTACAGTTGTGGTAAAAGTTTCATGTCATTCACAGTAGCAGTTTTCCTGTGTGTCTGACCTCGTATGTACTCATAGATGTTCATCTCCATCAGCTCACATACCAAGGACAGGGTCCCTGATTCTTTGTCACTGTAACACATCGAATGAATCAGACAAAATTATCATGTTATTATTCAGTTCAGGCTTCACACATACAATGAAAAAGACTGTGACAAACATTGTACTCACAATATCAATTCATGCAGCTGAATGATGTTGGGGTGAGGGTTCAGTTTTTTCATGGCCTGGACTTCTCGCAGGTTGTTGGCCTGTTCAAGGCTGAGCAACAAGAAACAAAACACGTTATTATGTGTAACTGTATCTGTCTATTGTAGAGAACATGTCTCATGACTTATTTTCAAAGATACAGGCTTTAAAAAATATGTGCACAAAACTTAAAGCAACATTGTCCCTTGCTGACCTCAACCTCACTTGGTCAGGGTATGTTGAAACCAATATACACATCATTGGTTGACACCCAGTAGGATAGGTAGGGGTGTCATGCTGCTGGCTCAAGTTTCAAGGCAAGGGTCCACGTACAAAGAGGATGTCATGCACCTGAAGGCAAGCAGCAGGCAGTACCATTATATACTTATGGGCAGCACACATGATAATTACCTGCTGAGTGACTGCTTCATCGTTTTACACGCATAATATTTCCCATCTTTCAGGCTTTGAGCCTTCACCACTTCTGAAAATGTCCCTTCTCCAATTTTCTTGATTATCTTGTAATCTGCATAACAACAAAATAGTTGAGAAAACACATGCAGCTCTCTATCTACAGTAGCTGTATCTAGCCAACGCTAGCTTACTGTACTAGCTTCCTAACGTTAGTAGCTAGCTAGCTAACGTTAGCTACTAGTACATTTTACATTTACATTTTAGTCATTTAGCAGACGCTCTCATCCAGAGCGACTTCCAGGAGCAATTAGGGTTAAGTGCCTTGCTCAAGGGCACATCGACAGATTTTTCACCTAGTCGGCTCGGGGATTAGAACCAGCGACCTTTCGGTTACAGGCACAACCTACCGTTAGTACAGGCAAGCAATTCGATCAACTTACTATCCATTCTTCAAGTGTTCACTGCATAGAAGTAAATTATCCATACTAGCTAGTCCTATATTTAAATAACACATTGCGTTCTTTTCATGGCACAGTGTTGTCAAATATGTATATAACTAATCTCATTGTTCTATCTGTGGTGTTGTTGTGGCAAGCATGCTAGCTAACTAAATAATCTAGCTCCAAGATTGAAAGGCTGGGGTAAAAATACGCCTTGCTGCTCTCTAGCCTAGGCTAAGGAGGACATTTTTTATCTCTACTACTAGCTAGCCGTGTTAGCTGGGCCGTCACCTTGGTAACCAGGCACGCCTCACCCTCAACTCTGACCTAAAAGGTGGATGATTTGAAACAAGAAACTTGGCTCGTTCCAGTGGCTGGCTGGCTATCTATTTCTGACATTAGACTCACACTCAATGATGTATGCACACTTTTACTGTTATGGACGTCCAAATGCATTTCATATTTATTCTGCAAATAGTAGAACAATTGTGTTTTTGCTATTACAAAAGGTTTGCACTCATCAGTCGCTCGAGCAGAGAGAGATGGAGCCAAATTCATCAACGTTTTCAAAAAAATGCACAAATGAACAAAACATATATTTGATAAAACGTGGTGCATTTTCCTGTAAACATGTTGTTGGCTTGAATGCCATTTTGCAAAGCATTTATCTCACCTTTTTTCAAAAGAAGCTTGCTTAAAATGAGCTCAGATCTATTTCGTTTGTACGACGTTGTATTGTTGTATATGTCCATGAAGCTTTTCCAGTCGATACTAGGCGTTTTGTTTGCTTTGCGAATGCATGCTCTATTTTTCACACCAACAAGCCAATTTGTGTAATACATAATTATACGATAGCTGACGAAGAGAACGCATTGAATTTGTATCTTGAAACACTCCCTAGTTGCAGCTGCTGACCATCTCCTCTCAGCATCAACTAACAATATTCATCATTGCGTAATGTAAATCATTTTCGTCGGATGTCTGCGCATGCATGTGCACAAGTGTGTGTTTGTGTGCGCGAGAGTCTACGCGCGCCTGGTAATTTTGATGCAAATAGGATTCCGTCCAAATGTAGTCCGCGCATGCGTGCTGCAAAAGTCAGCGTGTTGCGTTGCTGTGTGCTGCTCTACTTATTTGCAGTGTAAATGTTTCTGACAAGGAATACAAGCTTCTAATTTTCATAATGAAAACAAGATTCAATACCGTGGATATCAGGGCAGTCATTGCTGAGATAAATGCTAAGTAAGTTAGTCTGGTTCATGCATCATGAAACGTGCTATTGTTGGCTAGCTAGCTAATGTTAGCTAGCTAGCTAGTTACTGTAACAAATGTCGAAGTTGAAAGATAGATTGGGCTTGTTCGACATTGCAGCCGACTGACTGATCTACAAATCACCTTGCATCATAAATAACGCTCATTATTATTTGTAGCTAGATCAGTCAGTCACAATTTACCCACGATACATCACGGTGTTTATGCTCTCGAACACGGCCATTGAATAAACTTGCTAACTATACAACTACTGTCAACAATTGGTTTAGGTCCACAGGCATTCTCTAAACTTGACAGACGTTAACTACACAGATGGCTAGCTAACAAAATATGATTGGGACTTATGAATAACGTCATCATGACACTAACTTAATTTGTTCTGTTATCACAGTTATCTTGGTATGCGCGTAAACAACGTGTATGACATCGACACGAAGACATATCTCATCCGGTTGCAAAAGTAAGTGATATCTGCTGGCTGTCAGTGGTACCAAGCTACAGCAACCATCCATGTTGTTGCCATGATGTTTGTTTACAGAACTTGTCATGTACACGTGTCAAATGAAATGCATTGCTAATGTGTCACTAAGTCCTAGGGATGACTGGTGTGCAAGATTAGAATTGAAAATGTTTTTGTTTGTTTTCAGGCCTGACACCAAAGCTATTCTACTGGTTGAATCTGGACTCCGCATTCATTCTACAGACTTTGAATGGCCCAAAAATATGATGCCCTCTGGCTTTGCCATGAAAGTGAGGATGCATTGTTTTTTCAGTTGTCCATTCACTTGTCATGTCATGCAATGATGGATGTCTTGGTAACTCACTTTATGATGACTCTTCCCCATAGTGTCGAAAGCATCTCAAGTCAAGGCGACTGACACAGGTGAAGCAGCTTGGGATTGACAGGATTGTTGACATCCAGTTTGGCTCAGATGAGGCTGCTTACCATCTGATAGTGGAGCTCTATGACAGGGTGAGAAATGTCCATTCCCTTCTTCCTCTCTCCGAGTCTGACGTTTTCATTATACTCTTCAACTGTAGAATACATTACTTGTTTCATATTTAGCAATGACAATCGATATTCCATGCTGTTTTCTTTATGATCATCATGTTGAATGCAGTGTAATGTGCACCCCCTGTGTATGTGAAGGGTAACATTATCCTGGTGGACCACGAGTACATGATTCTGAACCTGCTGCGCTTCCGCACAGCAGAGGGAGAGGAAGATGTGAAGATAGCGGTGAGGGAGAGGTACCCTGTGGAGAACGCCAGGCCGCCAGAGCCCCTCATCAGCTTGGAGAGGTAAGCCACGGGAGGCAGATAGTGGTTAGGATGAATCATGGTGCCAATGCAGGCAAAAGAGTGGAACAATATTTAAATATTTGCAGATGAATTCGGTGAAATGTTGAGGGATTTGTCACAAGATGTTTAGTGAACTGAGCATTATATTCAGTTCAATTATTGATATACTTTTTTGGTTACTACATGATTCCATACGTGTTATTTCATAGTTTTGTAGAAAATAGTACAAATAAAGAAAAACCCTTGATTGAGTAGGTGTGTCCAAACTTTTGGCTGGTACTGTATATATGACTGACAGGTGGAACTGTTTTGAAACCACCGTGCCTCCATCTTGGCACTCCATTGTAAAATATTTTTATGGCTATAAAATGCGATTATTAATGTCTATATTTGTTTTTGTCACATTTATTCTATTAGAGACACCTTAATGCATACTTTTAAATTGTATTATGTCAGCTAAACATAAAAATAATGTTAATGTCCCCACTACAACAAAAAAATACTTAAAAACGTGTAATTTTCTCCTTAACATTTAATTGAAATACTATAGAATTCCATTCATTCCTATGGAGGACTGCTCCTTCTGGGGAGTGCCAATATCGCCGTCCGGTGGCTTCAAAGCCTCTCACTGGCTAGTACATAGCATCAGCAATCTAGGGTTTACTGTATATACATAATTGATTCAGTTAGGCCTAGGGTTGCAAAATTCTGGTAGTTTTCCCAAAATTCCCAGGTTTTCCTGAAATCCCGGGTTGGAAGAGTCAACGTGGACAAGACAAAGGATCTTATTGTGGACTACAGGAAATGGAGGTCCGAACACGCCCCCATTCAAATCGACAAGGCTGTATTAGTGCGGGTCACTAAGGACCTGTCATGTTCCAGACACACCAGCACAATTGTGAAGAGGCCATGACAACAAAAGATTTGGCATGGGCCCTCAGATTCTCAAAAAATTCTACAGCTGCACCATTGAGAGTATCTTGACTGGCTGCATCACCACTTTGTATGGCAACTGCTCTGCATCCGTCCGCAAAGCACTACAGAGAGTAGTGCATACGGCCCAGTACATCACTGGGACCGAACTCCCTGCCATCCAGGACTTCTATACCAGGCGGTGTCAAAGGAAGGCCCAAAAAATGGTCAGACTCTAGCCACCCAAGTCATAGACTGTTCTCTCTGCTACCGCATTGCAAGCAGTACCGGAGCGACAAGTCTCTGACCAGAAGGCACCTGAACAGCTTCTACCCCCAAGCCATAAGACTGCTGAACAGTTAATCAAATGGCTACCTGGACAATTTACATTGACCCCCTTTATTATTTCTTTATCTTAATTGTTTTGCACTGACTCTATGCACACTCACTAGACTCTACCCACACACTCACATACTACACTGACACTCCAACACACACACACATACATATTGACGCCACACACACACTCCCACATAGACACACTTTACATACGCTGCTGCTACTCTGTTTATTATATATCCTGATTGCCTAGTCACTTTTACCCCTACCAACATGCAGTGGTGTAAAGTACTTAAGTAAAAAATACTTTGGGCTATCTGCACTTAATTTATATTTTTGACAACTTTTACTTCACCACATTCCTAAAGAAAATAATGTACTTTTTACTCCATACATTTTCCCTGACACCCAAAAGTACTTGTTACATTTTGAATGCTTTAGCAGGACAGGAAAATGGTCCAATTCATGCACTTATCAAAAGATCATCCCTGTTCATCTCTACTGCCACTGATCTGGCAGACTCACTCTCCGTAAATTAAAAAAACAAACAAGAAAATGGTGCTTTTGGTTTGCTTAATATAAGGAATTTGAAATGATTTATACTTTAACTTTTGATACTTAAGTATATTATATCAATTACATTTACTTTTGATTCTTAAGTATATTTTAAGCCAAATACTTTTAGACTTTTACTCAAGTAGTATTGTACTGCGTGACTTTTACTTGAGTATTATTCTATTAAGGTATCTTAACTTTTACTCAAGTATAACAATTGGGTACTTTTTCCACCACTGCCCACATGTACATACTGTATTAGCTCAATTATCTCAACTACCTTGTACCCCTGCACATTGACTCGGTACTGGTACTCCTTGTATATAGCCTCGTTATTGTTTTTATTGTTACTATTTCCTTTTTTTTATTTAGCAAATATTTCTTACTTTTTAACTCTGCACTGTTGGGAATGGGCTCCTAAGTAAGCATTTCACTGTAAAGTCTACACCTGTTGTATTCGGCGCATGTGACCAATACAATTTGATTTGATTTGAATAAGCAGGAAATTCGCAATCATCCAACCAGGATTTCTGGAAAACTTGGGAATTTTGGGAAAGTTACCGGACATTTGCAACCCTAGTTAGGCCCAAGAGTTCATTGAAGAAATAATAATCTGTGTTGGTTTGTTTTCATGTAGACTCACGGAAGTCCTGTCAAAGGCCACGAATGGAGATCAGGTGAAAAGGGTCCTCAATCCTCACCTTCGTAAGTAGTCTTCGTCGCCTCTGTCTCCATCCAAGGCTCATCCAAGTTTAGTAAAAAATTTTTTAAAAAATTCCACAATGTTATTATCATTGTAAACAGCAGACATACCTTCTAGCGTTATCTATCTGCTCTTTCAGCATATGGGGCTACTCTCATAGAGCACTGTTTGATGGAAGTGGGACTCACTGGCTTCATCAAAGTGGACAACCAGTTTGATGCTGCACGAGGTACGTTTCTTTTAGACCAGCTGTAGCCATTGGCAGATTACGAAGATGTACTGTTGGTATATATTATTCAAACAATGATCATCAGAATCATGATATTCTGGATGAAATAGGCTTAATTGTTGTGTGTAGATGCACCCAAAATCCTGGATGCCCTGCAAATGGCAGAAGATTATATGGAGAAAACGGCAAGCTTTGATGGAAAGGTAGGTCTCACGTCTTATTGAGAATATTCATTCATACATCGGATCCATTTGTAATAGCGAAATCATAGAAAAGTGTGTCTCCCTTGTTTCGTTGCAGGGCTACATCATCCAAAAATGTGAGAAGAAACCAAGTTTAGTCCCAGACAAACCTCCTGAAGAATTGCTCACGTAAGTTATTTTATTTGACTCTCATTCTGTGCTTATGATATTATGTCTCCAAGTTCAGTTACTGGGAAGATCAGCATTAGGTCTCACCAGAAGCATTATGGAGGTTTTTGTTTGCTTGGCTGGTGAGATATGTTCAAGTCTCCAACAATGTCTTATTTTTACAGATATGAGGAATTCCACCCCTTCCTCTTTGCCCAACATGCAAATAGCCACTATGTTGAGTTTGATACATTTGACAAGGTGAATTTGAGAATATCTGTCCTTTATATGTATTTATTTACCCTATGCGTATGTTGGGAAAATGTCATTGTTTCCCATACTTACCTAGTGTACCAAAACTGTATTGGTATTTTCATAAGACTAAGGTATGAGATCACTTCAGTAAGTCTTGCTCCTCTGCTCCTAGGCGGTGGACGAATTCTACTCCAAGATGGAGAGTCAGAGGATCGACGTGAAGGCCCTGCAGCAGGAGAAACAGGCTCTGAAGAAGCTGGACAATGTCAAGAGGGACCACGTGCAGAGGCTGGAGGCACTGCACCAACTTCAGGTCAATACTGAAGAACTAATGCTAAAGATGTGCTAATGCTAAAGGATTGCTAATGCTGAAGGAGTGCTAATGGGTCCTGCCAGAGCCATGTATTTAGAGAGTTGGGCCAATGCGGTTTCTGCATTATGATGCATTTACATGACACTACAACATTGTAAGGCAGCCATGTTAGCTCCCAATTAACATTACATGGGGAATATTTAAACATGTAACTGAATGTCTAGAATTAGAACAATATACTAAAAGTTGGCCTAACTCTCTAAATGCATGGCCCTTGGTCCTACTAATTACCCCAAACAACCCAAAAGTACCCACAACAACTCAAAACAAACAAACGGGTACCCAAAACAACCCATAACAACCACAAACAGGTTCTCTCTCCCGCTGACTCTCTCCATACTACCTGTCTAATAAACAGTCGGATTATGGTTGGAATGAAGGATGACTGATGGGCTGTTTGAAGGGTAATGATGGGAGGACAATCCTCCACGATGACCCACTTTATGGATGTGTCCCAAATGGCACACTATTCCCTATAAAGTGCACTACCCATAGGGATATGGTCAAAGGTAGTGCACTTTATAGGGAATAGGGTGGCCTTTGGAAGACGTAGCTCCCAGGCTGTGGTTTACATATCGATCCGATCCGTAATGGGGTGATTGGGTTGATCACCTGATCGATCGGCAGTCACAAACCTCGTTACTGTCAGCAGGTGACACGCATGGATTGCCATAATTTCATAAAGAGAGGTGCGACTACCATGTGTCCCAAATGGCACCCTATTCCATGTATAGTGCACTACTTTTGACCAGAGCTTTGGTTAAAAGCAGTGCACAATATAAAGGGAATAGGGTGCCATTTGGGACACAGCACCTTATCCCAACATCTGTATGTGTCGGCACACGAATGTACATAACCTAATCACAGGTAATCTCATTGAAGGAGGAGAGGTGGCTCTGCCAAGACATGTAGTTTAACACCTTTTGTGTGTTATCTAGTTATGATGGGAAGCGCGTGTGTGTGCGTGCCGGGGTTAATTAGAAACGAAGATGGTCAATTCAGGAAGTGATTTTAATTTAAATCTGAAAGACTTTAGAAATAAATAGCTTCTACTCTGTTATTGTTTATATATGAGTTGTTTGGGTACTTTTTTGTGGTTGTTTTAGGTTGTTCTGGGTAGCACCCATGCTAATGCTATTAGGACCGTGTGTTGCAGGAGGTAGACAGGCTTAGGGGCGAGCTGGTGGAGATGAACTTGCCCATAGTGGAGAGGGCTCTGCAGGTGGTGCGGAGCGCCCTGGCCAACCAGGTGGACTGGGCCGAAATAGGGCTGATCGTCAAGGAGGCCCAGGCTGCCGGAGACCCAGTGGCCTGCGCCATTAAGGAGCTGAAGCTGCAGACCAACCACATCACCATGCTTTTAAAGTGAGTTGATGCCCAAAATGGATACGTTTCTAATTGCCCCTCAGGGATTGATAAAGTCATATTGAATTGAACTGTCTTTGGTTCGGTTAAACTTGACTACTGCCCTTTCACACTACAACTGAGCTGAGCTGTACTAAGCTGACCTGGTTACGCATCCATCCTGTGCTGCTGCAATCTTGCTGGAAAAGTGTGGGAACGTGGCGTTGCAGTTTCCCAGCACATATCGCCCACAGCGGCTAGGAAGTGAATCCCACGTCCTTGATGCTGCCCTCTATCACTGTGTCCCATCTCCTTTCAAACTGTCTAAATCAAGACTGAGCTCTTCACTGTAGGTGTCATATGTATGCATTTATAAAGCCTTTTATAACAGCTACATAACAGTGTTACCAAAAATCCAGCTGGAAAGGAAAATGTGAAATTGTATCCAGCACAGAACAGTTTGGATTTGAACAAAAGCATGAAATGGGTTCTCCAAATACTATGAATCAATCACTAACCCACCTTTATCTGCCCTCTAGCCAATTAAATAGATGGATGCTGAACAGACAGACCAGGGTAATGCTCATTAGGGCATACCGTAGCACAACGTTTTGCAACGGACAACAAAATGTACATTTTCTTATTAGACAAGTTCAAATAGTACCTCCCTGTTTCAGGACGTTTCCTTCCGTTTCATGCGTACTGAACACTGCCCTGTTGTTTCCCCGTTCAGGAACCCATACATTGTCCCAGAGGAAGGAGAGGAGGAGGATGTAGCCGAGGTGGCTGAAGAGAAGAAGGGGAAGAAGAACAAGAACAAAGACAAGGGGCAGAGGGGCAAGCCCAAGAAGGACCAGCCCATGCTGGTGGATGTGGACCTCAGCTTGTCAGCCTACGCCAATGCCAAAAAGTAGGCTCTCCACTCTCCCTGGCTCAGTGTATTCTTTAAACTGCAGTTATTAAATAGAACAGATATGTTTTATCTCTATGCTTTGAACAGTATGGCTAGATGTGGTTTTAGCATATCAAGCTGACGAACCCTAACGTTGATGTCCTTTCTTTTCAGATACTACGACCACAAGCGAACCGCTGCTAAGAAAGAGCAGAAAACTGTGGAGGCAGCCCAGAAGGTGATGGTGCCACATGCATATGACATTCCCTGTCCATTTGTGTTAGTGGTCAGTTCATACATTTGTAACATCTTCCCCCTTTTTTATTTCAAGGCTTTCAAATCTGCTGAGAAAAAGACCAAGCAAACCCTTAAAGAGGTCCAAACGGTTACAACCATTCAGAAGGCCAGGAAAGTCTACTGGTAAGAGACTTAGCCTAACTAAAGCAGTATTCACCCTCTGTAAACTTGCCACGTATAGAGATATGAGCAGTCATTGACTAAACAAATCTGAACTAGTGCAGCCATGTTCAGCTAATCTAACACCTGTAAGAAGTGATTAAATGAGCGCAAAGTCCTCTCCAATTCCAGCACAAATTCTACAGATTCTACATTTTAGTCATTTAGCAGACGCTCTTATCCAGAGCGACTTACAGTTAGTGAGTGAATACATTTTCATACCGGCCCCCCGTGGGAAACGAACCCACAACCCTGGCGTTGCAAGCACCATGCTCTACCACCTTTGTTTGTGTCAGATTTGTGACAAATGCATATTCTTCTGGGCAATTACTTCCTCTTATCTTTTCAATACGTGACAAATGATGTATCATTGTGCTCTGTCAGGTTTGAGAAGTTCCTGTGGTTCATCAGCTCAGAAAATTACCTCATCATCGCCGGACGCGACCAGCAACAGAATGAAATTATCGTTAAGCGCTACTTGAGGGCTGGTAAGAGTGTAATACACTTACTATAGCCCTGCCTTACAACAGGCTATGGACAACTATCCAATGTCCATACCAGCATAGAACATCGAATACATGCCCAATACATTGCTTCGGACTAGATCGCATGCTAGTTTGGAACACACAACACGCTATGTTCCACTGTCCATACTAGCATACCACATAGAATGCATTCACAATACATTGCTTCGTTCTAGTTAGTATGCTAGTTTGGAGATTGGAACAGAGCCTCTATCTCGCTACCTGTGTGAAAATCTCCTCCTCTAATTTTGGTGTCTCTATTATCAGGGGATATCTACGTTCACGCCGACCTCCATGGAGCAACCAGTTGTGTCATCAAGAACCCATCTGGTAAGAGCTGGCCTAGTTCTGTGATCAACACACTGTTGTTCAGTCAAATGACGCTTCTCTTATCCACTGGAATCTCTCTCTTTAATATATGTTCATGCAACTTAAAGTGAATAACCCATCTCAGCCCAAATTCTAGTTATAACTACCTGACTTGAATTCAAGCTTAAGTGTTGACAATCATCTGTGAACTCTATCCATGTCTTTTTAATGGGGTGTAATGTGGCACTTCTATCTCTTCCCTCTAGGTGTGCCCATTCCTCCACGCACCTTGACCGAGGCAGGCACCATGGCTGTGTGCTACAGTGCAGCCTGGGACGCCAAGGTCATCACCAGCGCATGGTGGGTGCACCACCACCAGGTGAGTCCTCCTTGGGAGCCTGCTGCAGGGTTGGATGGTTGGATCAGGGTATGATCAGAGCTGCTCCAATGATAACTCTTCTCGTCTCTCTCTGTCTAGGTGACTAAGTCGGCCCCCACTGGAGAATACCTGACCACTGGAAGTTTCATGATCCGAGGTATGGCAACGTCTTCCCAGTAGTCACCACGTGGTGGTTATGTAGTGTTGGGTTATCGACAGCTAAAACCGCATTCCTATTTTCACAGGAAAGAAGAACTTTATGCCGCCCTCTTATTTAATGATGGGTTTCAGCTTTCTCTTCAAGGTAAAAGCTCATGTTTTAAACGTGTTTGCTCTGTCATAGATAGTCTTCCGATATATCCGACTGCCTTTTGAGGAGTCAATTGGTAAACCCTATCTTGGCTCAACAGTCCAGTCTTGTGTCCACAGGTAGATGAGCAGTGTGTATTCAGACACCGGGGTGAGAGGAAGGTCAAAACCATCGACGAGGACATGGCGGACGTGACGTCCAGCACAGCAGACCTGCTAGAGGATGGGGAGGAGCTTATAGGTACAGGGCTTCAAGACCCACACGCACACACACACATCAGTATGCGAATCTACTGGTTGTTGCATTTATGTACCATACGTATGTTTTCCCAGGGGATGACAGTAGCAACGAGGGAGAGGGGGATGATGGAGGAGGAGATGGAAAGAAGAATGGAGGAGTAGAGGTAAAAGTAGAGAAAGCTACTGAAGGGGCAGAGGCTGAAGATAAGGAGGATGGAGATGCTAACGAACTGGACGACATGAAGGAGGAAGGAGAGGGGGATGAGGAAGAGGTGGAAGGGCTGAAGGTGAAGAGTGATGGGGAGAGTGCTGAGTTCAGTTTTCCAGACACCACCATCTCCCTGTCCCACTTGCAGTCCACCAGGTAATATTATACTACTGTATGTTGCCATTGTAAACTCAGCAAAAAAAAAGAAACGTCCTCTCACTGTCAACTGTATTTATTTTCAGCAAACTTAACGTGTAAATATTTGTATGAACATAACAAGATTCAACAACTGAGACATAAACTGAACAAGTTCAACAGACATGTGACTAACAGAAATTGAATAATGTGTCCCTGAACAAAGGGGGGGTCAAAATCAAAAGTAACAGTCAGTATCTGGTGTGGCCACCAGCTGCATTAAGTACTGCAGTGCATCTCCTCTTCATGGACTGCACCAGATTTGCCAGTTCTTGCTGTGAAATGTTACCCCACTCTTCCACCAAGGCACCTGCAAGTTCCCGGACATTTCTGGGGGGGGGAATGGCCCTAGCCCTCACCCTCCGATCCAACAGGTCCCAGACGTGCTCAATGGGATTGAGATCTGGGCTCTTCATGGCAGAACACTGACATTCCTGACTTGCAGGAAATCACGCACAGAACAAGCAGTATGGCTGGTGGCATTGTCATGCTGGAGGGTCATGTCAGGATGAGCCTGAAGGAAGGGTACCACATGAGAGAGGAGGATGTCTTCCCTGTAACGCACAGCGTTGAGATTGCCTGCAATGACAACAAGCTCAGTCCAATGATGCTGTGACACACCGCCCCAGACCATGACAGACCCTCCACCTCCAAATCGATCCCGCTCCAGAGTACAGGCCTCGGTGTAACGCTCATTCCTTCGATGATAAACGCGAATCCGACCATCACCGGTGAGACAAAGCCGTGACTCGTCAGTGAAGAGCACTTTTTGCCAGTCCTGTCTGGTCCAGCGACGGTGGTTTTGTGCCCATAGGCGACGTTGTTGCTGGTGATGTCTGGTGAGGACCTGCCTTACAACAGGCCTACAAGCCCTTAGTCCAGCCTCTCTCAGCCTATTGCGGACTGTCTGAGCACTGATGGAGAGATTGTGCGTTCCTGGTGTAACTTGGGCAGTTGTTGTTGCCATCCTGTACCTGTCCCGCAGGTGATGTTCGGATGTACCGATCCTGTGCAGGTGTTGTTACATGTGGTCTGGCACTGCGAGGACGATCAGCTGTCCGTCCTGTCTCCCTGTAGCGCTGTCTTAGAAGTCTCACAGTACGGACCTTGAAATGTATTGCCCTGGCCACATCTGCAGTCCTCATGCCTCCTTGCAGCATGCCTAAGGCACGTTCACGCAGATGAGCAGGGACCCTGGGCATCTTTGTTTTGGTGTTTTTCAGAGTCAGTAGAAAGGCCTTCTTTAGTGTCCTAAGTTTTCATAACTGTGACCTTAATTGCCTACCGTCTGTAAGCTGCTAGTGTCTTAACGACCGTTCCACAGGTGCAAGTTCATTAATTGTTTATGTTTCATTGAACAAACATGGGAAACAGTGTTTAAACCCTTTACAATGAAGATCTGTGAAGTTATTTGGAATTTTACAAATTATCTTTGAAAGACAGGGTCCTGAAAAAGGGACGTTTCTTTTTTTGCTGAGTTTGTGTGCCGGTCGTGTTCATATATTATTCCTCTGTATTTGAATGGCAAATATGACCTTTTGAATTGAGTAAAGGCTAGTTTCTTCAGTAGTAGACCTAGGTCAAATACGTAGGTGAAATAATTTTGAGATACTTGGTTTGAAGTATGCTTGATATAGCTTGGAGTTTATATTTGGGGCCATTCCATTGGTTCCATTGTACCAGGCAAAACAAATCAAGAGTAGTTTAAGTATTTCAAAGTATCTGACGTGTATTTGACCCAGGTCTTTTCAGTGTCCGAAAGTGCAACAGTCATCAGAGAGGTTTCTGTTTGTTTCTCTCCAGGGAAACCCAAAGTGCTGGTTTCAAAAAGAAGGTCTCCATTCAGGTAAAGCAATTGTGATCGGTGAACTTCTATAATTGTTTTCATTGAACTGTTTTCATTATGCAATAGAATAATTTATATTTGATAGAATACATTTTTATTTCATAAACGTCATATCATATGTACATTTTATTCTTCATTAGGTTGATGTGGAGGTGCAAAAAGAGGGGGGAAAACACATGACAGCCAAGCAAAGAAGGTAAGCTATATACGTAGCAATGAAACCTTCCCTCGTGGCTAATAGTAATGCATGAATGCAATGGTTTTGTATTGCTGCGTTCTTTTTGTCCAAAGGGAGGAGAAGAAGAAGGGGAAACAGGATCTTTCTGAAACTCAGGAAGAAGAGGGAAAGACAGAGGAGACGCATGGTGCCTCCGCAGCCAATCAGACCACCAAGAGTGGAGGAGGGGGAGGAGCCTCTCAGCAACCTCTTAAGAGACATCAAAAGGTGAGACGTTTTCAAAGTTTTAAATTAATTTTATTAATTGTAGTCCAATTTGGCCAGAGATTGGTTCTAGCGCTGGCTAAGGTTGTCAGCTTTACTGTCTTCGTGGTGGCATTAGTTAGAATACACTGCCCTTGAAAGTCAAGCTTTTCGTGTTTGTTTCCATCTATGCTGTGGTTGAAATCCAGAACAAGCTGAAGAAAATAAAAGAGAAGTACAAAGACCAGGACGAAGAGGATCGGGAGCTGATGATGAAATTGTTGGGGGTGAGGAGTATGATGTTGAACTTTCCCTCATACTATTGAAATGTCTGGGTTACAAACTATGGAACACAAATTAATGATATGAACATATCTGTACACCAAAACATTTATAAAAAAACATTGAATGAAAGGGACTTTTTTTTTTATGGCCGGTTACTGGTTACCAATAAATTGTTTCCAATAAAGCAGTACAGTACAGGCATTTATTGAAATCCCAAACCTTTTCCGTCTGCAGTCTGCTGGCTCCACTAAGGAAGAGAAGCCTAAGAAGGGCAAGAAGGGGAAGGGCAAAGACGAGGTGTTGAGAAAAGCCCCCCAGAAGCAAGCCCCGAGACCCCGTCCTCAGGAGGTCATCTTAAAGAAACCAGAAGGGGAGGAGGAGGGTCCGGCTGGGGAGGAGGGAGCAGCACCTGAACAGGATGACAAGGTAAAGAAAACAAGTCAAACTGCTCCATGGCCCTGTTCAAATACTCTTAAAATTAATGATTCCATCCTCAAAGTAATCACTAGGCAGGTTTCCATTGACCCAAGGTTTATTAGACAAAAATAATGTCCCAACATTGTGATGTATAATGGACAAGGCGGCTATAGGGGAAATGTTCTAAAGATCTATACTGAACAAAAACATGCAACAAATATTTTACAGTTTACAGAGTTACAGTTCATAGAAGGAAATCATTAAATTGAAATTAATTAATTAGGCCCTAATCTATGGATTTCATATGACTGGGCAAGGGCGCAGCCATGGGTGGGCCTGGGAGGGCATAGGCCCACCCACTGGGGAGCCAGGCCCAGCCAATCAGAATTAGTTTTTCCCCACAAAAGGGTCCTTGGCTGGCGTGGTTACATGTGGTCTGCGGTTGTGAGGCCGGTTGGATGTACTGCCAAATTCTCTAAAATGACATTGGAGGCGGCATATGGTAGAGAAATGAACATTACGCTCCCTCAAAAGTCAAGACATCTGTGGCATTGTGTTGTGTGACAAAACTGCACATTTTAGTGGCCTTTTATTGTCCCCAGCACAAGGTGCACCTGTGTAATGATCATGCTGTTTAATCAGCTTCTTGATATGCCATACCTGTCAGAAGGATGGATTATCTTGGCAAAGGAGAAATGCTCACTAACAGGGATATAAACAAATTTGTGCACAAAATTTTAGAGAAATAAGCTTTTTGTGCGTATGGAATATTTCTGGGATCTTTTATTTCAGCTCATGAAACATGGGACCAACAATTCACATGTTGTTTATATTTTTGTTTAGTATACAACATTGTTACCCGTTCGACAGGTGGATTTTTCTTTTGTCAAACTTTCTTTGCAACAACTGATGATGGAAACTGTGTTTTTGGAATAAATGATTGCCAAATATTTTTTGAAGGTACACAACGGGGCACATGATATCACGCAATTACAAAGCTTCACTCCACATTTAATTCTAAATGCCTACTGCTTGCTAAATCTCAGTTTTTCCACTATAAAAATGTTTCTTTGCAGGACAAGGATTGTCTTGACTTTCAAGAATGCTTGCCTTGCTTTTCTGGTTGGCTGGATGCAAGTTACACCATCCAATTATTTAAGATCTACAGGAGTGCAAGTTTCACCATGGCATGGAGTGTGGTGATATGTTGGCACATGAGAATTATTAAAATATGGAAAATATTGGTAAATTCTTGCATTCTATCCATGCTGGCTTTTGCGGACTACCTGAGACATGAAACAGATCGGTGGGAGGGTATAGAGGCTCTCGACAATTTACTAATGCGCAATTTTCCTAAATGTATCATGGAAACACTTCAGCCACTTCATTTCTATTCGACACTATTTTTTTGCGGAAAAGTATTATTTCTTTGTTACGTCATTAACGTCCAGTTGTTTTTGTCAACACAAGACAGTTAAATGGAAACGCGCCGTAGAAGGCAATTGTCGCATCTATTTTCTATGCAAACTGGCTAAATGTCGTGAAGAAATCACTGGACAAGTTAATGGAAACATAGCTACTGATCTAACATGACATAATTGGTGAAAGCAATGCCTTGGAAAACTTGCACCAATCATCAATCCATTTGTCAGATCAGTGATTACTTTGTGGAAGGAAGGAAGAATGCATTTTAAGAGTTTTGAACAGGGCCCCTGAATCCATGTTTGCTTGATCTAAGAACTGAAACAAAGGTGATTTGAAGAAAAAGGGAGAAAGGTGACTGCTATTTATGTTGCAGGAAGGAGATGACCAGGACCAAGACAACCCTGGAGCAGAGGTGGGTTCTTTCAGATTACTGTATTACTGTTCAAACCTGGCCTGGTAGAAATAGATTTTCATTATGAAAAAAGGGGATAAAATAATGAAATCCTTTCCTGCAGTGCCAACATCCTTGTCTCATTGTGTCTCTCCATTGACTTCCCTAGGAAGCAGAGAACCTGCTGAATTCTCTGACGGGCCAGCCCCACCCAGAGGATGTACTGCTGTTCGCTGTGCCAGTCTGTGCCCCCTACACTGCCCTCTCCAACTACAAGTAAGGACAGCATATCTACCTAGTTTTATAATATCTTTGTTATGCCAGTAATGGCTACCATTGAAAGACCAAATCCTCTGACCATTACATCTAAGCCAACCTAACACCAATTTTGATTTATCAATTTACCCATATACGGGTACTTATTCTGCTTCCATTTGCAATTGGAAATGGGACATGGCTATGTTTTCAAAGTTAGCTAAAAACTGTGTTTCCCCATAGGCACAAGGTGAAGTTGACCCCAGGGACCCAGAAGAAAGGAAAAGGTAATATCAGAGCGCTAATGTATTCTGTATTATAAATGATAAGAGGCCGTATGCTAGTGCTGAGCGATTAACTAACATTTCGGTTATTTTTCAGTTTTTAAACTAATTGACCGTCGGTGCAATTATTTGAATTCCATTTTGTTCCGTTTTTTTGTGCGCTCAATGCGCACATTGCAGTTTCTCTAGAGATAAATCAGATCCAGCCTGAACTGTGTGATGTAGTAAGGAGTTGTAGTTTCCAACAGGCCAATATTCTACATAGTTAACCTCCTTAAATGTAATGGCAAAATGTAGATTTCCGCATAAATAGACATACCCAAAAGTAACTGCTATTCATGTGTAATTACATAATTCTGACATGCCAAAACGTTTTATATTTGGAAAGAAGACATCTGGGAGATTGTGAGGAAATGATCAGAAGATATATTGGAGTTACATAGTTTAGAATAGGCAGAAGAATGCACGATCGTGCGGGGAAATAGAGAGCAGCTGTTGCTTCGCAAGGTATCTACCTGAAAATACATGATCTAAGTGATTGATAGTTGGTATTCAGCAGTCATAAAATCTGCATTGCTTGCTGTTTGGGGTTTTAGGCTGGATTTTCTGTCATCTGCTGATGTAAAAAGGCTTTATAAATACATTTGATAAAAGTATGCCTTATTTACTTTGAAAAACTACAAAATAATTATTTTGTCAGACAGCATATGCAGCAGCTCTATAGAGATGAGATGACTTTGAATGAAATAAGTCATCAAATAAAACAAATGTAATATAGACAACTGATATTTTTGTTGTTGAATGATCCGAAACAACCTCAAAAAGCACTAATCGCTCAGCACTAGTCTTAAGGTCCTTACTACTAAATAGTGTCTGTTCCAGGTGCGTAGGAGTCAAAAGAAGAATAATGGAAGAGATGGAGACCCGCACACAGTTGAAAAAAATGAATACATCCAAAACTGAGGCTTGAATGGATTTATTCGACAGTGTGCGGGTCTCAATCTCTTCCAGTATTATAAAATGATGACATGGCTGGATCCTAGGAAATGATCTCTTATCTATATTTTGTCCTCCAAGCTGCCCGCACTGCAGTATTCAGCTTCATGAAGGCCAGGGAGGCTTCGACCAGAGAGAAGGACTTGTTTCGCAGTGTCAAGGTAAGGCGGATCCACATACCTGGATCGTGTTCATTAGGGTGCACCGTAGCAAAACGTTTTGCAACGGAAAATGAAAGTGATTTTTATTGGACAGAGTTCAGATAGTACCTCCCCCATTTTGGCCATATTCTTCTATTTTGTGACTACTGAACACAACCCTGGGCGGCAGGTAGCCTAGCGTTGGGCCAGTAACCGAAAGGTCGCTGGTTCGAACCCCCGAGCCAACTAGGTAAAATTTGTCGATGTGCCCTTGAGCAACCAAATCTCTATTTTTGATGTAAATGGCATGTTGTAGAACGATCCAGACAAATCTTTTGTGATTTCACGTTTTTGAGAAACCTAGCTAATCACTTCCTCATCCTCGTTGTGTAGTATGGGGCCCCTGAAAAAATATGTAAAGGATACAAAAACACCCAAATACATCCTGTTAGAAATGGCAAAGCTCTCAGTATAGGTCTTTAGATGTTGTACACATTGTCATTCCAAACTTTATCCACAACGTTTAATTCCATTTTGTTGCAACTCAAAGAATACCTCTCCGTCCAGTCTACAGGTAACTGCCAAAATAAAGGAAACCTTTGAGTAAATGAGGAATACAAAGTATATTGAAAGCATGTGGTACTTCCACACAGTTGTAGAATCTATGCCAAGGCGCATTGAAGCTGTTCTGGTGGCCCAACGCCCTATGAAGACTCTAAGTTTCCTTTATTTTGGCATTTACCAGTAGCAGCAGGCTACACACAGAATGGAACAGCTGGATAGGGGAAATGGCTTGAGTCGCGCAAAAGGGAATGTAACATTGCAGATAAAGTTCTGAATGACAATTTCATGTGTGCAACATCTTAAGACCTTCATCACTATACTGAGAGCTTTGCCATTTCTAGAAGGATGTTTTTGGAGTCGTTCATGTTTTTTCAGGGCCCACATACTACACAATGAGGATGAGCAAGTGATTTGCTGTAAGTTTGCTAAAACGGGAAATCACAAAAAAGGTGTCTGGACCTTTCTATAACATGCCATTTACATCAAATCACTTCTCCTTTAACCCTAATTGCTCCTGTAAGTCACTCTGGATAAGAGTGTCTGCTAAATGACAAATGTGAGTTTGCCTTGGTTTTATATATAATAAAATATACAATGACATTTTTCTGGCAATCTGTAATATGTAAGCACCTTAGCAATTACTTTACGAATGACTGCTTAGCCACTTAGCACAAAACAACAAGTGTGAAAAGTTGCTTGTGAGCTCTGGTTTTAAGACCCTTTTCTCGTTTCAGGATACTGATTTATCAAGAAACATCCCTGGCAAAGTTAAAGTATCAGCACCTAACCTGCTGGCAGCCAAGAAGAAATAGAACTAAACAATGAAGTCGACATGGGCTTGCTTCACAATGTAACAATGAGTTAACCCATCCCTTAATAGGACTATGCTGACTTCATTAATGTCTTCAATTTACCAATCATGTGCAAATGTATATGGATGACATGAAAAGCTTGTGCGCCGAAGCATTACTTTTCCTCAGTGTCCTGGATCTTTACATTCAACAACATTCTTTGTTCAAGATAACAAAAAAAAGCAATGCAAAATGTCAGAACAAAATCTGATTTGGCATAATTGCCGAGTTTATATTTTCTTGATTCTAAATTAAACATTTTAAACTTCAATGTAACTGGTATTAATATTACCTGATTAAAAACAGACAAAATGCTACGCGAGCCTCTTCTGACTAACATGGTCAAACTGAACATTTTTCACTTTTAAAAAATATATATACATTTTCAAACACTGGCACGACAAATTCACATATATACACACAAAAGCAAGCACTCAAAATGAGGATAATGAACATTGCCATGTTTGCTGACTGGCCTAAGGGATCTGCCAACACCATTCCCACTAATTTACTTTGATTTTCCAACCCACTCATGACAAGATCGGGTGAGCCGTCCTCTTTGTTCAGCTAGCAGCAGGGCCGTGGCCGTCCACACACCCTGGCATCCCAAAGAACGTGGTGGTATATGCTTCTTATGACCCCAGTGTGTTGATGCCTCCCATCCTCTGTTTGAGACTGTGTAGCAGGTATTTAGGCAGGCAGTCCCAGGACCCAGCCAGCAACTCTCTGTGCTGCAGCGCTGCCTCCATACAGAACCTAGAGAAGGGGGACAATCAGGCACCACTTAGGCAAGTTTTACGTTGACCAGAAGATGTACTGTATCAGAGTTGACGTGTTCATTAGGCACCAAACAGAAGAAAACGGACTACCTGAACTTTTTTGTTGCATGCCCTCCCTAATGAACAAAACCCTGTAGTTAGGGCCATGTTGTGTCTGGGTTCAGGGTTGTGTTTCTACTCACCGGACAAGTGACTTGGGTTGAACCGTGAACACCAGCAACTCTTTGCTGTGAGCCTGTTGATAAAGCAATTGACATACCGTTATTCAAACCATACTTGGTAGTAAACCTGCTTATCAATCAGTTGGTAGTTCTAATTTTAAGTAACACTTGTGCCAGACACCAAGAAGGTGTGGACTCACCGCTCGCTGATGGGACAGCAGGTTATTGGCACAACCGCCAAACACAAACACCTCCCCGTCAGGACCGGAACAGGCCGTGTGCCAGAGCCTGACACACACAAAAAAACAGAGGAAAATCACCATGGACTCGCATGATTAAGGACACACACAGTAAGACAAGCATCTCCTATGCCTTACCACATATCTGTTGATATTACCTGGGGCTCTGTGTGTGCTTGTGCTTGTACTGTTGCCACTCGTTCTTGCTGACGCAGTACAGCCAAGCGTCACCTGTAGATATTACAAATGGATGGAGGAATAAAAAAAAATGGGTCACTGTTTGGCTTCTTTCCCCTCCAGTGATGTAATTTGTTGGTGAATTGTGTGGTCATGCCATGGACTCAAGGAAAAATAAAAAGACAAAGTATTCTTCACTCACTCAGTGTCTCTCTACATGTTGTGAAGCCTCCGAACAGGAAGAGGTGGTCAGGTGACACGGGGGTGAGGGAGTGCCATGAGCGTCCCACAGGACCCTGCTGAGGAACACTCCTGTAGAGGGGCAGGGGAGGTCGAGGGGAAATAGGACCAGGGGGGAAAGAGTGAGAGTTAGTCCCATAAAGGTTAACACGGGCACATCCGTGGGTTAGAGCACAACATCCTCCCATTTAAAAAAAGTGTTTAATGCTATAACATGCATGAAGACATTTTGGATGAGGACCCCATAGCATACATTTCATGCCACTCCCAGGAATCCATGTCGATGTAGTACAAGTCGTTCAGACGGTAATCCTGTTGTAAAAGAGATAAAGCTTACTCATGTGGAGGAAGAGCATCAAAAATGTAGAATACAAAATCCTTTATCTATTATGTAATAAGGCATAATAATATGTAAATCATAGAAATGAACATGGTCTACATCTACAGGCCAGTGATACCATTTCACATTAGACAGTGTGACCGTAAACTCAGCAGGAACTTGAGTAATCTCTTTTCAGAACAGTCCTACTTACCCTGTAACGCCCCCCAAACACATAGCCTCGGTTGCCCACCTTGGCACAGGCATGTGCTGCCCGGGGAGAGGGGGCATTACCCTTCAATAGAGAGTGGGAATGGAGAGGTGAGAATGGAGCTCCCACAGACAGATGTGTAAAATGGCTTCCAACAAAAAGAAAGTCGTGGCAAGATTTAAGGGAATCCTGTTACCTTGGTGACTGGCTGGCTCCAGGTGGACGTCTCCAGATCCAGGATGTGAATGTGGTTGTTCCAGCCCCGCCCCGGATTATCTCCCTGTTACAACACACAGAGAAAGGGTTGTGTTCATTAGGGCATGCAACAAAACTTTTAGCTACGGAACAAAAATGAGCGTTTCTTATTGGTTATCCAGGTTGTCTCTCCCCGTTTCAGTAAAAAAAAAATGTGGTGCCTAATGACCACGACCAAGGACTTTACCCTTATTGACAACTCCCTTTGCTGCAGACAAATAACACTAAACAGACCATTTTCATACTGGTGTTAAAAGCAGCTGAAGGTTTCAAGGGTTGTGAAATGAATTGACTATACCATGAATGAAGTTTCATCGTATTCAAATGTCCCTCTGTGAGCTCCTTGTGCCACATATCCGTAGCCCCCAAATAATACTAGCCTGTGAACAAAGACAGCAGTTAATGGAGAAATGTTAATCAAAATAACTTTCTTTAGAGAAGGGGTTCCCAAACTTTTTTGGCCTGCGACCCCATTTTGATATAAAACTTTTCGCGACCCCACCATGTAATCAACGGCCAATGTTTACTTTTGATGCTATCACAGTCTATTACAAATCAGTCTGACAGTACTTTTTACAAGTATGGTTTGAAGTGACAAATGCATCAGAAAGGTATTGGGAAGTTCAGAATGATTTTCTGTGTAGAAATAACATAATTGGTGATGTTCTCCCCCCCAGTTGGCTTTAGTGCCTGGTCTCGTCCACTCTGTTCTAATGAGTCCTACGCAGTTTGTGGGAAACAGAAGACACGTGTGTTCCTTAGTTATCTTTCAGTGATGGGGTCAAAATATTTTGTTGCGTAAACCGTTCAAAAGATCGAGACACATTTGTAGGAAGAAAACAGAAACCGCTCTGTTTATTACAACCGCATTTTCAAATCAAGCGACCCCACATGGTAGTTTGGTAAACGCTGCTTCAGAGGTAATGATATGGAGCAACTGTAAGACCTATTATATAACACACTGCCTGCCAATAGACCACCTCACCTGTTCTTGTGAACCCAGCAGCCCAGTTTGTCCTTGCAGGACGGGGCCAGGCCCTTGAGATCCTTCATCTCCTCCCAGCAGAGTAGAGGTGTTTGGAGAGGGAGCCGGAAAACCTGAAGGCCACGGAGCAGAACAGTCAGCAATCACGTTGAGATGGTATGATGTCAAAACAGTTAGAATGGCATAAGACTAGTCTCTTGTAGCAGACATTAACATTTAAATGTTAAAGGCCCAGTGCAGTCAAAATTCTGTTTTTCCTGTGTTTTGTATCATTGTACAACAGATGTACCGAATAAAAGTTAAATGGGTTTCCATCACATTTTCAACTCTGATGAACTAAAAAGCTATTTTTTTCCATTTTAATCTCAAACTATTACAGTAAGGTACTTAATAGTTACCCAGAAATTATTTGACATTGATATAAAAACGGCTGCATTGGGCCTTTAAGTCTGTTGGCAAACAGGCTTCTGAGGTGAGATAGGGATAAATACATCAATCCTGCCATGTCCTGCTGTGGTGCTTAAAGGGGCAATCAGCAGTTGCTACATCCATTAGTGGACTTAATAAATTGATGATATGTAGCCATTGATTCTTGCAGAATATAACTTATAAATGCCTCATGAGCTTAGTTCAACTGTCGTACCCCATCAGAAACCAAAATATAAGCTTGTTTTACTCCAATGTTTGTAAACAAACAAACTGTAAACAAACACTATATAGCCTCAAACCTGGGTTAAAACTATAATTTTGATATCATGGATGGTCAGTCCTCTCTATGAATTTGAGAGTGGTTACATTTTTCCAGCCCCATCCCTCAGCTTTTTACCGAACCAGGTTTGGGGAGAGGCTTTGTTATTGTTTCTACTGCGGATTCTTGCTTTAAAGTGGGGGCTGGGATTTTAAACAAAATTCTGTAATTCTCTAATAATGACTGCGTACATGTGAAATAGTTGCATGGAAAACGGCGTCAGATACCTCCATATTGGTAGCGTTCAGCACAAAATATTTCCCAGTTTCTGGAAAGGGAGGGGCTGGGAACGGGCTTTGGCAGAAAGGGGGGGGTGTGGACTTGAACGCCTTTTGCCCCTAGAATACTACTCCAAATACAGTAGTTGGCCAGCGTGCACGAGAAATTTGGTTCTGGGTACCGAGATTATACAAGACATAACAAGCGTAAACGCACCCGGTTAGTGTTTCCCCTGGCATGGTGGCCTCCAAACAGATACAGGACACCGTCCACACACACTCCACAGCTGCCAGACATGGATGCATGCAGGTTACCCCCCGCCATCTGCTTCTTCCTGCAAATACAGACAGTAGATACAGTGCCTTCAGAAAGTGTTCACACCCCTTGACTTTTTCCACATTTTGTTGTGTTACAGCCTGAATTTAAAATGTATTACATTTAGATTTTTTTGTCACTGTCCTACACACAATACCCCATAATGTCAAAGTGGAATTATGTTTTTCAACATGTTTACAAATTAATAAAAAATGAAAAGCTGAATTGTCTTGAGTCAATAAGTATTCAACCCCTTTGTTATGGCAAGCCTAAATAAGTTCAGGAATAAAGATGTGCTTAACAAGTCACATAATAAGTCACTGTGTGCAATAATAGTGTTTAACATGATTTTTTAATGACTACCTCATCGTTACCCCACACATACAATTATCTGTAAGGTCCCTCAGTCGAGCAGTACATTTCAAACACAGATTCAACCACAAAGACCAACCACACACTAGATGTCATAGCTAGACACACAAATACAAACAATTGAAGTTGAAATCCTTATTACCATCGTTCTGTCTCCATGTTGTATATCCAGATTTCATTCCATGGCAAGTATAAGTCAAAGAAGCCAGAGCTCTGGGAATTCTAGTGATAAGACAAACAAGAGGGAAGTCAATAGAATTAAAAGAATCTTGATACCGTTTTTCAGAGTCCACTTGACCCATGTCACACTTTCCCTGGCAATAGATAACACAGTAAAACTCCAGACAACATGTTTAGGAAGGTCAAAGCCGACGCCAAATCTCCCAGTAAAAATTATAATTGATTGAAGACTGATTGGAATAGTATAGTTCAGAATTCTATTATTTAGATACACTATAACCTAACATCTAAACAAAGGTCTTAATAAATATTACTGATCATCTGACAGCAAATTCAAAATGTCTGTCAGTTATACTTCCTTACCTTATATCCTCCCCAAACATACATGCAGTGTCCATCTACCACTGCTATGTGGCCACTGCGCTCAGCTGGCTGGTCCAACTCAAAGGGCTCTTCTTCAGTGTCCAGAAGAACTACATCCTCATCGAGTTCATCAGCCTCGTCCACCACCCAGTCAAATTCTCTCTCCTCTTCATCTCTCTCGGACCCCTCGTCTTCCTCCTCAACAGGCAAGCGGTCAGCAATGTCCTCCATTTCTGCCATGATCACCTGGATGGGAGAAGAGGGCTACATAGTTTTGCATACACAGGGATTTTGAGTAGGAGAGCATAAGGGTTATTGGACCAATAGACATTCACTGTAGTTAAGAATTCCCATCACCAACATGGGGCTATAAGCAGCTAGCTCAACTACACACACAGGCCAGTTTATTAAGTACACCCATCTACACTGAACAAAAACAAACATGTAAAGTGTTGGTTTCAAGATCCCAGAAATGATCCATAAGCACAAAAAGCTTATTTCCCTCAAATTGTGTGTACAAATTTGTTTACATCCCTGTTACTGAGCATTTCTCCATTGCCAAGATAATCCATCCACCTGACAGGTGTGGCATATCAAGAAGCTGATTAAACAGCATGATCATTACACCACCATTTCTTTACCATTACGTTAATTTCTCTCAAACGTCGTTATAGAGAATGTGGCAGTACGTCCAACCGGCCTCACAACCGCAGACCACATGTATGGCGTTGTGTGGGCGAGCGGTTTGCTGATGGTGGCGTAGGGGTTATGGTATGGGCAGGCATAAGCTACGGACAACGAACACAACTGCATTTTATCAATGGCAATTTGAATGCACAGAGATACCGTGACGAGGTCCTGTCGTGCCATTCATCAGCTGCCATCACCTCATGTTTCAGCATGATCATGCACAGCCCCATGTCACAAGGATCTGTACACACTTCCTGGAAGCTGAAAATGTCCCAGTTCTTCCATGGCCTGCATACTCACCAGACATGTCACCCATTGAGCATGTTTGGAATGCTCTGGATGATGTGTACGACAGCGTGTTCCAGTTCCTGCCAATATCCAGCAACTTCGCACAGCCATTGCACTTAACCCTAATTGCTCCTGTAAGTCGCTCTGGATAAGAGCGTCTGCTAAATGACTAAAATGAAATAAAATGAGTGGGACAACATTCCACAATCAACAGCCTGGAGATGTGTGTCACGCTACACGAGACCAGGCACTTGTTTTGCCCATTCCAACGTTTAATCAAACAGTAACTGAATGCCTCAATGCCTGCTTTATATAGCAAGCCAAGGCCACCTGACTCACTGTCTGTAGGAGCTAACTATTTTCATAAACTGGGTGGTGTACCTAAAACTGTCCAGCAAGTGTATATATGCCTAAAGAGAAGTCGTTTTACAATCGGAATTCTAAGAGATACAAAGAATTCAGATTGCAAAAAGTCATATTTTTAGTAATATATATCTGTTACTGGGTAATACTTGGATTGTTATTGGCAGTTTACTAGTATGAACCTGCAAGTAAGGATTTCATTGTACTGTGTAACGTTACCAAGTGTATCCTGTACATACGACAAAAAAAACTTGAACTGACAACTTTTTTGCACCATGGCGGATGGTTGGTTTACATGGGAACACAAGACATGTTAGCTTTCATGCTATCATGAAGATAATATAAATACGTAGCTCATGTATAAAGTCTAGTTTGCAGTAAGCATCATTTTAAACATATATTGACTGTGTGAGACAACCAACGTAGCCTAGGTAGCTAACGTCAGATAGATTGAAGCAACAGCTAACGTTAACATACTAGCTAGCTAGTTTGCGTATCAACCAATTTAACTGCGTTGAATGCATAATAAACATTGAAAAACACAGATGCAACATATATTGTCACGTACGTACAGGACTTCAAATGACCCACGTCTGCTTTAGCCTTCAGTGTGAAGCGTTATGTTTTTGTCCAGTGTTTACTGTGCAACATTTAGTTGAGGACTGACCGGAAGCAGCCAAGAACGTCTAATTTCCGCCAACTTTGTGAGGTCAATATGATCATTTGATTTGTGCAAGAAATATAGTATAGAAGCCAGTATAGAAGTACAGAAGTGTAATACAAATATTATTTGCTTTATTGTCAAACATTAACCAGTCAAGTGAAAAATAACAAACTTGACAATTCGAGGAATGTGAACCTTTATTCTCCATGATACAAAAGGTAGTGTGAGGTGATAGGCACATAGATATATAACGATGTTTGGTTTAAAGTTTTAAAAACATTGCAAGGTTAAACCTTTATGTGTATTTTCATTTTCATGCTGTTATATTATGTATCTGCCAGTTCTGACTTTATTATTTTCGCTGTCAAATCTAAGATGGCTGCCATTGTCATTTTGGTGGGCTATCCCTTTAAGAAGGCATACCCCTTTTAGAAATGGAGAAGGATCAGAAATGTCCCGGGCTAGAGAGGCAGGTTGAGGTTTCCAGTGTAAGAGTAGTGCAGAAATTGTCATATGCTGAGGCAGTGAAGAAAGTAGAGGAAGATGGGTCAAGAGGGAGGAGTGGTGAGAGTAGTAGATCTGTACCAGTACAGAGGGATAGGCCAACAAGTGATATATGTTTCAGTAAGATTGGATTTTTAGCATTTATAGCAATGGTTATTAGTTGTACTGCAGGGATGGAAAGTCGAAGAAAATTGAGGTTGTGTGGCAGCTGCAGAGAGGTATTTGGGTGTGCGAGACTTGACATCAGAAGAGTTACAGGGTGTGTTAAGTGGTGATGTCCCATCCTTTCAGGTTGAGGGCATGAGGTAGGAATAAATATATTTAAATAGTGTAGGGTGGTGTTAATATTATTTTATATATTTTTTTGAATTTGTGAGTAGTATTAGATGGTAGGGTATTTCTTTATTTTATTTTTCAAGCAAAATATAAGGGAGTTGTACTCCAGTCTAGTAGGTGGCGGTAATGCAACATATTGGATGCCAACCGCCATTAAACCTCATCGAAGAAGAAGAAATGGAAGAGGGCAAAGGCTGCTGGGTGATGCTGTCAGGGAAAGATGGCGGAAGTGAATGATGAGTTCGAATCAAGCAGCGCGTCGAGCAAAGTTGGTGAAGACGAATGTTTTGAATGGACAACAGTAGTATCGAAAACTGGAACAAAAAGGAAATTGGAGTGGAGGATACGTGTATGAATGACAATGAATCTATTCTTGTTGGTATGCGTTTGTTGAGTAAGGATGCATTTGTGGGTGACCTGTTTGAGGTGTCGAAAATTGTAAAGTATGCGCTGGGAAAAGTGGAGTCTGGCATTGAACAGAACTGGTCTTATTTTGATTAATTGTATTTCTGAAGAACAGAGGAAGCTTGCAGTGAGCCTAAAAAGAAACTGGGGGATGAAATAAGTTTTGTGTTTTAAACTTCGGAGTAGAGCACCTGTCAAAGGAGTCATCTCAGGGGTGACTGCTATGTTCAGGTTGAATCCCTGAAGATCATTCCTGGTGTGGTTAGTGCTCGGCATCTGACCAGCTGGATGAATGGAGAAAAATAAGAAAGTCTGTCAGTCCTGTTGATATGCTGGAAGAGCTTTCGTCTCCAAACCATTGCAGTGTAAGAATTGTAAAGGATTTGGCCATGTTTCAAGCGTGTGGAGATGGACAGAGTATATTGAAGAACGGTATGTAGAAGGACGACGGTGTTGCAATTGTGGTAGGGGATCATGATCCCGAGTTCCTGGATTGCCCTGTAAGGGTGAAGGAGATTGAGGTGGCAAAAGTTAGAGTGGTCATTCGAATCTCCTATGCAGAGGCGATTAAAATAATTGTGAAAACAAGTGATGCTAGTGAAGATATGGTATTGGACGCACCACAGCCTGTAGTAAATGTTTGCTGCCAGTCAAAAGATACCCTGTGTGTTAAAAAAGGTGGATTTTGTGGAGTTCATCGCCACAGTTATAAACTGTACGGCACAAGTCTCAAATAAATCTAAGAAACTGGACATTATTGTGGCTGTGGCAGAATTTCTTTGAGGACTTAAGGATTTTACATCTGAAGACTTGCAAGGGGTATTGCCGCAGGAAGACCCGCCCTCCCAGATCCCCTTGAGCCTGTGTAGGGATCAGATCTGTTTTATTTATTTATTTAACAGAAAAGTTGTTTGATTTAGTTTAGTTTATTTTTTGGTAGTTTGGAAGTTTTTGGGGTATTTTGTTCCATTTTGGGGAATCCTGTTTCCATCCCGCAAAGTAGGTGGCGAAATGCACATTACATTGTGCGATTGCCAATATACCGAAGAAGAAGAAGAAGAAGAAATGGAGGAGAGGTTTGAGAAATGTTTGGGGTGTACCTGGCTGAGGTTCTATTTGTTTGAAAAACCTTTTAAGAGCCTATATTAGCCATTCCAAGTGATAATTGTTGCTCATTCTTGTGGATTGTTAACACCAATGACAAATAGTTTGTATGTTGATCGTTTTGGAGGATGCCGTGAACATTGAGCTGTTTTAAGGAACTCCACCAGGCTGGATTTTCCTCTTCCTCAACCATCCGGTGAGATTGATCCTGTTGACTATTAATTTGTGCCTTTATTGGATTACTTATATGTTTGTATTTGAAGGGGGATTGCAAATCTTTTTTGCTTTTTGATTGACATTGGGACCATTTTTTGTTGGACTTGGACATACTGAACTTTATTTGGGGTCTAATTTAATTGGTTTTGTGAATTTATACACTATGACAATATATGCATTTTTTTTGTTGCTTACTTTATTCAATTTGTCTGTCTTGCTTCGGTCACAGTATAGGAACACAGTAATTCTTTGAACTTTTATATGGTAGCATAGTTTGCGATCCAAGCTGATTGTTACAGTATGTACAAATAAAATACAAAGGGCTTTTGCAAAAGTATTTTTAGACACATTTTACAAAGCATCTTACACAACCATTACAGCCGATCCCCAAGTCCAGAATTATCATTATGGTCTTTAGAGGCTTTGAAGTTTGCTGTGGAGAATGAAAAAATATTTAGATCAGAAAGGAGAAATGAAGACATCGAAACCAAATTGATTCTCAATACTGTCGTTACCGTATAGCCAGTAAAGAGCTAATAAAAATAATGAGTAGCATCAAGTGAGTTACGTGTAGAGGCTGCATAAACAAAGAAGACAAAATAACATTTCTCACCTGTCTTCAACCATCCTGTTGGAAGGGTAATATACCTTACAAGTGAAGCCACTTTTTGGGAAGGAGCCCCGCAAGAACAGAATGATACATTAAACAGTACATAAAAACAGCTTCTAAATGAAGAATAGAATATCTAATGTTCATAATGTCATACTGAGTCTCATAATAAAACAAAATGGTAAAAATCTCAGAATAAGTATAAAGTACCGCGTTGAAGCAGAGGCAGTCTGTGTTGGATATGTTGAAGGGGTCATATTTGTCCGCAAAGATGATGACATCAGGCACGGGGTAAACCCGTAAAGCGCAGTCATAGGCCCAGAACACTGGACTGACATACAGCCGCAGTGGTGTCAGGTGGCCCTGAGACAAGATGGTTTTCACAAACTGGAGATAGAGAATATAATGGGTGATTGATTGTCAGACATTTTCAGGTTATCTTTCATGACAAATAAATTATACTACAGGACCCGTATCCACAAAGCATCTCAGAGTAGGAGTGCTGATCTAGAATCAGTTTGGCCTTTTAGATCATCATTATATGGACGGGGGGGGGGGGGGGGGGGGGGGGGGGGGGGGGGGGGGACAATCCTAGATCAGCACCCCTACTCTGAAGTGCTTTGTGAATACAGGCCATGGTTACTAGCCAAGTTAGATGCTATAGGCAGTAGTAGTAGAGGTTGAGTACGTCATAACTGAGGAGCTAAAACTCACATGGTTTGGAATGTCGAGATTGCTGCTAGGCAGCTGGACACCATTTCTAGACATCTTGTTCACCAGGTCTTCTCGGATGACAACAATCTCCTGGCTGCAGCACTGGATTCTGTGACAGGAAAAGTAGAATCACAGGTTGTGATACGTCAAAGATGACATTTACAAAATGCCACTGTAGAGGCAAAACAAAGACAACAAGCAATCTGGAAACCTGTGAAAGCAAGAATGGTAAAATGCTATAATGAGCAAATGCAGCCTTATGCAGACAAATGTATTTGACAATGCTACATATTAGCTATCATAAAAAAAAAAAAAATCTGAACTTTGCTTATAAAGACAAGAAACAAATTACAGAAAAGAGAACAAATCAAGCAACTACAATATTTCAGTCACCTGCATCGGTTTGTAGTGAATATATTGGGGATTTTTCAGTAGACTATAAGTTAAACATAGTTAATCACAACATGACAAGCACATAGCCAGGGTTAAACATAGTTACATCTCTGTTGCTAGGCAGGAACTTAATTGGTTCCTCTCACTGGTGTAGTCATGGCTCTGCCTGATGCTAGAACCTTCGTGGGCGTGGAAGTATGTATGCGTGAAATAGGACTGTTTCTTCTCTCGTCATCTGACCTGACTTCGGGTCGAATTCCTCGCTCCTCCCTAATCCAAGGCTGTCCTACCTTATCAGTGACTGAAACCAGACTGTTGCCCTTTGCCTCCCTCCTTAGGCATATTCCTGAAACGAAGCCAGGGGTTAAACATAGTTCAGACTATAAGTTAAACATATTTTTCAGTAGACTATAAGTTAAACTATACGTTAAACATAGTTAAATCTTTTCAGACTAAAAAGTTAAACATAGTTAATCACAATGACAAGCAGTAAGACTAAGTGGTACAGAAGGAAGAGGCTTGGAACAGAGCCAGGAAATGGACCTGAGAATGGGCCTACAATGTGTGAGAACTGCCTGCTATGTGTATATGTTTGAGAAATGGATTATGGACCTGCCATGGTTAAGCCATGTTTAAGTATCGATTGATAGGTTTGGGAATCAATTAGGGGGTCAGAACGGAGCCAGGAAATGGCTCTGTTATTTTTACATGACAGGGCTTGGTCCCGCCACTATTGTTTCCAGACGCTGAATATAGAGGGAAGAGAAGTCAGATATTGCCACTGTTATAAAATAAGGAAGTGGGCGGAGCGGTCAAGAGGTGAAAACAGGAGACAGTGGTGGAGGAACTAAACAGGGAGGGATTAAGCTAAAAAGTATAAATAAAATAATATGCCATTTAGCAGACGCTTTTATCCAAAGCGACTTACAGTCATGCGTGCATACATTTTTGTGTATGGGTGGTCCCGGGGATCGAACCCACTACCTTGGCGTTACAAGCGCCGTGCTCTACCAGCTGAGCTACAGAGGACCACAAGTATGTAATGGAACTGTATATAAACTGAGAGCCGAGTGTTGGAAAGTGAGATGCTCTGCAGACCACCCTATTATCTGTGTAATAAAGTATATCTTAATTCTACAAAAACTCTGAAAGTACTTTGTGTTCGACTGAAGACAAAGACAATTTTCTACATCAAATACAGAGAATGGCACCCTCTGTCTGAACTCCTCAGTGATGTGGTCTGCCAACGGGGGCCTGAGGACATAAGCATTTATATAAAGTAGAGTACCTCATGGTTAGTACAGAACAGAAAAACCCCTATAGAAAGTGTCTATTGAGAAACATTGAAACATCAGAGGATTATAGTCAAATCATGAACAATACAACTGAGGAATAACATGTCTCAGTTTTTCCACTCTCACCTGGGTTGGATTGTGCTGGGACCAGGGTCTTCGGGACCGGGGACGAACACAAAGCGACTAAACCAACAACAATTGGAATTATAAAGCCCTTTTTACAGAAACAGTTGTCAGAAAGTGCTTTACAGTAACCTGGTAAAGACCCCCATATGAATTCTTATTCTGTGAGTGAGAAGTTATGGGTCGGACAAACCTGAGAACATGAGGTGGATTTTTTCCAGCACCTCCATGCTGTCCAGCCACACATCGGAGACCACCACAAACATGGCGTCCTCGTTCTCCTCCTCCAGCTGCTTCAGCTTGGCAGAGGCCTTCACCGACGTGGTGGACGGGCCGCGGAAGAAGTTCACATTGCCGTAGTAGGCTCTGAAAACCAGACTTCATTCTCATCCTCATTGTTTTTGGATTTGATTTATTTATACAGGGGATGTATTTTTTTAGGCCAACTGTACAGTTCAAAACATTTTAAAAGACGTGCACCCTTCTCAGTAGGCCTACTGATTTTCAGACGAGGAGACATTATGTAGGCAATGTCGATTTATTAGTCAAGAAGACAATACTTATAAGTCAACAATTAGCAACATTCTGCGATCTAATCTACTGACCGTGTAGTGGATGATGGCTCGGTCGGTGGGAACCTAAATGCATTGACATGTAAGACTGAGTCCTCATACCAGCCTGTGGGGGAAAGATGACCAGACTATTAACTCATTGCATAACACAATGAGGTAATAGTAAATAGTAAATGGTACATCTCCTGTCTGATGTCCATTCATGTGGATGAAGAGGATAATTTATTTTACCGTCTGCCAGAACAAAGCAGGACTCTGTGTAAAGTCCACTGTGGAACTGCTGAGGACAAGGTTAAGGAAAACATGTATGCTTTGAAATACGGACTATGTTCCAGACTTGAATTGGCCATGTTCCTCTATGTAACCTAACACGTTTGTCATTCTCCTTTCATCACCACCATAATGAAAGGATATTGCCTTTGAGAGGTTCAGCTGTACTTTACCACTGGGGTCTTCCAGATAGAATGTCCCCTGAAAAAAGGAACATATTTAAAAAAAACTTAACATGATGCAAATATTACTCCCTATTACCATTGTTTGTGTATGTGTGTGTGTATATACAGTGCATAAGGAAAGTATTCAGACCTCTTGACTTTTTCCACATTTTGTTATGTTATAGCCTTATTCTAAAATGTATTGAATTGATTTTTTTATTCATCAATCTACACACAATACCCCATAATGACAAAGCAAAAACTGGTTTTTAGAAATGTTTGCAAAATTATAAAATAAAATAAATGAAATATCACATTTACATAAGTATTCAGACCCTTTACTCAGTACTTTGTTGAAGCACCTTTGGCAGTGATTACAGCCTGGAGTCTTCTTGGGTATGGCACTACGAGCTTGGCACACCTGTATTTGGGGAGTTTCTCCCATTCTTCTCTGCAGATCCTCTCAAGCTCTGTCAGGTTGAATGGGGAGCGTCGCTGCACGGCTATTTTCAGGTCTCTCCAGAGATGTTCGATCGGGGTCAAGGCTCTGTCTGGTCCACTCAAGGACATTCAGAGACTTGTCCCGAAGCCAATCCTGCGTTGTCTTGGCTGTGTGCTTAGGGTCGTTGTCCTGTTGGAAGATAAACCTTCGCCCCAGTCTGAGGTCCTGAGCGATCTGGAGCAGGATCTCTCTGCACTTTGCTCCATTCACCTTTCCCTCAATCCTGACTAGTCTCCCAGTCCCTGCCGCTGAAAAACATCCCAACGGCATGATGCTGCCACCACCATGCTTCACCGTCGGGATGGTGCCAGGTTTCCTCCAGACGTGAAGCTTGGCATTCAGGCCAAAGAGTTCAATCTTGGTTTTATCAGACCAGAGAATCTTGTTTCTCATGGTCTGAGAGTCTTTAGGTGCCTTTTGGCAAACTCCAAGCGGGCTGTCGTGCCTTTTACTGAGGATTGGCTTCCGTCTGGCCACTCTACCATAAAGGCCTGATTGGTGGAGTGCTGCAGAGATGGTTGTCCTTCTGGAAGGTTCTCCCATCTCCACAGAGGAACTCTGGAGCTCTGCCAGAGTGACCATCGGGGTTCTTTGTCACCTCCCTGACCAAGGCCCTTCTTCCCCGATTGCTCATTTGGCCGGGCGGCCAGCTCTAGGAAGTGTCTTGGTAGTTCCAAACTTCTTCCACTTAAGAATGATGGAGGCCACTGTGTTCTTGGGGACTTTCAATACTGCACACATTTTTTGGTACCCTTCCCCAGATCTGTGCCTCGACACAATCCTGTCTACGGACAATTCCTTCGACCTCATGGCTTGGTTTTTGCTCTGACACGCACTGTCAACTGTGGGACCTTAAATATACAGGTGTGTGCCTTTCCAAATCATGTCCAACCATTTGAATTTATCACAAGTGGACTCCAATGAAGTTGTAGAAACATTTCAAGAATAATACATGGAGACAGGATGCACCTGAGCTCAATTTCGAGTCTCATAGCAAAGGGTTTGAATACTTATGTAAATAAGGTATCTGTTTTATTTTATTTTATACATTTGCACACAAAAAAAAACTATTTGCTTTGTCATTATGGGGTATTGTGTGTAATCCATTTTAGAATAAGGCTGTAACGTAACAATGTAGAAAAAGGGAAGTAGTCTGAATACTTTACGAATGCACTGTGTATACACACACACACACACACACACACACACACACACACATTTATAGTACCAGGCAAAATTTTGGACACACCTACTCATTCAAGGGTTTTTCTTTATTTTTACTATTTTCTACATTGTAGAATAATAGTGAAGACATCAAAAGGATGAAATAACACATATGGAATCATGTAGTAACCAAAAAAGTGTTAAATAAATCAAAGTATATTTTATATTGGAGATTCTTCAATGTAGCCACCCTTTGCCCTGATGACAGCTTTGCACACGCTTGGCATTCTCTCAACCAGCTTCATGAGGTAGTCACCTGGAATGCATTTCAATTAACAGGTGTGCCTTGTTAAAAGTTGGTTGGGATAATGGGACAATTAGGAGTACAACGCATTTCTCATCCCTGGATTGAGTTATGTTTTCCTAGCCATATCTTGTGCCAGCTCCGCGGTGTCTTAATCTACACATGAAGCCTGCCAACCCTATAGTGCAGCTATAAGCAAGTGGGTCAGCTCTGCTGGCTACTAGCCTAGCTTTTGAAAACTCTAGGCGGCATTCTGCCTTCTCCCAACAGTTCTCAGCCATTAGCTTCACCCAGGACTGCCTAAATCCTGATGCTGTGTTTTAACGTTTAGAAACGTCAATAATCATCGCTTGCGATACGGCTTTCGAAACATATGGCCCTTATCTTTCATCAGCGCGAAAGAATCCCTCAAATAAAAAAGATACAGTTACAGTAGCAGGTTGGCACAGATCCATACAGCTATGGGTGCCTCCATCCGACGAAACTACATTCCCACTACACTTTCCGAGTTATGCTTAAACACAGGTGTTCGGAGCATGCTAAATAGCTAATTAGCACAAGTCGTTGCCTCTAGTCTTCCGTCCGTTTTCCGTAAACAAGCACTGTAATATGGAGATATGGCCGTGTGGGAACACTAACCCTAACAAGGTGTGTATAAATGTAACCTATTTTTTTTATATAAATGTGTGTGTGTGTATATATATATATATATATATATATTTCTCGCTGATATGAAAGCTAAGGTTCTTATGCTTCCAATACTGTACCGCAAGCGATGCATGTTAATGTTCTGATTGAGCGTCGAGTCATGATCAAGGGCTAGCTCGGGCCCTGTGCCACGAGGGGGCTAAAGGGGACTTGGCACCCTCAGTTTAAACTTTAGCCCCCTCAGTTTTAGTTTTATGTCCCTATATAATAATAGCAAAAAGATCTAGCTCTGCTGCTCTGTGTCAGCACAATAGACAGGGCACGATGTGGTGTGTGTAGGCAGCCTGGTCTCATAGACTAGATGTAACATAGTAAATGTAAATCCGGGACACTCAGATTAATATCATATGTTACGTTTGGTATGGTTACATAAGACAGAACGTTATTTAAAGGTGCTAAATATGCAGAAATCGCTAACGCCATTTCCTGGTTGCTAAAATTCGAATAGTTCGCATAATTTCAGTTTGTGGCAAAACAAACAGTAATTGTACATTACATTTTAGTCATTTAGCAGACGCTCTTATCCAGAGCGACTGACAGTGAGTGCATACATTATTTAATTTTTTATATTGGCCCCCCGTGGGAATCGAACCCACAACCCTGGTGTAGAAAACGCCATGCTCTACCAACTGAGCTACATCCCTGCCGGCCATTCCCTCCCCTACCCTGGACGACTGTGCGCCGCCCCATGGGTCTCCCGGTCAGGGCCGGCTACGACAGAGCCTGGATTTGAACCAAGATCTCTAGATCTCACAGCTAGCACTGTGATGCAGTGCCTTAGACCACTGCGCCACTCGAGAGGTACCGTTTGTACCATCTAAACCTAACTAAAATTAAGAACGGGCAGCATAGAAATAGTGCACATAGAACAGATCTAACACTTTTTAGACTTGCTTTCAATGAGAATGACAGATCTATAACTCAACATTTCTTTGTGAATTTGGTCAGGTCGCCCAAAAAGTTATTTTACATTTACATTTTAGCAGACGCTCTTATCCAGAGCGACTTACAGTTAGTGAGTGCATACATCATTTTTTATACTGGCCCCCCGTGGGAATCGAACCCACAATCCTGGCGTTGCAAACGCCATGCTCTACCAACTGAGCTACATCCCTGCCGGCCATTCCCTCCCCTACCCTGGACCAATTGTGCGCCGCCCTGTGGGTCTCCCGGTCGCGGCCGGCTACGACAGAGCCTAGATTCGAACCAGGATCTCTAGTGGCACAGCCTTAGACCACGGCGCAGTGGTCTAATTATTGTAGCGTTATGGCAAAAACATATTGTACATTTAGCAAATTCGTAACAAATCATACAAATTGTAATTCGTAACATATCATACAAAAATGGATGTTGGACGTTCTCAAATTAATACATACCAAACAAAACGTAACATATTATACTAAATGGAGTGTCTCGGATTTATGTACAGAATAATACAAAATGCTCTAAGACCAGGTTGTAGCTGGGGGGCTATGTAAAGCCACTGCACTGTTAGGCATGACTCCATTGGGTTTACGTAAAAAGCGGGAAAAAACGCTTTTCATCTCTCATCTCTGTGTTAGGCTTAGTGAATAACGTGATATGCCTCAGCCTGTAATTTTTGATTTTAAAGGGCGGGGTGAAGTTTTCAGTTGAAGCTTCTTCACTCTTAGCTATAAAAAGCATTAGTATTATTAGCTTTAGCCTATTTAGCTAGCTCGAACCAGCTAATCTAATCAGAAATTGGTTTCGCCAAAGTACCCAAACAAAGGAGAAGGAGAGCGATGAGCAGCTGCATCAAACCACCGAGGCCGCCAACAGCGATGATGCTCCCGATCTCCAGCTAGCTCGGTGTGCAGAGCCTACCCACCCTTCCACAAGCGCCGCCATAATGGCTCCACAGCCGCCTCCACCCCCGACTGTTCCTGATGATCTTGTAACAGAGGAGCCAGCCCAGGTTAGCCTAGAATCCTACCCTAGCCGCAGGTTTTCTGTCCAAAAACGTTCATTTAATAGCAACTGGTTCTTAGGAAGAGTGGCTGGAATACTCGGTTACTGCAGATGCTGCATTTTGTTTCCCCATGTTGAAAGTTCTGTGTTGGGTCCAATGCTAACGCAGACGAGCAGTGTTGCCGACTCCTCAGTAAGGAAAGTAGCTATTGGCTGTCCGAAAAGTCTCTAGAAGTCGCTAAATGACGTCATCACCTAATTTGCATAATTTGCCATGTGCATGTAATTGTGATGGAGAGAGGAATAATGTGGGAGAGACAAAAAGTGAGTAAAAAACACCCAACATTTACATCCCGCCCTGAATGTAAGCCAGGGAGGGATCAGCCAGAGGCGGCTTCCCACATGCGCAATTCATTTGCAGTCTGAACATCTCCTGCTCTGACTGCAGCTGGGAGGGACTGCTGCGCGAGGACTGGGCCGCCTGTGAGTGCTTTGGGACGGGGGTAACAAAGTACCTGCTGCTCGTTGAGAAGAGTAAGAACGATACGTGCTTTCACGTCAAAGTCTCCAATAACACCAGAAAAAGTCGCTAGATTTGTCACTAGTCACTTTTTTGAAAAAGTGTCGCTAGAGGGGTCTGAAAACTCGCTAAATATAGCGACAAAGTCGCTAAGTTGGCTACACTGCATACAAGGCCTTTACCCAAACTGGGTATTCTAACTGGAAGAATGCTATTGATAGTACCAAAGTATTTGCTAGGCACGCATCAAGCAAAGAGCATTTGAAATGCACTGCACCGTGGAAAGAGTGCTATTGGGAACATCAGTGTCACTTTCAACACTTGTTAATGATCGGCAGCTGGCAAAAAATTGCATGTATTTGTCTGCGATTGTGGACATTGAGTTCCTTGTTTCAAACCAGCAACCACTGAGGGGGACATTGGACGCGATAAGAATCAAGAGGGGAGGGGGGCAGTGGACTTTTTCTGTCTATGATGAAATATACTCTCCAAAAAGATGAGGAACTTGCCAAGGTGTTTAGCACCATACCCCATAATGCCACATACACGTAACACAATATTCAAAATGAAATCATAGCGCTCATGAGTGAGATTGTCACTGAGGAAATAGATAAAGAAATCTGAGAATCTTGGTACACACTGAAGGTAAACAGGACCAAGGATCCTACTGGATGTGAAAATATAGCCACTGGACAGTACAGCAGGCCAGCAGTACAGAGAAGAGACTGAGTGTAAAAGACTGTTCTTCAGCAAGTTGGATGCTGTCATTGGGGAAATGTCAGAACAATTCAGCGAAGGCAACTGCCAACTGGTGGAGGCCCTGTGTGCCCTTGACCCAGAGAGCCATTACTTTCTGGATGTGTAAAAGGTGAAGCCACTGCTGGATTTAAGCTAAACAGATTTGATGGAAGCTGAGTTTAATGTCGCTCCCCAGTTTTTGCAGGATGAAATCGCCCGCTCTAGCTCCAATGAGGACAAATGGACCCCACTTGCTATCCTGTAACAATTCTCTGGGCCTCTCTCCACTATAACGACTGTGTTTACTGCACTAAAACATGGACTGACATTTGGGGTGTCCACTGCTACATGCGAGAACTCATTTTCCACTTTGAAAAACGTGTTCAGTCAGCACAGATGAAGCATGCTACCCCCAAGAAAAGCTCAACTAATCCAACTGGCATTTGAGGGGGATCTTAAAAGATTTCGGGGAGAATAGAATGATCAATTACTCAGGAAGTTCCACAGAGCATCAAGGAAGCTGCAACTCTTTTGAAAATGTAAGATTGAAACAATCTAACTGGTTGGTTTTTTATCAAAATCTTGCTTTAGTGTATAGGGTGCTGTCCATGGTGCTGATAGAGCGCAGCGAGATTGTGTGCCATCGAACCTGTCATTTCTTGGTCAAAAGCATTTTTTTAAACTTTAATGTTTGTGGTATAGCATGATATAAGCAGAATTCAATTTAATTCCAACACAAGAACCCAAATGACGTCCTGGGTATAGCTACATATCGGTAAAACAACCATTAGGTCTGGATAGGTTGAATTGGGACAACCTGCCTGAAGCTTATCTGGGCAATAAAAACCTGTTTTTGCTTTGTCGTTATGGGATATTGTGTGTAGATTGATGAGGGGGGAAAACAATTTAATCAATTTTAGAATAAGGCTGTAATGTAACAAAATGTGGAAAAAGTCAAGGGGTCTGAATACTTTCCGAATGCACTGTAGGCTGTTAGTAATACGGAAATTGCCCATCTAAATGCCTTGCTGCAGGGGGCAGTCCATTGTGCTGATACAGCACAGCAGAGACAGGATATATTCCAAAAGCACTCAATTATCTCGGAGTCTCGGCATTTAAACTTTGTTTATTATGGTATAGCGTGATTATATGCAGAATTCAATATAATTCCAATGCAACCCCCCCAAAAAAATGTTTTAGCCCCTTTGGCGATTTCAACTGCCCCCTTGTCACTTTATCCTGGTGCCGGGTCTGGGCTAGCTACTAGCTTAGCTTCTTGGTATCTGACAGTGACACTAACACAACAACAGACCAAGTTAGATACTAACTAGCAATGCAACCATTACATTTACTGTAAACAAATATGTCAAGAACAACATGATTGACAAATAATAACATATGGTCGAAGCATAAGACCCCGCATCTTGAAGCCAGCAGACACTTTTGTCTTCACTTTGCGAACCTCCATTTTCAATCCAATCTTCTTTCAACAATCAAACATTTGGCGCTAAATCTTAACTAAAGCCTATAGGCTATATGGCTCGTCACTTCCTCCAAAGCAAAAATTATACACAACAAGCTTATTTTTAGTCTATGCCTATTGCACGATTCTGCGGTTTTTGCAATCCGGATTCCTTAGGACGACCCTACCCCATTGACGTTGAAACGTAAAATGGTTGGCTAAAGGTTAAAGGGGCAATCAGCGGTTGCTATATCCATTTACATCCATTTTAATGATATGTATCCATTGATACTTGAAAAATATTACTTATAAATGCCTCCTGAGCTTAGTTCAACTGTCGTACCCCAACAGAACCCAAAATATAAGCTTATTTTACTCCAATGTTTTAAACAAAGAAAATGTAAGCAAACACTATATAGCCTCAAAACATGGCAAAACTATAATTTCTGATGTCATGGATGGTCAATCCTTGCATCCATAGCTCTGTCTATGAATTTGAGAGTGAGTAAATTTCTCCAGCCCCATTCCTAGGCTTTTTACCGAACCAGGGGTGAGGAGCCGACTTTATTGTTTCTATCGCTGATTGCCGCTTTAAGGTTAGGGTTTAGGAAGGGACGTCCCAAGGACCCCAGATAGTACAAACCACGATTATGCCGAGATTTGCTGTTTTGAAGTCAGCTGATGTTAAAACACCCCGTATTCACAAAGACACAGACATGTAAGTATATATATTATTACCTGAATGTTTATTAATGTATTATCAGCCATGTCTTGTGTTTATTCGTCATATCTCAATAGTATTTTCACATGTTTACAACACATCAGTGTAGAAAGAATACAGAATAAAACAATCATTAGGTATGGATAGGTTGAATTGGGACAACCTGCCTGAAGCTTATCAGGGCAAGAAACGTGTTTTCTCTCAGAAGCTGTTGATCGAAAAAATCTTGAGACGCGCTGTCAGAGGCTATTTTGACAAAACTGAGCAACTCGGATCTCTGAGCAGATTTCTTCAACGATACTGAAAAAGATATAATGTCCTAACATAGTGATATTTGTTTCAATGTAGCAACGTAACCTATTTTATTTGTCCTTATTAGCATCCATGGATTCTGCAATTGAAAAGCACTGTTCAGAGCTTGTAGCCCGTGAGCGAAGCGGTCATACGGCTCTAATTGAGAGAAATGTCCTGTACGTGTGGGGAGGCTACGTGGTAAGCAAAAACTGTCAAACAGATAGCCTACCTGGCTGCAACTGTCTTGACAAGCATTGTCAATGGATAGTGTTTTCTTTAATTTATGTTTCTTATTTCACCAACATGCTATTTGGATCATGACAAAATATTCAAGGTTTATGCAATATGTTGATTGATGGCAAAGGACTACTCTATGTTATTTCCCACGGGGGGGCAGTATGAAAAATGTATGCACTAACTAACTGTAAGTCGCTCTGGATAAGAGCGTCTGCTAAATGACTAAAATGTAAATGTAAATGTAAATTTGTTTTCTGCAGTCAATTGCTGATGATGAAGTTTTCCTACCCAATGATGAAATCTGGTTATATGACTTAGAAAGAGGTGTATGGTAAGAATATGAATGGAATTTTAACAAAGGAACACATTTCTAAGATTATGAATGGATAAGTTGATATCTTGTGAGAACTAAGCTTGATTTAGAATCTTCTGCTACAGTCTACCCATCAAAAAACGACCATGCAACAATTCACTTCACTTTTGCACTGAAACAACCCACTGTGCAAAAACTGGTTGAATCATTTCCTTTCAACAACAAAAATATAAATGTAATGACATTGAATCAATGTGGAAAACTGATTTGGATTTGCAAAAACTAATTGAGATGTAAACACTACATTTCATAATTATGAAGCTCTGCATTATATCAGAGGTGTTATTACATGTTATTTACAATGTTGTTACACAGTTGCTAGAAGTTCATTGATACAATGAAATATTGGTCAGTGGTTTGTGTTTATATCTGTACTCTGTATGCTTTGTGTGCATTTTGCGCCCTGCAACTTACATTTCCCTGTTTTGTTTGTTTATTCTCCATTCTGAAGGGAAATGTGCAAGATGTCGGGAGAGGTCCCGCCCCCAATGTCAGGCACCTGTGGCTGCTCTCTGAATGGAGACATGTACATATTTGGGGGATGCGATGACAACGGCCAGACCAACCAAGTAAACCCACTCAATAGAAAAAAGCCCCCTAATGTACAGTACATTTGCAAGGATGTGTGAAAATCCTCAATATCTAACCATGCCTTACATTGTTTTGTTTACATTTACATGCTGAAATGATCTGTAATCAGCTTTACTGTGTCAATCTCCTGGATGGAAAATACACTTGGAGGAAAGTTAACCATAAGAGTGGCTCCCCTCCCTCACCCAGAGATAAGCTCTCTTGCTGGGTTTTCAATGGCAGGCAAGCATTCTTTTTACAAAACCAACGCCCATGGCAGTACTGCCCTAATTGGGTACGATTTACACCTTTACTATTGGTGGTGATCTAAAAATAGTGGGCTGGCCCAACTAATATCGTTCCTACACTTATGGGGGTGCCTAGCTCCCCTGTAATATGAAACCCTTGTGATTGGGATATGTTTTGGTCATTCTGTAGGCTCATCTACTTTGGTGGATATGGTCATAAGGAACTTGATGACATCAATAACAACAGAAGCTTCCTTATGGATGAGGCATCATGGGTAATTTTTGCTTCTGGGTGCAATTATATCCAAAGGTATAAATACATTTTCTAGTACTATTAACTTTTTACTTTATTATATGGATTAGTAATATTGTGCTCTGTAGGTGGATGACATCTATTGGGGATGGAACAATGAAGTCCATATGTTTGACCCAACATCGGCCAGTTGGAGTGAACCACATACCAGTGTAAGACAATACATTGAAACATGTTTATTATATATATATTTTTTTAAATAAGGCCATTCATTGTGATATTGAAGACATGATATCATATACAATAAACTAAATAATGTGCTATGACATCACATGATTTTTGAGGAATGGAACATACAAGGCAAATATACTTTATTTGTGGATATCTACTGTCTACAGGGTTGTGCACCTGAGCCCAGAGCTGCCCATGCCAGTGCAACACTTGGCCACAAAGGATATGTATGTGGGGGCAGAATAAGGGTGAGAAATTATTCATCTCAACTCCTCTCCATGGTTGCATTGAAGCACAAACCCAAAAATCCTAAAGTGTATTGCTAATACAATATGTGGGATTACGTCTTTTATTGTGCATACAAGTTTAAATATACATACTTAACTCAAGTTTTTTTGCTTTGGTTTGAAATAAGATCTTCTGTTTTTCTTTTCACTTTTAGGAAACCAGGACAAGTGACATTCATTGTCTAGATCTAGAATCATGGACATGGTCCGAAATGTATGCATTTACTGTTCACTCTTCCAAATGCTCAACTTAAAATGGTTACTGTCCTGTACTATACTGTTATCACAACACGCTTGACTTTATTTTTTTTAACTGTTCTTTCAAAATGGCTTTTCTAGAGTACCAGCATCCAATGTGCCAGTGGGAAGGTCGTGGCACACCCTCACTGCAATATCCGATAGCAGTTTGTTTCTATTTGGAGGACTGAGTTTAGACTGCAAACCAATGAGTAAGTAATTTACCCATTCAGGTTCAAAATCATACCTCTGTACCTTATGGTCCATGGAAATATGCCATTATTTGCTTTTCAAAAAAATGTATGATATCTCCAGGCGATGGCTGGGTATTTGATGTTGGGACGAAGAAATGGAGAGAGTTTGAGCATCCATACATGAACAAACCAAGGTAGTGCATGTGCAAGTTGTTTGTGTCATGTTTAAATCTAGCTGAATTACTAAACTGGTATTGAAAAGCATTACATTTTCCAATCTGAAGTCTGAGGAATGTACGTAAAATGGTAAAACTGTAAGCACATTGTCTGACCCATAGAGATCCTATAATTCACGCTATATGTAATTCTATGATCTGACCCTGTTTATTTATTTTCCACCCTCAGGTTGTGGCACACAGCATGCCAAGGGAAGGACTCTGATGTCATTGTGTTTGGGGGTAGTTGCGACTACATCCTCCTAGTAGACACAGTAAGTATTATGGCAACCACTTTAGAATCATTCTAATTCTATGGAAACCACACAAGGAACTTCCCAAATCATTCACATTGGATGATTTTACCATTTGTGACAGGAAGGAAATTGCTTGGTATTATGTTAATGCATATATTATAAAAATTCATAAGCAGATAATCATTTATGGTGAATTATGGAAGACATGTATCATGAATTATGGAAGACATGTTTACAATGAGCTGTTATGGTACTGTTTCGTTATCACCTTTCTTTAGGGTCATTGCAATGATGCACTTGTTTTCCAGATCCAGCCCTACCCCCTCTTTCGGTAACTAATCAATTATGATAATTCAATGAGGGAGAATCTGTCTCAGCTAGAAGACACTTTGACATTTTGGAAATCATGTTGACTGATAAAACAAAAAAATATTCTATATACAGAATGGTCCCCATACAAATAGTTAATTGATTTTATTATTTTACCATTACATAGATGCTATGACACAGTGAAAGTTTAGTATAGGAAGCTGCAACTACCAAATGCATGCAATGACCTCTTAGCCTATACATTTACTGTCCTTTAAAAAGTTTAAAAAATGTCTTACAGGATATGTGAGGATTACATAGCCAAGAATGTGAAGAACTGCAAGATGCTTGAAAAACAGCTTCCATTTGTGCCCCCAAAACTACTGCCATCTGTACAGAGGAGAATGTCATTTTTTCGGACAACTAGGAAAATATAGCATTGTCAGATGTAAATATTAAGGGAAATGTTCAATAGTAGACTACAGTAAACTGATAACGCAGAGTTCAGACTATGTTCCACATATTACTGTTGATAAGGCCTTCATAGTATGTGGGGAGATTTGTCTTGCAAAACATTATTGATTTATTGTAAATGTTTTACAGTTTATTTGACAGTGCATTCGGAAAGTATTCAGACCCCTTGACTTTTTCCACATTTTGTTACGTTACCTGGATTAAATAAAACAAATCCAACCATCTCTGCAGCACTCCACTAATCAGGCCTTTATGGTATAGTGGTCAGACAGAAGCCACTCCTCAGTAAAAGGCACATGACAGCCCGCTTGGAGTTTGCCAGAAGGCACCTAAAGGACTCAGACCATGAGAAACAAGATTCTCTGGTCTGATGAAACCAAGATTGAACTCTTTGGCCTGAATGCCAAGTGTCACGTCTGGAGGAAACCTGGCACCATCCCTACGGTGAAGCATGGTGGTGGCAGCAACATGCTGTGGGGATGTTTTTCAGCGGCAGGGACTGGGAGACTAGTCAGGATCGAGACAAAGATTAATGGAGCAAAGTACACAGAGATCCTTGATGAAAACCTGCTCCAGAGCGCTCAAGACCTCAGACTGGGATGAAGGTTCACCTTCCAACAGGACAACGACCCTAAGCACACAGCCAAGACAACGCAGGAAGGGCTTCGGGACAAGTCTCTGAATGTCCTTGAGTGGCTCAGCCAGAGCCCGGACTTCAACACGATCAAACATCTCTGGAGAGACCTGAAAATAGCTGTGCAGCGACGCTCCCCATCCAACCTGACAGAGCTTGAGAGGATCTGCAGAGAAGAATGGGAGAAACTCCCCAAATACAGGTGTGCCAAGCTTGTAGCGTCATACCCAAGACGACTTGAGGCTGTAATTTCTACCAAAGGTGCTTCAACAAAGTACTGAGTAAAGGGTCTGAATACTTATGTCAATGTGATATCAGTTTTTTATTTGTAATACATTAGCAAACATTTCTAAAAACCTGTTTTTGCTTTGTCATTATGGGGTATTGTGTGTAGATTGATGAGGGAAAAAAACAATTGAATCCATTTTAGAATAAGGCTGTAATTTAACAAAATGTGGAAAAAGTCAAGGGGTCTGAATAATTTCCGAATGCACTGTATATGACTATGAATGGATATGTATTCTGCCGGCAACAAAAGCAAAGGCATTTTAATAAAGAAGACTGTTGTAATGTTTGATATCATTCCTAATTTTTACAACTTCAACTTTGCTTTGGCCACCACCCCCACATGGTTATAATAACATTATATAAAACTTTTGATGACAGTCATAAAAATGTTCATTCACTCAAGTCAGAGAGGCTGAAGTTTTATTATGGCTTTGGAATGACTTATTTCGTTTATGTATATTACTACAAGATGTAACCAGATGATAATAGAATTCTAAATCTCCAAACAGAAACTAATTGAGACAATGATAGATAAGGATAGTTACTTTAATTTCTTGCATTTCCTTTCAAACTTGTACCAATACAGTAAAATAAAATTACATTTTTGGAATCCGCAAACGTATGAATGTTTTATATACACAAAAGCACCTTTTTAAAACAGACAAACATACATTATATACTACTTCTTGTCATTTTCAGTCTCTCAGTCTAACACTGATATGTGCGAAACACACTTGTAGACAAAATTTCTGAGCATATGTTCAATCAGTGGTCACATTACAAGCAGTTCTGAGGTACATGTCGGGTCCAAACTCCAAAGAGTCCATACTGTCCTTTACATTACACAATACACTGGCTGGTCACCATTTCCTTCAGAATTACACAAAAAGCACTGCCACGGAACAGTTAATGGACCTTATAATCTCAGGCCTCGTTGAAGGGCATTGGTCTAGGAACTCAGAGTAACATGAGAGGGAGCAAAGATTGTGCTGCACTGGCACATTGTGCCTCCCATGTCATCTACCAATAACACAGTGTGAGAGACGAGATACAGAGCTGGATGGTGTGGTCCAGGGGGTTGGGATGGACGAACGGATTACCAAACAGGTCCAGGTTCTCAAGAGTTAACTTTCGGAAGTCCCCTGGCAGCATGGCCAGCTGGTTGTGGGTTGCTGACAGAAAGCGCAGCTTGGAGAGATGACCGATGCGAAAGGGCAGCCACACCAGTTTGTTGTCCTCTAGCTTGAGGTTGATCAGCTCTCGCGGCTGGCAGAACGGAAGCGGCAGAGCCTATTCTGACTCAGGTCTAGGTGTTGATGCTGGACAGGCAGGGGGCTTCACTAAAGGTCTCTAAGTGGTTGTTGTGGAGAATAAGCTCAGCCAGGTGGCCCAGGTTGCAGACAGTGGCAGGAAGTTGATGTGGTCTTCTGTAGCTCAATTGGTAGAGCATGGCGCATGTAACGCCAGGGTAGTGGGTTCGATTCCCGGGACCACCCATACGTAGAAATGTATGCGCACATGACTGTAAGTCGCTTTGGATAAAAGCGTCTACTAAATGGCATATTATTATTATTACTATTATTATATTATTACTGAGGTCCAGTCTGCGCAGCACCTTGAGTGAGAGCATTCGCATTTCCATCCGTGAGAGCTTGCAGTAAGACACCTGGAGCGGCTCTAATGAGTTGGGGAAAGTGGAGGTCAGTGGATAGTCCTTCTTGGATACAATAGTGAGCTTCTTCTTGGGCTTCTCCACATCCCTGGCTCGGGCGGGTGTGAGTGTAGAGAGGGGGAGGCTGTGAGGCAACCAAGCTGTTAGTGTCAGCCTGAAACCTGCAAAGAAGACATATCACTTGTGGTTACAGTCAATACAACCACTCTTATTGTACCTGTATCACCCAAATTAAAGTGTTTATTTCCCATAAAATAGAAAAGTTATCATAGTAATTCTACCAAACAGTTTGCAAGGTACATGAGAGGGATTGCATTATTTCTACCAGTAAATCACGTTTCCTTTGCTTCCTTCAGATTGAGAAACATTCATTGTTGAGGGAAAGTGTGTGGCCTATAATAAACCATTTAAAATGTGTTATGTCAAGCTAAATAAAACCTGAGGCCTTCATCATATTGTCTTCGGCCTACATTTTGTCCATGACACAGATCTCTTTGGTCTTACTTGTGCTGGCACAAGTTGAAACAATTACAATACACATGAGATCTTATTAGCATAAATCACACAAAGGATTGCCTAATCCCTCTCACAATGCTAGCTAGCCTGGTTCCCTTTGCGTAGCTCCCTACCTGCACCACAACCTGTCTGGGATGTTGTCCATGTTATGATGGGTTGAATTGTGTTTCTAGGGGAAACGTCATCACTGCCCTAACAGTCTAGACACCCATTGGCAACAGTAAACATGTCGCCCCCAATGAATGATACAGTGCCCCCCCTTGGGCCAAATGAGATATAATATAATAATAATATAATATGCCATTTAACAACGCTTTTATCCAAAGCGACTTACAGTCATGCGTGCATACATTTTTGTGTATGAGTGGTCCCTGGAATCGAACTACCCTGGCGTTACAAGCGCCGTGCTCTACCAGCTGAGCTACAGAGATATCGCGTGTGACTAACACATTCCAGTTAATTACTTAGCTCCCGCCTTGAGCCAATCAGTGTCATTTTGTAAATGCCGGATCTCTATGGCAAGACGCATCATTCACCCAGGTTTCGTCAACGTAGGGAGACAGATCCACAGTCCCCTCCCCAATTTCATCGTGGTGGACAACAATGAGTACATTTAGTCTCCGATTTACAGTGCATTCACCCCACAAGGCTGCATAAATACCAGACCAAGCCAGATATATTATGTCATAATAATTTGGAGAATTGGAGATGATTGAAAAGCCTATTTAGGGCTGGGAGGATACAGCAATGGAATGTTCTATTTCTTGGGCCATGTCTGTTAAATATGCATGCCCCTAAAATGACTTATTTCAGTGTATGGTCTCTACTTTTACAGAATAAATGTAAGTCGTATGTGAAGGCCAAATTGTTTTTGATCCATTTTCATTGGAGAACAGATCCCCCATACAGAAATGCCTAGATCCATACCTTACTCAAGCAGATGTCAAGAGCAGACTCCTTCAGTATCACAGTGGCTTCGCCCTCTGCAACAAATCTAGTGAAGAATGTTTCAATGTTTTCTTTTAGCTGTAGAGAAAGTTGGCACACATTAGGGTAAGACATGGAACACAACACAAGTGATGGGTTTATCACCCAGCAATTCTGGTGACTCATTCATGCAAGACCATACAACTTGCCTCCTATCTCAATATCAATATTAAAAGGCGTAGTTCACTATTTTCCAACTTAAATGTTAGATGGTTCCAGAAACTGTAATCCATGTTTCAGTTTTCTTTAAACAGCCATTACAAACTTCAGCCACCGCTAACTAAAAATCAATGGAAGTGATGGGGGCATGTGAGCATGTTTAATTTTTGAATGGCCAAATCACCATTAAGTAACAAATCAAATATACAGTCATGGTAAAAAGTTTTGAGAATGACACAAGTATTGGTCTTCACAAAGTTCGCTGCTTCAGTGTTATGAGATATTTTTGTCAGATGTTACTATGGTATACTGAAGTATAATTACAAGCATTCCATAAGTGTCTAAGGCTTTTATTGACAATTACATTATGTTTATGCAAAGAGTCAATATTTGCAGTGTTGACCCTTCTTTTTCAAGACCTCTGCAAACCGCCCTGGCATGCTGTAAATTAACTTCTGGGCCACATCCTGACTGATGGCAGCCCATTCTTGTATAATCAATGCTTGGAGTTTGTCAGAATTTGTGGGGTTTTGTTTCTCCACCCGCCTCTTGAGGATCAACCACAAGTTCTCAATGGGATTAAGGTCTGGGGCGTTTCCTGGCCATGGACCCAAAATTTCGATGTTTTGTTCCCCGAGCCACTTAGTTTTCACTTTTACCTTATGGCAAGGTGCTCCATCATGCTGGAAAAGGCATTGGTCGTCACCAAACTGTTCTTGGATGGTTGGGAGAAGTTGCTCTCGGAGGATGTGTTGGTACCATTCTTTATTCATGGCTGTGTTCTTGGGCAAAATTGTGAGTGAGCCCACTCCCTTGGCTGAGAAGCAACCCCACACATGAATGGTCTCAGGATGCTTTACTGTTGGCATGACACAGGACTGATGGTAGCGCTCACCTTGTCTTCTCCGGACAAGGTCTTTTCCGGATGCCCCAAACAATCGGAAAGGGGATTCATCAGAGAAAATGACTTTACCCCAGTCCTCAGCAGTCCAATCCCTGTACCTTTTGCAGAATATCAGTCTGTCCCTGATGTTTTTCCTGGAGAGAAGTGGCTTCTTTGCTGCCCTTCTTGACACCAAGCTATCCTCCAAAAGTCTTCGCCTCACTGTGCGTGCAGATGCACTCACACCTGCCTGCTGCCATTCCTGAGCAAGCTCTGCACTGGTGGTGCCCCGATCCCGCAGCTGAATCAACTTTAGGAGACGGTCCTGGCGCTTGCTGGACTTTCTTGGGCGCCCTGACGCCTTCTTCACAACAATTGAACCTCTCTCCTTGAAGTTCTTGATGATCCGATAAATGGTTGATTTAGGTGCAATCTTACTAGCAGCAATATCCTTGCCTGTGGAGCCCTTTTTGTGCAAAGCAATGATGACGGCACGCGTTTCCTTGCAGGTAACCATGGTTAACAGAGGAAAAACAATGATTTCAAGCACCACCCTCCTTTTAAAGCTTCCAATCTGTTATTCTAACTCAATCAGCATGACAGAGTGATCTCCAGCCTTGTCCTCGTCAACACTCTCACCTGTGTTAACGAGAGAATCACTGACATGATGGCAGCTGGTCCTTTTGTGGCAGGGCTGAAATGCAGTGGAAATGTTTTTGGGGGATTAAGTTCATTTTCATGGCAAAGAGGGACTTTGCAATTAATTGCAAATCATCTGATCACTCTTCATGACATTCTGGAGTATATGCAAATTGCCATCATCAAAACTGAGGCAGCAGACTTTGTGAAAATTAGTATTTGTGTCATTCTCAAAACTTTTGAACACGACTGTAGAGTTGATATCCAGGTAATTTCGATTATTTATGTTTTTACATGCCCCCATCACTTCCATTGATCTTTAGCTAGCGGTGGCTAAAGTTAGCTGAAGTTTGTAATGGCTGTTTAAAGAAAACTGAAACATGGTAGGGTGTTAGGTGACGTGACAAACAATGGACACTATGGAAGAATTCTACAAAAAACAACAGTAAACAAATCCATTTTCACTAAATGTCAATGATGTGGTCGCCAAAATACATAAATCATTTGAAAACATGAATACAGCAGTAAACAATGTCTAAAAATCCCAATAACGTACGTTATGATATTTACGCGATATGAGCCCAAATGTAAAGCAAGTGCAGTGGTAAGAACATTCAAATCTGTGGGACTGCTCCTTTTGTGAAATCCCTGAAATCAGTGTTCATATTTGCTCTTGGCGAAAGGTATTCCTCAACCTACCAGAGTAAGATCGATGTGACATTGTATTGCTAAGTATTGGAAAGTCCTGAGGGTGTTTCACGAGCATCAGACGTCCTTGGATTGAAATATAAGACAAAACGTTTTTCTTTCGGCTCTGTCATTCAGATATTTTTAGAGACACGAAAAAAACATAGCAGATTACAAAGTAGAGTTTGGTAGCTACGTTTTGATGTGTGCGCTCTCAGGGATTGGTCCAAAGTCACGTTTCGTCACCCCCATTTCCATGACGAGTGTTACCTTGCTAGCTGTGTACCTGACACCGTTCGCTGAGGCAACGCTTCGGATGAGAGGCAGTGTTACCCGCCATTGGCTGTATTATGCAGCAAATTTTGTGATTGATGGTTTTATTATTTCAAGGGAAAACTACCAGAATTCATTGGCTACAGCCCAATAATCGATAAAAACATAGCTAAATACCAGTGAATTGAAAATCATTCTGTGCAGCTGGCTAACAGGAGGCTCACTGTCTCTTCTGGACCTAGGCTAATTATTTGGTGGAAACAATGCAGTTCATCCTCCCATCACTAGAGTAACTCATCAACACCAAAAATAACATAAAAATGTAATCCAACTCAGGTGTAGGCCTACCTTAGTAAGCTATGTTATTAGATTAGTTCAGCCTTCTGTGTTACAGTTCAGACTTAGTGTGTCTGTATGTGTGGTGTGTGTGTGGTGTGTGTATGCAGTTGGCACAGGAACAGGTTGGGCATATTATTTGGCATGCTAGGTCTAATCAGTTGGGCTACTGAATACAACATAACTGTGATATATACAGCCTAACTGTTACTAATTGGTAAATAGTAACCCTGCTTTTTGTTCATGATTATGTAATCCAAATGATATGTACTCTGTTACCACCGCTGGTGCGTGTGTGTTTGTGGACGTGTTTAACTATACTTGTCCCCACAAGAATAGGAAACAAACAAGAATTTGACCAACTGGGGCCATTTTGTTAGTCCCCACAAGGTTAAATGCTATTTCTATGGTGGGTTAGAATTAGGGTTAGTTTTAGGGTTAGGGTAAGGTTTAGGGAAAATAGGATTTTGAATGAGACTGAATTGTCTGACCCTACAATATTAGTTATACGTGTGTGTGTGTGTGTGTGTGTGTGTGTGTGTGTACGCGCATAGGCATCATCTTACTCCGCAGTGTAAACACCCAGTTCTGAAAAAAAACATCAATATACAGTATGTTAACAATATGACCACCTTACTTTAAAGGTAGACTCAGCGATATGACGTAGGTGCACAAAGTAAACAGCATAGTGGGTCAATTTCCACAACAACTAAGAGCGTTGAAGTGCGAGGCTAAACTTCTCAGCTGTTTTGGTCCCGTACCTACCACTCTCTAACAGTGTGAAGTGAACCCATGCACATGCGCAGATACTGTGTGTGTGAGAGCGAAGTCTTGCATCTCACTCATTGCAATATCTGCAGTGTTGCTTGTGGCAATGTCATTTCGCTGAGTCTACCTTTAAATGAACGGGCTTAACGTGCTGTGTTTTTTATGCTGTATATTAAGTATCTCATTTGCATAAAGTAGTATGAAAAGTTGTATTATCATTGTATAAACTGTTTCAAATTGTTACAAACTCTGTTTTGCATAAAGCATGAAGATGTATTAATAATATGACCATCCTACCTTTAATTATTGGTTTAAAAATGACTAATGAAGTATTCCTTACTGCCAAAATGCATATTAAATCCCTAGTCTGTATACATTATACTTTAATTTGAATAATCTCTGTTCTTCATACCTGAAAATGTCATAACAATATGATCATCCTGTCAAGATAATGGGGTGGAAAGTGTTGCCTTATTGACAAGGGGTTATCATTGACCTGTCCTCGACCTTTTTGACTTTTTCCAATCACTTGAAAATAAGATCTCAGCAATGGTAATCCCTACCCTCGTGAAATAAAGTGTTCTGTGTTCCTGAGAAGCTGCTCTACATTGAATACAAAGTATAACACCAGCACCAAAGTTTCATTTTGACCCCTAGCACCCTAACCATGGATTACAGATTCTCCTGGCCCATAGACTACATTCAGGTTGAGGAACCATCTAACATCGAGTTATAAAATAGTTAACTACACCTTTAACACAAATTAACAAGGGTTTCCTCCAAGTTATCTGAGATAATGTCTTAAAATCAAATGCAACTCATTCATTCTACAATCAAGCCATCAAATGTGGAAAGTATCAACAAGGTCAAGAAATTGGGTGATTCTTCCTGTGTACTTGGGAATACCTACAAAAACATGTAATACAACAATTCCACAAGACAAAATAGACAACTGGTCAAGTAGATAAACAAATAGCTTGATACTCACCTTATATTTTGAGCCTGCCCTATCATTTGCTGTACAGATCATTAGATAAATGTTGTTGCATTCTGTGGTCTTGTCAACAAGTCTCCCAATAGACAACACAGCCCTTACTCCCTTTCCTCGGTTTTTTATCCCATACGTGGGAAGCATTCGATTGACCACTTCGACATCGCACTGAAGCTTCATTGCTCAAGGTGTAAATGCCTGACCTGTGTTATAGCAAGCTAGTTCTGTAAATACATCTCAATGGATGTGTTAAAAAAAAGTTTATACCAACCAAACGGGCAGGTTTCACCAGTTTTGACCCATAAATTTAGTTCGACACAACCTCCTGGCAAAAAAAAGAGAGCCCTTGTCACTCTACTCCACTACTTAAGACAGCAAGCTACCTGTAAACCCTCACCGACTATAAAAACTCCAAAGTCAAATGTAAGAACGTCTGTTGTTTGCTAGCACTGGGCAAATTCAGCAAGACAACGCTAACGGCGTTAGCTGGCTAGCTAACTTAGCTAGCTAGGTTGGTTACTAAAAACACGGTAGCTTGCATGACATGCACTTCCGTTGGCTCTAGCTAGCTTGGAAGCTAAAAATGTGGGTTTTATGGCGGACTACAACCCAAAAGGTGTATTGCCGCAACCAACTGGACAGGTTGAAAAAACAAGGTAGAAAGAAAATCCATAGCTGATAGTATGAAAAATGTATGCACTCACTAACTAAGTCGCTCTGGATAAGAGCGTCTGCTAAATGACTAAAATGTAAATGATAAGGAAAACTAACTTAATCCACCGAAATCAAAATTGTACATTGACAAAACAACACTCCCACTTCTTCATTCCTTCAAATCTCTATATCTATCTATTTTCCTGGACCTTCTCTCCACCTTGGTAGTGCAATTAATCACCATAGCTATAAAGGCCACAAAGTCCACCTTCTTAACTTTTAAAATATCTGGGTCCTGCTGGTGAAATGCAACCCCTGCAGCCTGCAGTGAAGGCCTATCCATCACCATGGACTCTTCAGGAGCACCATTCGAACCCTCAACCATTTTAACAGCCGCTGCATATGAAATGCTCTGGACAGCCCTGACTTTGGCCACCTCATTCTCTTTCACCCTTGTTGGGCATTCCAAAGACGTGGCTTCATGGTTCCCACCACAATTGCAACATGTCACATTTTCATCACTTTTAAAACACATGACATGATCTTTTCCACAACTTGGACATCTCGGCTTCTCCCTTCTACAAACACTTGAAACATGTCCAAAAGCTTTACAGTGATCACAGTGCATTGGTCTTGGGATAAATGCTCTGACTCTGTAGTTTATATACCCCAAATGCACTTGAGTAGGGAGAGACTTACATATAATAAAACAAAAGAACAGATATTCTTCACTTTTTCATCATTCACCACACGATTCATCCGTGGTGCAACAATCACTCCAGGAATATTTTTCATCTCTTCAACATCGATTTAGCTAAAAATGTCAACATGGACCAATGAATAATAAGGACACATACATCAGCGTATCGTACCAGCGTCTCGTAAGCAACACTACAAAAGTATTTCAGGCCACGGAATTTTGGACATTTTCTAAATAAAAGTCATCCACGTAATAGCAGAAAAGTGTAATTAACCTGTATTTATTCAAGATTGTCAAGTTGCGTCAATTCAAATCTGGTATAGGAACAAAAAGAGGTCAATACACGTCTTCTAAAATAGACTAGTATTTTAATTAATGCAAACACTTGAATGGTAAATATGATGTTCGTATATACGGGCCCACTGAAAAACCACGCAGGGCAGTCAGAGAACTAACTGTCCCAACCCAAAGTTATTATTTTAATACTCTGACAGAGATAGTTCCTGCTCCAAGCAGGCCTATCAGAGTAGAGGCTGAGCGTGGTTTAGACTTACTCAGCCTATCGTTGGCGCACAGGCTGGTCCCAGCCCCTTGGCGCTTCACTGTTGCCAGGCATTAGTTATTATCTTTACAAAGTCAGCAACATAGTTTTCTTCTTCACGTTGCAGTACTTTGTCCTTGAGCGGTTTAACAAAGAGGCAGTGTTTGTGTGAATGAGTCACAAGCCTATCTCAGCCTACCCCCTAACAATTCCTCACATTAATCACAGCTTGTTATGTTAAACAATCTATATAAGTACAGCACAAACCTATTATGTTTAATGATTAATGTATTCTTTCTAAGCTAGGCATCACATCTAGTTATAAGAAAATAGAGCCCCACAAGATGTATGAACAATTATTGTCTAAATATTAACAAGGATTCATATTTGTTCATATTTAAATGACATTTGCATAACATTTCCGTTTCAAAACATGTTCCAAGATGAAATAAATGCCCTCAACGCAAATCATTGTACAGTGTATATGCATTACATATTGGCTTATAGAGAAAAAATGATTATTTGTGCTGATGTAAAGTGAGTTGGGGAGTACTCAGTAGGGTCTGTAGAATCTATATATTTGTGTCATGAACAGTGCTTGTGCACATAGAAATAGAGGTGGCACATGCGTGCAGGGGCTGCGCGGGATGTTCCCCAATGCTGGGGTGCAGCCTACTCAGTGACACCCACAAATTACAATTCTGAAGAGTTTACACACATATTAGCGCCGTAGCTCTTATTCAGGGACTTTAACTGTGGGAATTCACCTCACTATTCAGCCTATTGTGCATATTAAACATTCATATTGCAATGTACAGCCTTACCTTTGGATCTTGGGTCCATGAAATTCGGTACCAGCCTACTCAGTGACACCCACAGAACACAACTGTGAAGAGTTTTCACAAATATTAGCGTTGTAGGACTTATTGCTCAACTTTAACTGTAGGAATTCACCTCACTATTCAGTACATGTATGTATTGAACATTAATGTTGCAATGTACAGCCTTATCGATGGATCTTGGGTCCATGAAATAGGGTATCAGCCTACTCAGTGACACCCACAGATTACAATTCTAAATAGTTTACACAAATAGTAGCGTCTAAGCTCTTATTGCGGGACTTTAACTGTGGGAAATCAACTTCCCAGTCAGTCTGTTGTGTGTATTGGACATTCATATTCCAATGTACAGCCTTAGGCCAACCTATCCCAGCTAGCACATAACGTTCTACGAACTATATGTTTCTTAGAGCTTGGTCAGAGCGTGGATGTCTTATGGTTATTTTGCATACAACCTTCCCACAACTTTCTGGGAATGGTGCAGGATAGTTGCTTGGCTTTGGAACATTCTCAACACTTTAGGGAACTTGACCATAAAAACTTTATTTTCTTGATATTTCAATACTTTAACAGAACGTTTCCTAAAAGTTCAAACATGGTTACATTTCATTTAAATTTAGGTAATGTTCTAGGAACGTTCTCCAACTGGTTTGACATTAGAATGTTCTCAAATAGTTCAGAGAACGTTTAGAAACATGCGGGACAAATCTAATAAGACCAACTACAACCCACAGGCAACCTCTCCAACATATACTTTCTGATTACAACCTCATTGATGCTTGGTGAGCTCATAACCCTAAAGCAAAAGAGTACACTTTCTATTCAAACAGGCACAAAACATTCTCCCGAATCGATTTCGTACTATTATCTACTCTATTTTCTTTAATCAAGAAAATAGAAATTTGACATATGAGCCTACCTGATCATCATGCTTACTACTACCAGATAAACATTTCTGAATCTCCTAAAAGAGCCACAAGATGGTGCTTTAATGTTTCCTTACTTCAAAATCCTACTTTCTGTGAACAATTTGAAACTGAATTGAATGAATTCATAATGATTAACTAAAACTCAGTCGATGATCCTTATATTTTATAGGACGCCATCAAAGGTTTTATTAAAAACAATATAACTGTATTTGCATCTGGGCTGAATAAATCACAATTAAAGAAGATATCAGAATTTGAAAAGTTGTTAACGACGTCAGAGCGTTCTCAACAAACACTTTTTTCAGACCAGGTAGCGACTACTCTCTCCAAAGTCAAGACAGAACAAAATCTATTGATAAGACAGAGAGCACAATTTGCCATCCATTGAGTTAGACTCAACCATTATTTTTTTTTTTATTTATTTCACCTTTATTTAACCAGGTAAACCAGTTGAGAACAAGTTCTCATTTACAACTGCGACCTGGCCAAGACAAAGCAAAGCAGTGCGATAAAAACAACAACACAGAGTTACATATGGGGTAAAACAAAACAAAGTCAAAAATACAACAGAAATACATATATATACAGTGTGTGCAAATGTAGCAAGTTATGGAGGTAAGGCAATAAATAGGCTATAGTGCAAAATAATTACAATTAGTATTAACACTGGAATGATAGATGTGCAAGAGATGATGTGCAAATAGAGAGACTGGGGTACAAATGAGCAAAATAAATAACAATATAGGGATGAGGTAGTTGGGCGGGCTAATTTCAGATGGGCTGTGTACAGGTGCAGTGATCGGTAAGGTGCTCTGACAGCTGATGCTTAAAGTTAGTGAGGGAGATAAGTGTCTCCAGCTTCAGAGATTTTTGCATTTCGTTCCAGTCATTGGCAGCAGAGAACTGGAAGGAATTGCGGCCAAAGGAGGTGTTGGCTTTGGGAATGACCAGTGAGATATACCTGCTGGAGCGCAGACTACGGGTGGGTGTTGCTATGGTGACCAATGAGCTAAGATAAGGCGGGGATTTGCCTAGCAGTGATTTATAGATGGCCTGGAGCCAGTGGGTTTGGCGACGAATATGTAGTGAGGACCAGCCAACAAGAGCGTACAGGTCACAGTGGTGGGTATTATATGGGGCTTTGGAGACAAAACGGATGGCACTGTGATAGACTACATCCAATTTGCTGAGTAGAGTGTTGGAGGCTATTTTGTAAATGACATCGCCGAAGTCAAGGATCGGTAGGATAGTCAGTTTTACGAGGGCATGTTTGGCAGCATGAGTGAAGGAGGCTTGTTGCGAAATAGGAAACCGATTCTAGATTTAACTTTGGATTGGAGATTCTTAATGTGAGTCATTACTTCCATGGTAATCGACCCAGTCGTCTACTGGCTAACAAGCTTTGCAGTAATGATCATTTAGTGTATATTGCAACAATTGAATGTGAATCAGGTGAATTACTATCAGAACCAAATTTAAGAAACCAAAGATTCTCCCGTTTCTATAAACAATTGTAC